AAGAAACAAATCCAAGTGGTTCCGCGCGTGAAGCAGTATGGGTTGGTGTTTGACAAGCGCGTGATAGATGTGGACAATAAATCGAGTTATCCCTATGGCTACGAGAGGATTGGGGACAAAGTCGACCTGTTGTTAGATTTGTAATTTCATGCATGTCAAGGGCGTGACGTCACTCTGACCTCACACACGTCCCGCCTGTAACCTAGGCCATCCGTCGACATTTTGTTTCATTAAATCAAAAAAATGATTTTTTCAACGTCTGAACCTGTGTGTGCGTGTGTTCTTTACCCTATGCCTGGGACCCAGGGTCACGTGATGTAAATCCCGCCCTCTGATTGGTCGAAATGGGTCACGTGAACACAAGTGATGACGTTCCAAAGTTAATGAGACACGTAACCCTCTAAAACAATACCCCTATTGTCTTTCTCCCGCTCTGATTGGTTACTACCCACGTTAGCCCTATTGACTACTCTAACTTTACGCATTCATACTAATATCGGTGTTTCTGTATACAGTACAGTGAATGAAAAACTGACATCCATGGCTGTTTTTTCTTTTTTCTCTGTGAGGGTCATCTGAAATTTTCCGGCAATCTTTTTTCTTTAATGGTAACTGTCCCCGAACCTGGAAAATGAGCAGAATGTTATTATTGTACAAGTACAGTCTTTCAATTGTAGCCTCTCATAGAGGGTTAAGTAAAATGTCCAGAATTGTGAACTAGATTCAATTAGTCAAATGAAGATTCCAAGTTAAAATTGCTTATTATAAGTCCTTTGTTGTGACCATTTGAAATTCCATCCCTAGTTCCGTTTTTAACGTAAAATTGAAAAGTGGATACTTTTCCTTGAACCGAAAGGCAATTTAATGTGAACGTAAGTGCCTATCGGTAAAATACAGAGCAATTCTATTAAATCAACACTGTTTTTTGCCTTCGAACTGTGATACAACAGAGATAGGTCAACACGTTCGTTAATGCATTGATCATCATGATAATATCTACTATACCAGGCCGAATTTCCGCCATCTTGTAAAGGAGAAAGATTGAGAACCGGGCACTTAGAAGCTTATGAGTATGTCTTGGAAAATTGTTGCTTTGAGTTTACACAAGACTTGCAACAAGTCGACCTCACAAGTTTGGCGAGCGGAGAGAGCTTTTTTTAGGCCGTGAAGCGGCCGACCGAGAAACGAAGTCGGAGTTCGTCCCGCGCCAATATTAGCGAGCTTAAGCAACGATGACGGCGACGGCAACGAGAACGGCAAAAAGGAATAGGTTTGATTAGCAAAACAACAAGTGCATCACGCTTTTTTGTACATTTCTTTGCCGTCGTCGCACGATTACAACGTGAACGTACCTGAATGGTTAGCTGCAAAGCTAGCGTTTCCGCGCGAGTTCGTCAAGGAAGTTGGACTGACAGAGCGAAAAAAAGGGAAGACACTGGGCGGAGAGGGTACATTCATAACAAATTACTTATTAATTTTTCATTGCGCCGCAAGCAGTCAGGTAACGTCTCTAGCATTGTGTTGCAAATTTTCCCTGAAAAGCTCTCAGGGGAAGGGATATAAGGTTTTTTACATTTCCTTTCGACTGCAAGCTTGTCCAAGGTCATTGCCATGCCGAATTTGTGCGGACATAGCCAACCTAAGATAAAATGTGTTATTAGGCAGCTGTTACTTAAACGTTATGGTGTAACCTCTAACGAATGTCATTAATATTTAGAGTTTGGCTTGGATGTACGCCAGACCTTTGGCTGTTAACTATGTACGACGTTACAATTTATGCAATACCTGGTCCTTCAGACATTGATTAACGCTTTAAGTATTTCTACTCAGTTTTTGGGAAGTCATATGTGGACACAAGTGTTTCAACACTTAGTTTTTAGTTTGACAGGGGATAGTTTCTGCTAAAATCGAAATTACCATAACAACATTAAGCCTAAAAAAGATTACGAATGATCTAGACCTAGGAAGACATTAGTATAGAAATACACAAGAATAAAATTTTGACTTGGAGCCGACATTCAAACTGTTAAACTCAACAAGTTCATTGTTTCCATATAAAGGAACTCATTTCTAAGTATTTGCGCCATTTTCTGGAACCTTTGGTTATCCAGTATTCCGGGAAAGTACTCCGGCAAAAGCTGATTTTATGAAGACACTCTTTGTGTTTTTTTTGCTTGTTTTTTTCTTTTTGCTAACTAAACTTGGTACACTAACTGATGGTATTTGGCATTATAGTCTGCTACGTGCCAATACAAGACGCGTAACGAGAATACTTATGTTCATCTGTTCATCATATTAACTTTAAAGTACAGGGGACTATGAAAAATAATGCTAAGTCGTAGACATAAGAGAGATTAAGAATCACGTTTACCGTCCGATACAAGTTGAGTTGACGAATTCTCAAATTGACAAATGGGCAGGTAAATGCTGGTAAATTCTTACAGGTGAAACTGGCACGAAACGTGCTAATTTGTCCGTAAATGTAATCAACCGAAATCGAAACGTGTGAGGAAAACTTGGTCAAGCGGTAAAATTGACGTTGATTCTTAATCTCTCTATTTCTCGAAAGGGTGGAGCACTAACTAGTCTCAAGTGTTCATGTGAGGCGCTCTTTTACAAGTGCACTATTCGTACAAAAATGTTGCACTGTATGAAGAGAGTCTATGTATGTGTATTACCTATGCCCAATTAAAAATCGCTGAGAGGTAAACTTTTTCCTGAGAAAGTACAGTCCCTAATTGAAAACTAATAGGGAAACATGGCCAAAAAAGACAAACACAAAAACACTGGTAGATACAAGTAATGCTTCGTTTATTTATTTATTTATTACAGAAAACAAAACTCGTAGTCTTTGGAAGCCAACAACTACTTGCCAAACTCCCCGACTTCAAAATATCTCTTCTAGGAAAAGATCTCGCTCTTACATCTTCGGCCAAAGATCTTGGGGTTGTTTTAGATCCGCAACTAACGTTTGATGACGATGTTCTAAAAACTACGTCATCTTGTATGTCAAGCCTCGCACAAATCAGTCGGGTTAAACATGTTCTTGACCGTAACCAACTGGTGACAGTAATAAATGCCCTAGTCTTTAGCAAATTACTGTACTGTTCCACAGTGTGGTCGAACACCTCGAACAAAAATATCTGTAGACTACAGTCAGTGCAGAACTTTGCCGCGCGCATTATTACAGGTACCAGGAAATTTGATCATATAACCCCCACACTAAGAGATCTACGTTGGTTTCCAATTAAACAAAAGCTGTTCTTCCACGACGCTCTCATGGCATTTAAATGCATGACTGGTCAAGCTCCACATTACCTCAGCGATCAATTTACAACAAGAATTGCGGTCACCGGGCGCGTGACTCGAAGTTGGCAATTATTAAACATCCCCTTGTATAAGTCGTGTACCGGACAGAGAACATTCCACTACCGCATGGTGCACATTTGGAACAATCTAGACAGTACTCTTAAAACTGCAAAATCGATTTCTACTTTTAAATTTTGTCTGAAAAATAAGTTGATTACTGACTTTTTAAATAGCACTTTATGATAGTATTTTAGTATCTTACTAGTATCTTATTTTATTTTAACTTAAAATATGCATATTGTATAGTACGTAGTGAGAATATTTATTATACGATTAATTCTTAAATAGGTATGTTTATATTGCTTTGTTCACCGCATTCTTTCCTTTTAATCGAATTGTTAACTACTTCTCTTATCTTAATTAGTTTTTTTTAGTCGCATTGTCACTGAAAAGCCCCACCAGGGGAGTGTCAATAAACTATTGTATTGTATTGTATAGATTCACTCCACTGCATAACAAGCAAATAATGAAATGAAATAAGCTAACACTACTTTAACAAACAAACAAAAAAAGAAAAAAAAGTTGTGGAGAAGGAGACAACCAAAAGCACTAATTCGCCATACTAGGGATGCCCCCACTAATTAACATATAAGGAAAATATATACAAATAGAAATATAAACATTCTAGTTACCCTTAATAAAGCTTAACACATTTCTTTTAGAAGTTGCAATACTGTTTGATTCTCTAATATGATTGGGTAAACCATTCCATTCATCTACAACACGGTTAAAAAAAAACTATATTTAAAACCATCAGTTCTACTAAAATTTGGAACAAGGTCCTGTGTGTCATTTTTCCTCAAGTTATAACCTGTATTTCTGTCCTTACAAAATATGAGCTTATTTGAAATGTCAATATCATAATGTCCATTAATTACATTAAAAAAATGTAACATCTCTAGTGAACCTCCTATTAGATAATGACAACAATTTTAGCTTAGATAGTCTAGTATCATACTCACTCATAGAGCGTATCAGTCTTGTCATAATCTTCATCAGACCTAGTGATCCATCTGGTAGCTCTTCGCTGAACATCCTCCAGTTTATCAATGTTACGTTTAGTATGAGGGTTCCAAGTTTCGCATGAATATTCTAATAGAGGTCTCACAAGACTACAATTAAGTGTGTTCATGGTATCAATATCCTTTAAGTCCCTACAAGTCCTCTTAACCAACCCTAAAACCCTATTAGCCTTAGCAGTTATTTTATCTACGTGTTGGTTCCATGAAAGATTACTAGTAGTAAATAATCCTAAATCTTTATACACATCAACACTTTCCAAAGGTTGACCTTCAATATAATACTCCCCAACTAATGGTGACTTTGTCCTGGTTATTCGCATGATCTTACATTTCTTGGTATTAATTCTCATCTTATTCATCTTACACCAATCTGAAATTTTGTCTGTCACTTTGAAAAGTAGACAGATCTTCTCGAGTACTAATAACCCTATACATTTTACTGTCATCAGCATACAGAGCAATTTAACTGTCCTTACTAATTACCCCCGATAAATCGTTGATGTAGACTATGAAGAATAATGGTCCCAACAAAGAACCTTGTGGGACATCAGAGGTTACGGTTAACCAGTCGGAAGCAGGAATATTTATTTGTGGTTTTTATCTCCTTTAGGGAACTGCGATTTCGATTATAATTCCCTGTGCAGCTGGAGGAATGAGAAAATACTCGATCACTTTGACTGGCAAATAAGAAAAGGACCTACTCCAAGCTATAATACAGGACCGGCAAATGACAATTCAGGTGAAAACAAATGTCAAACTTTTAACACTGCTTCAATGCAGGTTTCAAGTGAGATGTTTTCACGGACTTTTAGTACTCGATCTTCTCCAACTTTATCTTTATCATGTATTAATCAATTATTAGATGAGGTTTTTGTGATATCCGGAATAATTGAGGTCGAGGTAAGTGTTATCAGCCGAACAGAAGGCCCCGAACCCTTTGTATAAATGAAAGTAAAAGTATCTGAATTTTCAGCAAAATCCAAGATATCACCCATGTTAAGTGGAGTGGCAAGTTTGTAGCACCTCATGCTCTATAATACAACAACCTGTTGTACTTTAGGGCTATTGCTTCGTTTCTACGTCCGAAGAAAAGTCCCTTTATTGTTTCACTCATGATGAAATAAGCAATATAAAAAGCTGGTTTAATCGCTTAAAGACTTCCTACAGCGCTTCAAGAAGCCACTGTTTTGGTCGCCATGTCCAGTAGGAGAGACTGTTTATAATCTAAATTGAGAACGTTATACATTTGCATAAGATATGATTCATGCTCCCATAATTTCCTGTTTTCATCCAGAGAGCATAAGATGTCGCGTACTCCTCCAACTTTAATTGCGATGGTTCAGCAGAAATTTTGACTATTACCGTTATCATTTCAAGTAATTGACCACTCCAGAAAATACCAGAACATACCATAATGCTGTTTGTTTGTCACCCCCCAATTTTTTCCCGTTTCTCTTGGGGCCATTTTAACTCCTACGAGAGACTAAAGACAATGCTTATGCAAAATTTTGGGCTGACAGGCAAAGAGCATTATGGTATGTTATGGTATTTCTGGAGTGGTCAATACAAGACAAAGAGTCTTAGAGCACTGATTCATTAAGCAATGTGAAGATTTTCTTTCTTTGAGCTAATTTTTTCCCCACAATTCCAAGGAAACGGTTCATATATCCACATCGAGACGTCTCTCCCTCGAAAGTACAACGAGAGAGCCTGGCTAGTAAGTCCTTTGATAAGAGGCGCCAAGCGGATGACTTTTTTCTACTCCATGTATGGGGACACCATCGAGTCTTTATCTGTGTTGTTGAGATCTAGAGTCAACGGTAATGAGTCCAGAGTCTGGAGTCGTTATGGAAACCTTAAGACAAGCAATTGGACAGAGGGATGCATTGCTTTTAACTATTCCGGAAACTACCAGGTTGGATTTGAACTCGTTCACGCGTGTTCTTCTAAATTCCAATATTCAACATTAAATACAAAAACACAAAGTAACTTATTAATTAAGACCTACTGATCTCCACCTCGCATAAGACGCTACAAGCTTACTCATGTTTATCAAAACCATATAATACAATACAACACTGAACATACGACAACCGCCAAAGTTGTTTGTTAATTAAGAGTTACTGGTCACCACCTTACAGATTTCTCGAGGCCTCAGTATCAAGTACTGAACAATGAGTTTTAAAAGTTGCCGAAATGTCTGAATTACCTGGGAGAGCGAACTAATACAAACGTGCTGGGGCTGTGCACATTTTTATGATAGGTCGGAACTTACAATAAATACTTTGTATCCCAATTCTATCTAAAAGGGAATCATGGTAGGAAAATGCATAGTTATAATTTTTCCCAGAAAATAGGACATGGCTGGTGGACAGGTGCTTCATTTTGAAATATTAAATCTTTTCTTAATTGTTTACTAGAAGACCGATGCAGTACGTTCTGTATGTGTTACCCATTTCAGGTTATAATCGAGGGTACAGCTGGTCTTTCGTACACAGGCGACATTGCTGTCGATGACATAAGTTTCAGTAGCAACTTAACATGTGGTATTGCAATGAAACTTCTGTATCCTCAAATGTTTGGAGGTATGTTTTCATCGCTCCCCAATCTGTGGCGAAGGTCTCTCGAGATAAAACTTTAATTTACAACACTAACAATTTTGTACAAGTACTGTTTCTTCGCAATTCAATGCCCTCGGCGTTTATTTAAAGACCTGCATATTCACCCCGGCGTTTAATCGCAGTGCGGCGCTTATAAAGAGGTGCCGAATGCAATTTCAGTATTAATTTCTAACAAACAAAACAGCGAGTAAAATGAGAAAAAAGTGAGGGAGTAAACTCAGAAAAGGTAATCTGTTTGTCATTTATATTGGCTTACAATCAACTGCCACCACCACCACTACTACTAAATTTATAACCCTAACCATTCCTTCATCAATATTGGGTTCTTTGCAATGCCGCCACCACTTCAACCACCACATTTACTACTTTTCCTCCATCGACACCACCACATTTCTATTGAGTTTTTCGTCTACTACCACCACCACCACATTTATAATGCTTTCCCTCCGCTGCTACTATCGCCATTACAAATCTATAAACCTCTGCAAGCCTCGACGATTAGTCAATTTTTAATGCTCGCGTACTGAAGACTCAGCCGTGGTTTACTTTAATTTTAGGCTGTTTTTCGTGCTCATCCGGGCCAGTTTCTCTTTCAGACACCCACTCCACAACAAATCCATGTATTAAACCAAATTCTGTAAAATTGCGTTAAGGAATACATTTCCAACCCCAAAGGAAATGATACTGAGGAAATTACTGTCTTAAAAGGATGCTCTAAATAAACTACGACATTATCGATGTAAACGTAACTAGAAGACTTTTAAAACTTGATAAACCACCGTTTATTCATGATATCAAGAAAAATAACGATTAATGAATTCCTGCCCTCTTTAATGAGGTTCCTTCCAAAACGGGAGTTAAACATCCCCACTATACTACTTGAAGGCTCTTTACGTACTTCTCTTGATACGTTTATTTGGGAGGCTTTCTCAAGCCGATATAATTTTTAGCAGTCTGTCAACACAGTTACGTCTATATCTTAGAGGTGCCTTAATTCGTCAATCGGCAGTTATCTCATGCTACGTCTGTCCATCTAACAAGGGCAGGTCATTGCAGCATTCTCAAGAGAGTATTTCTACAATTATGAATGACCTCGAGTAAACGCCGGGGGCGTTTAACTCAAAATAGGCTTTGCTGAGTTTGCGTTTAATCGGGTAAGGTAAGAGTTGTTGAGATGATACTTATACTGGCCTCTCTGTTCTTAACTTTAAAAGTGCTGTTCATTTATTAGTATTTTTTAAAATTTTTATTCCAGCAAACTGTTCCTTTAACAAGAGTTTCTGCGGATGGCGGAAAGTTACATGGGACACTCAGTTTCATTGGTCCATAAGGAAAACCAGAACCCCAAGCTGGGGAACTGGGCCCAGATCCGACCACACTGGTATCTAAATATGTTCCAAACACGTTTTTTAGACAATCAGAGATAGAAACATTATCAACAATGAGGCAGACTATAATGTGAAAAATTTTGCGACCGAGATGGGTGTCCTTGACCAAGGCGAATAACACCCTTCTTCATATCAACAAGTTCGAATCCAATAACTGTTTTAACCCTCGGACGTACACGCAAATTCATACCCCCACCGTGGTACAAGCAGGGGGTGGATGGAACCCCTACCCGGGGTTTTTGATACGTTGCAGTATTTTAAAACGTTTTTACCTTTAGTGGAAAGCCTTTGATCTTCTTAACAAGATGAGGTATATTTTAGGGGCGGTGGCGCTGCTGGAGGCCTCTGACGTTACCAACAATTGTCACCATCTTGGATTTTACCAAGAATTAGAAATCAGCTTAAAACCGCGAGAAAAAAAGCACATAAATAAGCACTTTGCATGATTTTAGTCAGAAGATTTCCTTTTTTGTTGAGGAAAGTTGAAAAAAACATGTATTTTCACCCAAAATTGGTTTGACCACCTGCTACTTATGATGTCAGATCTCGGAACCATAGCAACTGACCATTACTAAACTTGTCTCAAAATGTGCGCGGGGGATGAACGAACAGCTACTGAAATCGTCAGGTACTGATGTTTTATCCTCTAGGAAAACCATCGGGGTTCCCGGCAGTTGCAGTATGAAATGTCAGACATTCTTCAAAGAGCTGTTGTAATCTGTTGATTGGTGTGTTTGCTATTCTTGCTATGTTTGGGGGAAGTGGTCCGGATTTTTTTTCTTACCATAATTCATGAAATCTTACGCCATTTTGTCCTGCTACGCTACCCCGCCTTCCGCTGCCCCCTTTTTCTTTCGTTATTTTTACAGCTGGCGTCAATTGTAGTAATATCGGGAAAAATCCTCCAAATGTGGTCAACTTTTTTGAAAAAAGTAATGTATAATCGCATGATTGAATTCGTCGAGCAGTATAATATACTATACCGCTGCCAGTTTGGATTTCTTAAAAACTATTCAACGTCTCATGTTCTAATCCATCTGATAAATAGAATCTCTTCGGCAATTGACCCGCGTGAAACTACTGTAGGTGTGTTCCTAGATCTCTCCAAAGCTTTTGACACTCTTGATCGTCAAATCTTATTCACCAAGCTGGAGCACTATGGTATTAATCAAACTTGTTCCTCAATGCAGACGGTTAAGTGTGGAGTTCCTCAAGGATCCATCTTGGGCCCTTTATTCTTCATACTTTACATAAATGATCTTCCTAAAGCCTCCAAATTAACTGGGCGTCTCCTTTTTCCTGACGACAAGAGTATCTTATTTTCACACTCTAATCCCAACTACTTAGAGAATGTGCTTAATAATGAGTTACTAAATATTGATGTTTGGTTAAGATGCAATAGCTCTCAGTTAATATCAAAAAGACAAATTATGTTACCTTTAGTTCGAGTCAGAGGAAACTCAATCACAGTTTTTCTCTCTCTTTTGGAGGTCAACCTTTAATTTAAAGCAATGTAACTAAATTTCTTGGGGTGTACCTAGACGAACATCTTACTTGAAAATATCACATAAACTTTGTTTCTAAGTTTCTACTTATCTTGTAAGACCAAATTCATGCTGTACTACACATTAATTTATCCTTATATTACCTATAATTGTAAGTCCACGTGGTCGTCTACTTACGTATCTAATTTAAACAGAATTTACTATCTACAAAAGCGGGCTGTGTGAGCTATTACAAATTCAGAATATCGAGCACATACTGCTCCTCTATTCTCCAAATTGGAAATTCTGGATATTTTCCAAGTCAATACGCTCGATACTGCTAAATTTATGTTTCGCTACCACAATAATCTGCTGCCTCCACTCTTCTGCAATCTGTTTATGACAAACAGTGAAGTCCATAGATATGACACAAGAACAGTCAGTAATTATCGAATACAGTTCCTACGATCGTCAAGAAATTCATAATACTTTTCCAAGGACCTGGAATCTGGAACTGTCTTCCTGCATCTGTTACAAACTTGTCAAGCTTTTCGATCTTTAAGAACCAAAGCGCTAGAGTTTTCATTAAAATAGTAACTGAATTAGTTTAGCCGCACTTCCTTCGCGGCCCTTATTTCTTATAATATTGTGATGTCGAGGTGTCCTATCTATATAAGCCTGGTGGTTTCTTGAGGTCTCCTCGCCTAACAACCTGCTGTATCCTGTAAAATTTGCTGTAACAAAAAGGCTAATAGATGATGATGATGATTCTTGAAAACAGCCATTTTGTAATGCCGACTAAGCTTTATTTGCTCATTTGTAGGAGGAGGAAACTACATCTACGTTGAAGCTTCGTCTCCCAGAAGGCCAAATGATAAAGCAAGGTTATTGAGTCCACTTCTACAAGGTCCAAAATGTCTTCACCTTTTTTACCATATGTACGGACGTCATATAGGAACCCTTGATGTATCTCTTTACCCAAATAAAGTCCCAAAAAAAGACTGGGATAGTGAACTGGTCACCTTATGGAGCGTATCAGGAGGACAAGGGAACAGATGGTTGAAGGCCGGTGTCAATATAGTTTACAATGGCGAGTTTCGGGTAGGTTGAAGGAACAAGGCGAATTGAATAATGCACAATACATTGAATGGGAAAAAATACTTGTGGACTATTGTGGACTTTTTGGACTATTGCGTCAACACTTTATTAAGCAGTGTTTCAAAACGGAGGTATCCATGGACGTTTTTCGCTTTTTAATGTGGACAGGCTTCAAGAAAAGTTTCAAAACATCGCTTTTCTTACATACCACAGTAAAAACTTGCATATTCACTCTATTGTTTTTGTTCGTTATAGCTCGATCGGTTTTGAGGTTATACGCCTTATTTGCATCCCGTAATCATAGAGCCAGCTTGTTCTTGGGTCTCAGCAGGATTCCGGACGAGCAGTGTAAACTGATCTCAGTGAAAAAGTTTCCTTCTGTTCATTTTCAATTGTTTTAAAATAACGTTGACAACTTCTACCGATTCTTAGATTTCTCTACTTTGATAAAATGTCACTGTAGGTTGTTTTGACAGCAATTGTCGGGCTGGGCTATCAAGGCGATATTGCTGTAGATGACGTTTCGTTTACCGATGGCTTGTGTGATGGTAAGTCATAAATTTAATTAACCGAGTAATTAAACTGCCCAGGAAGTCAGTCATAAAATTGGCAATGAAATTGTTGTTCATAATTTTGTTTATTTATTATTTTTTGCTTTTCCTAAGGGGACTGTAACTTCGATAAACACTGGTGTTCTTGGAAAGCAAACACCAATTTCAGCTTTAAATGGACAAGAGGGTATGGCAAGACACCAAGCGTAGATACCGGGCCAAGCAGAGATCACACTACAGGTAAAGTTCTTCTTTTCTAAAATGGTCATGTTTCATTACATTCTATGATAATGAAGAGATAACTTTGTCAAAAAAAAAAGCAGAACTAATGATCAAGAAAAAACGCTGTGGTTAAATTGCAGTGGAGGATATCTTCAATATTCAACCAAGCTAATAAAGTTGTGAAATTTGTTATCATTGTCAAGGCTTTTAAAACAATTTATGATAATATCGGTGACTTCACCCGCTCTGGAGTGTTGAGGCATAAATCCTTAAATGACCACCAGAACTGAAACATTGAAGCATCGAGTCATGGTAAAGTAGCAGAAGAGTACGTTTTAAGGCTCAATTGGAAAATCTTTGAAAAAAAAAATTTCAGCCAGTTTTTCACAAGGAGGATTTATGTGAAAATGCTTTTCTTCGCCACCTCATACTATAGTAGGAAAATGAGGAGCGATCTCACAATCTCACTGCAAGTATTACAACTCTAACAAGTGTTGTACAAGTCCTTTGCTTCTGTTACTTAGGCAATGGTCAGTATATTTACATAGAGACTTCCGCTCCACGAAAAGCAGGAGACACCGCTCGGTTAGTTAGCCCACTAATGAGGGGCCCGCAATGTATGACATTCTACTACCACATGTATGGTGATACCATGAGCTGTATTGTTATATACATAAAACGACAAGACTCAAACAAGTTGAAACCGCTTTGGCTAAAGTCGGAGAACCGTGGAGACTTGTGGATCCGAGGACAAATAAGTATCAATGAGTCTTCAGTTTATCAAGTGAGTCACATTTGTATATTTACTTTTTTGTTTTGTTTATTTCTTTTTTTCAATTTTATTTGCTTTTGTGAAAGCCACCTGCTGTATGATATACTTATGCGTCCGATTAAAAAAATTGCGGAATCGCACATTTCGGCATTACCAGACACACACAGAGCTGGCGTATTTGCATCTATAACTCCTAGTAGTAGGTTTTTTACGTTTCCAAAATACCAGTGGAAGACATTTGTAGCCATCTTTCTAGGAACTTTTATTTCTTCTTTGGAAGGAGACTAAAACAGTTAAACAGTCTTTACACAGGCCTCTTTTTCACCAGTTTCGCCATCGTCTTTGTTGTTGCTGCTGTTGTTGTCTTGGTTGAAACAGCTTCTGTCATACTTTCTCCAGGCTTTCACTCGCTCAAGCTGACTAAGCTCACAAACATTTTCAAGTCTGCGCGCCATGTAAGGCAAGAGAAAGAAATCAGCTTTCCCTTGACGTCATACACATACTTGCATTCTGATAGATAATTTGCAAGGGCCTAGCGGGATTAGTATTCAGAACGGGGAGAAGTAGTATAGGGGCGCAACGACTTTATTTTTGAAATAGAATCTCATTATTTTTTGAAGTAGAATACATTTACGCTAGTGACGTCATAGCCTCATGACTAACACGCCAAGCGGTGGTAATGGTGCAGGAAAAGCAATAGAATTGTGTTGGTTATGGTGGTGGAGGAAAACCAATGAAAATGATGGTGGAGGTGTGGAGGAAAAATAATGGAATGTGATGGTGGTGGTGGTGGTGGTGGTGGTAGAGAGAAAACAATAAAAATGTTGTGGCGGTGGTGGTAAAGGGTAAAACATTACAAATATGGTGGTGGTAGTGGTGTAGGAGGGAAAACAATAGAAATATGGTGGTGGTGGTGGTGGTGGTGGTGGTGGAGGGAAAAACCGGATCTAGAGCATTGGACAAATAAATTAGAGACCTTTAGATTCGAGGACACAACTATGTACACAACTTAATATTAATAAGAAATCAGTTAACTTTAAAATCGTTCTGCTTTCCTATCAAAGGCTGAAAATAATTTGTCACTACAACTAAAAAACCACCAACTCAATTTGATAAGTGCAAATAAAAAACTAGAATTCTACTCCATCTTCAAAAATGAAACAAAGTACTCTGAATTCATCAATCATATCCGAAATCCTAAACACAAACGTGTTGCCTCCAAATTTAGAATACGAAATCATAACTTAAAAATCGAAACTGGAAGATTTACAATTCGCAAAACTCCTCAAGATCTTAGAATTTGTGATCGCTACAGTCTAAATTCAGCTGAAAATGAAATGCACGTGGTATTTCACTGTGACCTAAGTGATGATTTGAGCAAGACTGCATAAAAAAACAGACTTTATGACGTCACTTATTTAAATATGTATGTTGAAAAGAAGGGATTTCTTTCCCATTATACTGTTTATTTGTATCAGTATTTTGTTTTTTCTTTTCTAAGATAATTGTTGATGGTGTTAGAGGTACCAGTTATCTTGGAGACGCGGCACTCGACGACTTTTCATTCCAAAAAGGAACTTGTAACCAAAGAGGTATTTACAGAACAGTAAAAAAATAACAATTATAATTGCCTTTTAATGTGTATTTGTCTGACAAGTTTTTATTTTCCCAGTAGAGGCTTTGGATTCCGCTTTAGCTAGGCATTTCAAAAACGCAGTTTTGTGAAAGGTTTGAAAGAGTTCATAGGTCCTTGGTGTGTGATATAGACAATCATTCCAATTTTACGAAGTTTTGTGGTGTATTGTTGTGCTCTTCCGAGTTTTTTCTCATTTTTTTCTAAATATTTTTATTAAAAACTGAATCATTGGATAATGCAATTCTAGCATTTTGATTGGCTTAGCCTTGATGGTATATGAGCTAATATACCATGTTCTCCATATATGGTCGGTGTACGCGTCAGTTTAAAATTGGAAGCTAGCTGAGATTATTTTTCGCGAAGGATAGAACGGCGCCCGAAGCAAATCGTTTTAATTCATTTCTTAGAATACTAAAAATGCAATTTCAACGAAAAAAAAAGACAAAAACAAACAAAAAAGCCACAATAGCTTGTTTGAAAGTTTGTCGAAAAACACATGAAAACACATGGAACTAAAGTACCTTGACCAGCTACGAAAGAAGACAAGTGTTGTTTCTTCATGATCGCGAAGCTATTCGCCGATCGAGTCACTCGCCGATAGATAACTGCAGCTTGTTTATCCGACATCAAGAATGTAAATCACAAGTAACGAGCTACAAATACAGGCTATGCAGCCATTCACTAGAGCAATCGAGGCGGCAGTATAGCTTCTTTTCTCGTTCAGCAAAACCAGCTTGTGGCTTCAAACAACTTCATAACAAGCGACCGAGGTAATACCGGTAGTTTTTCTCCGTTGTTCTTTCTTTTATAACTGCACCGAAAATCCAAATTCATAGTAATTTCGACGGCTGTCACTTAAAAATTCCTTTCCTTCACATTATCTGCCAGGTTTTTAAAGCTGTTCTGCTGCGTAAAATCCTAGAATCACGATGAGTTTTTAAAAAACTAATGTGCATCGCTACAATGTTTTGATTTTTCGTTCATGCAGTCTAGGCGAGTCCGTTCGCGCGTTGACAGTTTTGATAGACGTGTGACATGTGAATAGCGGAAGTCCCTTGTCTTTTCCGGTTTGTTCTAGTCGGGGCGATTCGACGAGATTTTGTGGGCGTTTTTAATAAAACAATTATTCCACTCGGGCTTGTTGGATATGAAATAATTATAGCCAACTCGGCGCTATGCTATCTGTCATCTCATATCCAACGTGCCCTCGTGGAATAATTGTTAAATATTCGCTGACACGGCATTTGCCGTTGAGATTTCATGTATACCCATCCTTAGTTATTTTACATTTCTTGACAACTTCGAGTTTACTTTGTATACACTTCTGTGAAACTACTTTTTTGCTCAATTGTAGGTGAAACCACCTATCACGTTTCTTCATACGAAGGCAAAGTGTACCGAATCTCCTCACAACCCTACGGACACAGTCTCTACTCCGAAGAATTCCGATTCACTCTCAAACATCCCCTGGGAAATCCGAATGAGGTAGCGCATGTTATCTACTCTCGAGAGTCCAGAGGACACAGTTTCATTGAATCAAATCTGGATCTCTCTAACCAGGGGAACTTTCCCATCGATATGGCTACTCAAAGTGATGGACACGACGAACGACATAAAACCAAGGTTTATTTGATAAAAAGGAATCGTTATGGAACTATGCTTAGCCTCTATGACCATAAAAATGTGGATTGTTGCAGTAAAGATGTCATTTTCTCTTTTAGTGCATATAATGTTTCCCGAACAGGTAAGAGAAAAAAGAAAGAAAAAAAAGCATTTAGTTTGGGTTTGTTGTTCCTTCCTGTGGGTGACATAGCCTGAGAAAACAGCCGATATTTCGCGATGACACTGTAGCATCAGGTCAGCAGTTATATTTAGCGCATGCCTACTGAATAAGTGTCTTCATTTCCATCCGCCATCTTGAGTGTATGTTGTGTCTTCTCGGAGAACACTTCATGGTGTCAGAAGTGGGATGGAGCACCTGAAACCGCCTGAAGCTCTGATATTGTCTGCAGCGACGAATAAAGCCGAAGCATGGCGACGTTGGAAAATGTGTCATGGGACCTGTGCAAAGTTGCGAGCGGACTAGATCAAAAGGATGAGAAGATTCAAGTCGCTACGTTGCTCCACGTGCTTGGCAAGGAATGTGTGAAAATTTTTTCAAATTTTGTGTGGGATTCCGAGGATGATCGGGATAAAATTGAGGCCATCGAGGGAAAGTTCAAAGCTCATTGTGCATCACTGACCTCGAGGCACTTCAATCGTTATTTGTTCATCGAACGGAAACAGCAAGACGGAGAGACAGTCGATGAATTCTGTAGCGCATTTAAAACACTAGCTAAGAACAGCGACCTCGGTGATAAAGAAGAATCTTGGATTACATCCATGTTAGTCCTGGGGCTTAAGGATCCGTTTTCCGAAGAAAGGTTGATGGAGAGAGAACAGAGTTTAGAGAAAACATTGCAAGCAGCTCGCATCGCCGAAACAAGCAAGCAGCACATGAAGAGCATAAAAGAAGAGGGTAGCAAAGTTGAGAAAGTGGATGTAGTAGACGGCAAAGGACAGAAGCCTCAATGGGGAATGCCCTGTAGGAGTTGTGGTATTCGACATGCCCGAGATTCATGTCCTGCTGCTGGGCGACGCTGCCACAAGTGCGAGAAAATGAACCATTTTTCAAGGATGTGTCGTACCCCAAATGGACAAACGAAACAGGTAAACACTCTGAAGTTATGATCATTGGAGCAGTCAATGCAGGAGACAAAGACTGGGTTGAAACTGTCAATTTTGGAACTGTTCAAGAAGTCTTTAAACTAGATACTGGGGCCCATTGCAATGTCTTGCCCAAAACCGCATATGACAAAATTACAACAACCCCTTTGCAACCTTCCTCGGCAAGATTAGAAAGTTACTCCAAAACTTGTATTAGACCTGTTGGAAAGTGTGAGTTGCCTTGTTGGGTGCGTGGGGAAAGGTATCAAGTATGTTTTCAAGTGGTTGATGGAAATTACATGCCCCTTCTGGGTAGATCATCCTGTGAGAATATGGGCCTAATCCAGCGCATAAATGCTATTGAAAGTGTCAGTATTCTTGATGAGTTCTCTGAAGTATTCCAAGGACTTGGGTGCCTCCCAGGGAAATATCACATTAGTGTTGACCCCTCTGTTCCTCCTGTGGTCCACTCACCCAGACAAGTTCCTCACTCCAAGCGAGTCCCACTGAAGAAAGAGTTAGATCGGATGGAGAATGTTGGCATTGTAGAGAAAGTTCCCTTGAATGAACCTGCCGATTGGGTAAGCAGCCTTGTTTGTGTTGATAAACCGGATGGGTCTATTCGTGTATGCTTAGATCCTTAATGTTGCCATTAAAAGAGAACACTACCCTCTACCAGTGGTAGATGACATCACAACTAATTGTTCAGAAGCCACACTATTTTCAACTTTTGATGCAGAAAAAGCAGTCTACCAGATCCAGTTAGACGAGGAGAGTAGCAAGCTCCTGACATTTAATACCCCCTTCGGGAGGCATAGATACCTGAGGATGCCGATGGGTATTAAGTCTGCTCCAGAAGTTTACCAACAAAGAATGGAGCAAGTCTTTGAAGGACTCCCAGGTGTGAAAGTCATCATGGATGACATAATCATACATGGTCGAACTGGGCCGGAACATGATACACGGTTGAGGGCTGTTCTGCAGCGTGCCAAAGATAACAATCTCAGATTGAAGAAGTCAAAGTGCCACATACAACAGGAAGAGGTGAAGTTCCATGGCCATTTGTTCTCCCATGACGGTTTGAAGACAGACCCAGAGAAGGTCCGAGCCAAGGTTGAAATGCCAAGGCCAACAGACAAATCTGGTGTACAAAGATTGTTGGGGATGATCAACTATGTCAGTAAATTCATCCCCAACATGTCTGACCTTACTGCACCATTAAGACAGTTACTACAACAAGATGTTGAGTGGAAATGGGAAGAGCAGCAGAAAGGTTGTTTTAAAGCAATCAAGGAATCGCTTGTCTGCGCCCCTATTTTAGGATGTTATGATGCAAAGAAATCCCTGACGCTAAAAGTTGATGCCAGGTTCAACTGGGCTAGGTGCAGCATTGATTCAGGAAGACCGACCGACAGCTTATGCCTCAAAGGCACTTACGCCCACTCAAGAAAGGTATGCCCAAATTGAAAAGGAACTTTTGGCACTAGTATTTGGCTGTGCCAAATTTGCAGAGTACATCGTGGGTCGTGATGTCACCGTTGAATCAGATCGTAAACCTTTGGAGGCAATTATGAAGAAACCCTTACACGTAGCACCCTTACGGCTGCAACGGATGTGGTCCAACTCCAGCGCTTTCCAGGAATCAATGTGGTATACAAGCGTGGAGACAGCCTACATTTAGCGGATGCTTTGTCTGGAGCCCATTTGGAAGAACAGCTGACGAATGCTGAGCAATTGGACATAAACTTAGTAGAGGATGTTATCTCTGACCACCAGTTGGCCCGTTTCGCTGAGGCAACTAAGGAAGATGCGATTTTGTCTGACCTACAACAAGTTATTTTGGCGGGTTGGCCAGATTTCAATCTCACCCAATGCACAGGAGTTTTGGAATTACTGTGATGAATTAACAGTAACCCAGGGACTGATCGTTAAGGGACAAAAGACTGCTGTACCAAGTAGCTTGAGAGGAGAGATGCTTGAGAAACTGCATGAGAGACACCTTGGTATCAACAAGACAGTAGCGAGAGCGCGGGACGTATTGTTCTGGCCCAGGATGAGTGTGGAGATAACCGAGAAGATTAAAAACTGTCCTGTATGTCTACAAAAACGACCAAGTCAGCAGCCTGAACCATTGAAGTCGCACGAGAAAGGCAGAGAAAGCAGAAGCTGCAGCATGACAGAAAAGCAAAGGAACTGCCCCCTTTGAGGGATGGTGAGGTTGTAACAGTTGGAGAAGGCAACAGGTGGAAACCTGCTAGAGTTACACAGGTTCTTCCCTCACCCAGATCTTATGAGGTTGAAACAGAGCGTGGAGAGTACCGAAGAAACCGTCGACATTTATTAAGTACTGAAGAGTCTCAGATCCCGGAAATCACCCCTACACTGGAAGTCTCGAATGAAGAGCACCTGACAGACACCGAAGTTGAACCATCCTCTGCTAGAGTGGCCCACGAGAATCCTGTAACACCGCCAACCGGAATGTCTACGGGTACTACCACGCGGTCTGGTCGGACAATTAGGGAACCGCAGAGATTTAAGGACTATGTTAAGTATTAGATACAAAGCAGACACTTTGCAGCTTTACATTTAAGCTTTCTGTTTTCAGTTTCCAGGAAAGGACACATTGCTCTCGTTGCAGCATTGTCTCGTGTTTCTTTTTTGTTTCCTTTTTTCTTATTGTTACGGTTTGTTTGTTAAATTCAGTAATTTCAGTTTTCTTTGTTTGTTAAAAAAAGGGATGTAGCTTCAGGTCAGCGGTTATATTTAGCGCATGCCTACTGAATAAGTGTGTTCATTTCCATCCGCCATCTTGAGTGTATGTTGTGTCTTCTCGGAGAACACTTCAGCCAGCACTTGTTTCCCCCCGAAATGACGTCTGAGGAACGAGAGCAGAAGTTCTGTACTGATTACGTGTCACTATCCAGATTTGGGTTGTGCTTCTGATTGGGTGAAGTAAATCTTCAACTAAGCATTACCAAAGAATCACGCGTAGCATCAGTATGGAATTTCTGCGCTCGTTCCTCAGACGTCATTTCGGCGAGAACCAGTGGTGACGTCGCGAACTGTTGGTCGTTTTCTCAGGCTATGTGTGGCAGTAAATTTGGCTTACTTTTATGTATGTCATGAAAAAAGTAGTAGTTCTGGGAGTTTACAGGTACAGATGCAGGACACTTGTTATGGAAGGTTTTAGCTGAAAGTTGCTTAAGGGGCTTTAATTTACTATGCACCTTTGATTTGTTTACTTTTGCAGGAAACCTATCAACGTCTAACTGCTCACCTGGTTGGTACAAATCAGGCCACGCCTGCTTTCTTTTTTACTTCTTGTATTCCAAAACGTGGAGCTCAGCACGGTCATTTTGTCACAAACAGGATGCCGATCTCGCAGTTGTCATTGACGCCAGGATGTTAAAACAGCTAGTCAATAAGAGAAAAGAAATGACTTTAGATGATCGCGAATTATTCCTCGGGTTGATTTGTCGGTTAAACTGGGCCTGGTCGGATGGGACAAATATCTCAGAGACAAACAGATTTTGGGGTCCAGGAGAACCTAGTGGTGATGGCAAATGCGGCTCGTTTTTGAATGCTGTTAGTTGGGATTCTGCTTGGAAGGGGTTTGGATGGCGCTGGAGTGATGAAGATTGCACCCGCGTCCGTAAGGGATTTATCTGTGAAGAGCCATTAGGTAGGACAACAAAACTTAAAAGACCGAAACATTATTTTTGCACTCAAAATACGCACATTGCAAGGAAATAGCAACTGGGACACCACGGAAGTTTGACTTAATTGCATTATAATAATATACATTGTATATTGTATAAGAAATACTGTAACTTGCTCAAACGTCATAGCAATCTAACCTGTTAATACTCCCATTCAAACTTATCTCGTACAGCCTTCTGAAAAATGACGATTTTTTGATAGGCATGGATTTGGTGATTTTGTCTAGTTTAGGGTAGCAAAATTCAGCACAAATGGTCTGGTATAGGTTAAGGGTGCCAGGGTTTCAGCGGTTACCCCCCTCCTACAATTCTGGGAGGGAAGCTAGTATCAGGATTAGGATTTAGCCGCTTTGGAAACGCACCATACAAATTCATTGTCAGGTTTACCATTGATTACACACTATATGAATTTTTCGATTTATTTTATAGCTGTGCCTCATCACTCAGCCTTGTTTACCTTAAGTGGTGTCAATGGCACTATGGATATCAGTCCACATAGAGGGACTTCGGCTTTATCTCACGACATCATGTTTGCAACGGGTCCTTATGGAAACGAAAACGGTTCATTCTTCTTCAAAGGTAACAACAACAGCTACGTAGAACTGAAGAATACGGGTAATCTGGACACCAGATTCTCCATCGGAGTTTTTGCTTGGGTTTATCTCGACAACACCTCTGGCCTAATATTCAAGTACGAAAAGAACAACTATTATGGCTGCTCAATGAAGGTGCTTGCGTCAAACTTGGGTGTTACTGTGCGATATATGAACCGGAAAGGTACCAAAAGTTATGTGCTTTATAAAAAGAACATTCTAAGAGCAAACGTTTGGAATTTTGTTGGAACTTCATACGATTATCACACACGTCTGGCGACTGTTTTTGTCAACAACAGTACAGTGATAAAGAGAGTACTTTCAACAAAGATGGATTTAGCTACTCAGTATGATGTAAGAATTGGAGCGACGAGAAGACAAACCGCCTATTTTCGCGGAAGAATTTCGTGCCTACAAATTTATGATCAGGCTTTATCGAGAGACCAAATTATGAAGATCAAGACAAACTGTAATGAAACTGGTAAGTATCAGATGTGGCCAGCTTCTTTATCAGCTTGTGCAAATTATTATAAGATGAGAAGGATGAGTAATGATTTTTTACGTCAATTAGTTTTAGAACTTTTGCTATAACCTTTCAAAGCCGGTTGAACAAGAGGTTGAAGAACACGAGGTCTTGAGCCAAATTATTAAACTGAAGCATGATTTATATACACGTCAGAAAGGTAAATCATTTTTTAAACGTGTAGAAATGGAATAATCTACTCTGACCTGAGCTTTGCCAATTGCCGACGTGGAATCACTAAACCAGCTGTAATGGAAAATCACAAGTTGCACTTGACTCGTACGCCTGATACGTCAGTTGTAAGAACATCCAATCGCAACCTGACGTTTCAAGGTTTAACTGCCATTGTGGGTTCTCAGAAATATTTCCGGCCTGAGCAAATTTTTTTTGAGAAAAACTATTCTCACGAATTCAGAACTGACTCTAGACACGAAGCTACATGTATAGCTATACATGTATATCAGGCTAAAATCATTCTTAAAACATTGCTTAAAACACAAAAACCCAGTGACAGTTTTCCTTTTTGAAATGTTTCCTTGCCATGGAATTTAGGGTGGTGATGCAAACAACAAACTGTCCTATTTTTACACCGCTAGTCCTTTTGACAAACGCTTGAATTTCGATGAAGCATGAATTTTTTTCATAGCTGTAGACATGTAATAAGGAAATAGATTGACTGTCTTTAAAAAAATATGAGATAAAGCTACCCATAAAGTGAGAATGATACTCATTCAAAGTAATTTGCTCCGAACAGAACTAACATCATGCAGTCCCAGCTTCTTCCCTTTTCGTGGCGGTTGCTACTCCATAAACACAAACTTTTCTGGAACATGGCAAGACGCTCTGGGATATTGCAACAAAGTAGTTCAAGGAGGAACACTGGCCAAGATATCTAGAGAAGGGCTGAGGTTTACATTCTCAAGCTTGCTTGACACGAGAAGATCTAAGCCAAACAACTTATTCTTTGGACTCCTAACCAAGGACGACTGGGTCTGGATAGATAACACACCATTCAATAAATCCCTTTGGAAGCTGAGATATCCTATTGGTGGCCATGGAATCCAAAGCTGTGCTGTTATGTCAGCTGGCTCATCAAATAAGATAATAAAAAGCGTTGATTGTCGATCACCAAAATATTTCTTGTGTCAGAAACAATATGGTAGGTGATTAAAATACTTTAAGTCAGTTGTAGCTTATTTTGTCAGTTAAGAATGACATCATGGAAACCTCGAAACTTTGTGCAAAAAATTCTTTGTTTTCACCCTGTAGAGTTGTCAGCAAAAATGTTAATTCGTAACGGGCTTGGTAGTTCGTTTCATCAGGACCACCACATCTGATATGGAATTCCGTTTAAAGACATTCCTCCTTTCAAAATATACGCTAAAATCTGCCGTTGGAATCCCTTTTTTTCAAATTCTATTTCGCTCATGAATAGCCGACTCTCCAAAACCTCTTAAGAGAGCAATATTAACAACTGCCCCTACGCGCACTTTATGCCGTACCCCTGTACCTTTCGCAACAGCCCTCCTAAGTCAAGTCTATTTCTCTTTTAGTAAGTTCATTGTCACACGAGAGTATCGTGCTAAGTTCAAGCGTGTCGTTGCCCTATCACACTTCTTTAGCCATTGATGGATCATATTCAACTTGCTTCCGTTCTAGTAAGGTAAGGAATATCAAAGAAAAAAAAGGAACACGGCTTAGCTGTATTGCTTATTTCTAAACCAATTTTTGTAACTGTTTACCTACCGTTGCGGGAAAATTTGGAACTTTATACAACTGTACAGCATTCCAGGTACATTTCATCAAGTTCCTCTTGAAGTTATTACAATGGCTTTTTCTTATACCATCTTATACCATAATGGCCTCCATCTCCCTTTACAATGTTGGGATATACAGGAACGGTCAAGTTAATTTAACGACTCAAACTGAGAATTACTTATTCATAAATGTGGCCTAATAACAAGGTGATTAAGGCTTGAAGGGGGAATGAAAATCGTCAGCTTCGTGACTAGTAACCAGTTTCTTCTGGAACTAAATATTTGCGTGTGTTTTCTCTAGGAGACTAACCCTTGGTGGCGAGTAACCTTCGAAAGACCGCTGTACGTCGAATCCATCGAAATCATAGACAACGTCGACTGCTGCCCTCGGGACCATGGGATGATCTCAATCACCGTGTCTGCTAATGAAAGAGATTTTGACACTACCTGTGTTGTTTCCACTGAGTATGGTAAAGCGCTTAAGTACAAATTACAATGTTCTCCACCAGCGCTTGGCACTTACGTAAGATTTACGTTGACTGGAGAGAACGTCACACTAGTTCTCTGCCATGTGGTGGTACGAACTCTTGGTAAGTCAAAAAACAAGTGGCTTCCTCCACGAGAAACAAGCGTTTCCCTCCCAGAAACGTTTCTTATTCAACACTTTCTAGTAACGTTTCTGAAGCGTGATGTAACAAATACAAACAAAAGAGGCAGCCACTGACTCCACTACCTTTACACCATTATTCTGTTGTAAAATTTGTGCTGGATTGAAAGAAAGTCGTTACATGCATAATATTACAAATGAGGAGGGGGAGGAGGAGGGGGAAAACAATAAAAATGAGAGAAAGGAAAATCAAAATATGCTTATGGAGTGACATGTAGTGGTTGCAGTGGTGGTGGTGGAGGGAAACAATAGAAATGCGTTGGTGGAGGCAAGATAGATCTTTTGACCTGTTAAGTAAAGATTAACATCTACATCTCTAACATTTTTTGTTCTCGAAATATTGAAGCTGTTTGAAATTCTCCTTCAACTTTGTTGAGACAAGACTTGGTATGCTGAGAGAATTTCGAGGCAAAAGTGGTATCAATTCTATCTGCAGAGAATGCTGATGATGCCAAGGGAGTATTGCGCGAAGGGTGGTATAATGTTAACTACAACTCCAAAAAGGCACCGACGATGCGAGATAATCCCGCCTTTAAGCCCCCAGCACAAAGCCGTATCATTTTGAGTGAGTTTGATGCACCAATAAACGTTGGAGATAAGTACATTCAGCGACTGACAAGTTACTTGCAGGTACACTGTAATTTTTTTTTGTTTAATATTTTTTTTCTAAAGCTTGCATGATATTTAGCTCCTCTCCAAGCAGGTCTAAGCGCCATGACCAATAGTTCTTGGGTCGTTAAAACTAATTTGTCGGTATTTACCAAAGAATCGGACAAAGCATCACTCTTTTTATATCACCCTAACAATTCCGCAAGTCCCACTGTCCTCTCGTGATTTAAGACAGCTGTTGATGGACTGATCCTCTCTTGCTGAAGATAACTCAATAAATCCAATAGCACTTAAATGCAAGTCAGTCAGTCAGTCAGTCAAGCATATGTTCCCAGACCTCTACTCGTTTGTCGACATTTCCATTGTTTTTGCATGAGTATTCAATTTTCAACTTTGAAGTACTGGGGTTCCACGATTGTGAAATTTCATACCTGAGGAACAATTTCAAAACGAGGATTCCTGGTAAAATTTTGGGTCTGACGTTAACAAGTTTAAGAGCTATTTTATTATTTTCCTTCCAGAGGATAGTTGCTTAATGGCAGTTCCATTCCATTTCTCCTCCTCCTGAGGAATTTAACAGGGCACCAGAGAGCAGGATCTTGCCTGCCAGTGAATGATCCATATGAGGAGCACGGTTTATATATCCTAGGATAGTTGTTCAGAAAGGTGTTTCAATGGGAAATTGTCCTCCATATCCACCAATAAAAAGACATTTCAGCTGTCGTTCCCAGCGCTCCACATATAACAAATAACTTCTCTCAGTTCTAGCACTGGGGGGCCACACAGTCTGTTTGTGTAAACGATTGTATTGTAATTTTATAGTGAATGTACTGGATTTACCGTTTGCTTCATCTTTAGTGGCATATCGTTAATTACGTGTATGGATCAGTCCTAAATAAACGTTCTCTTTGTCTTACTTGCGGTAAATTGTCGTCCTTTCACCTCAGAAGTGGCATTTTGAGCCATTTTGAAGGATTTTGAGTTCGCTGTTTACTGTTCCTCTTAATAGAAGGACCAGGATGTAATCAATTGTTTGCACGGCTCCAGAGCCGGAGCGATTTTCCTCCAGAAAACCGCATTGCTCCGCTTTCAAAACTCGCAGCAGAAAGGCCGAAAGATTCACGCTTCTCCTCGTACCGTCCGATCGAAAATCCAAAAGGCCCGGAGCTAGCCCTCGAGGAAAATTAAAATCTCACAGTTTTCGAACGGTCAAAATGCGTAGCAAGATTTACATGTACTAGGCAGAAACCGTCCTGCTGATTGCCTCTCAAAATACCACTTCTGAGGCAAAAGGACGACAATTTACCTTAGGTAAGGTACCACAACGTTTATTTAGCATTGATCCATGCACATATGTAACGATTTACCGCTACTTATGAAGTAAGATGACGAAAACGGTCAATCTAGTACAGCTACTATAAAATTACAATGCAATCGGTCACACAAACAGACTGTGTGGGTACCCAGTGGTTCTGGTATTTCACATTACGTTATTTAGCATTTAACAGATATGATTATGGATTTTTTTCCTGTTTTTGTTCATATTTGTTAGGTCCCTGAAAGCGGCAATTACACATTTTATCTGTCCTGTGATGATGTTTGTGAGCTGTGGAAGCATGATGTTAGTGAGAAAGGTATCGAAGAAGTGAAACAAAAACTTCAGAAGGCCTTGGCAAAACAACTAATCATTACCCTTAAAAGAATGACTGGCCATAATAGATGGGACAAGTAAGCAACCTTTTTCTTCAATATATCTTTTAATATCAGACTGTCAAAAGCACAGTGTGTGCAAACAACGGTAAAATGCGACAATCACATGACAGCATTTGTCCTGTAACAGTCAAAGCACTTAACAAACGATGCAAACGCTTCTAGGGAACGTCATACCATTTTCTCGTCTTCCAAGACAACAACAGCTTAGTACATCATGTCCTTCAATTGGAAAGGGGTAGGAGTAACTCACGCAGTTGCCATTTGCATCTGTAGGTATGCGGAACAGCTCTCTCGGCCGATATTTTTAGACAAGTGCAGACTTTATCGTATGGAGGCCTTTATGAGAGAAGAGAGCAGCCAAGATCACATATCTCTGGGCATGCGCATACCATCTGGCAGGTATGAAGGCCCTATTCCAAGAAGGAGACTGTTTTGGACCAAGCCAGGTAACATGACTCTAAGCTAGGAAACGCATTTTTGCCACATTTGCAATTAAAGTTTAAACCATGAGTTTTAACTATAGACCTTGCATGAAATGCGTCCCGTGCATGTTGTCTTTTGGTTGCCACTGGTACCGGCTGCAATCATTTCTTTCTTTACATCAAGTTTGCTTTTGATTGTTTACATGATACTAGCATCTCATATAATCAAAACCTCTATACACAGAAATGTTGTTTTGGAATGAAGATTGTGTAGTAACAAACAGACAACAACACGAAAAGTACAAAATTACAAACAGCTAACCGGTTGCTGCTTGCTGCAGGTGTGACAAAGGAGTTTTCTTTTCTTGCCCTGCGCGAAGAGGTTACTTTCTGGCATGGTTTGTATTTAGGAGCTAAAACAAACAAACTGCGCGACTGACACCCTGACGCGAACCACTTCGAAACAAACTTCCCACCCGACTGACAAGCTTTGTAAGATTTTGAAAGGATCTTTTTAAGATCTTGAACGAGTCTCTTGCAATCCTTAAGGATCTTAAAGGATCGTAGCAAGGTTGTTTGAAAGATCTTCGAGGGTGTCATTTAAGATCCTTGAAAGATCTTCTTGCAATCCTCAAGGATCCTGAAGGATCTTAGCTAGGTTCTTTGAAAGATCCTTGAAAGATACTCACTAAATATTCAAGAATCTTAAAGGATCTTTACAAAGATCTTTTCAAGACCCTTTGAAGGATCCTTCCAAGATCTAGAAAGATCCTCTTCCAATCCTCAAAGATCTTGAAGGATCCTAACCTGGTTCTTTAAAAGATACTTGAAGACATGATTTGTGCTTAAAGGGTCCTCGTTATATCTTCAGGGATCTTAACGGATCTTGGCAAGGATTTTTGAGAAGATCTTGAAAGATCCTCACCACTTCCTCGAAGATCTTCAAAGGATCGTTTGAAGATCCTTAGGCTAAAAGATCCCCGCAGATCTTTGACGATCCTCAAAGATCTTAAAGGATCCTGTGAGGATTTTTACCCTGAAGAAGCCATGCCAGAAAGAAACCTGGCCGCTTATAATTCCTCTTTTATATCCTGTAAATTTTAATGAAGTATAATGAAGTCTCCAAGCTTAATAAAGCGACACTAAAACTGATAATAAACAAACCGGAGGACAGACAGGGAGCAGTATACAATATCAAATGCTGCGACTGCCAGGCTTCTTACATTGGTGAAACCGGCAAGCACGCGACTGACCGAACACAAACGAGCGACGAGGAATGGGGACGTCAACAATCACATTGCTGAGCGCCATTTAAGGACGAAACATCAAATTGACTGAGACTCTGCGAAATGTATAACGTATTCTGCAGACTACTATCAAAGTCTTACTTTATAGAGCTGGTTTACTAACTTAGAACAAACGCCACTGAATGGCAGCCAACAGTTATCAGCGCCGTACAAACGACTTATTGAGATCAAGCAAAACTAACTACGAGAGAACGACTGGAGAACTGATAACTTGACTAACAATAGACGACTGTTTAACTGTGACAATAGACGGATCGAAACGCACCAATTACTGATTACGAGTCTTCATAGCCAATAACATCACGGCTTAACTGACAGACGACCAATAACATCGCGACGTAATTGACCAATCAGATCAATAACCAGAGTATAATACCATCAACTGACGTGATACAACTGACTTTGACTCTGAAGATGACTACCGCACAGGTTGTCGAAACGTCAGTCACTGTCAACAACAACAGTCCTATTCAGGACCACGTTCACCCGGACGATCAAACTCAAACTACTTTTGATAATATTACATGGCTCGTAAAGCTCAGCGACTGTACCTACTCAACAGGAACACGAAGACTAGAGGTTACTTTCCTGGACAACGAAACTTCTCTACCTGCCTTTTTTGGTTCAGAATTGCTCGTATCAGGTTAGTTGAACTACGTAACTCGATTATATATTCAATTTGTCCCAAGCTTGCCAACAATTTCACCATCACTTGCATAGATTCTACGTGGTCCGTACGGCTTGTAGACCAATAGAAATTTTGTGTTGTCTCTGTGCAATAACTTCTCAAGAACGTTTTGTTAGCGTGATCCCATTTTTGGCGGGTTTTGTTCGCCCTTTGGATCATTTTTTTTTTTCCGAAGAAACGACTCCTGCCAATTTTTCTTTAATTTGTCAGGGTTTTACAAGTTTTGCTGTGACGGGGTGTATTGCCCAGATTGCCCAATGGAATTGAATATCTCGACCCTTCAACAAAATGTAACAGTGACCCCTGCACTTAACATGTCATGTACTAACACGTCATTCACGGCTCCATTTAAAACCGAAAAACAACCTGGCAATTTTACAATCAAGGTGAGTTATTTAATTCAACTTTTTAAAAGCTACTCTTGGCCTTGAAAATGGCGAATTTTCGCTTACAGGCACCTACCGTCAGGGTGGTGTCTTCCGTCAGAAATGGCTGGTCAGACTAGTACATTTTTTATAACGAATTCAACCATTAATATAGATAGATAGATGTTTTATTGTTTTATCAGCTAAAGCTGGTTTACATAAAAGCCATGTTAGAAATATATATACATATCTATCAGAGTTTCGAATTAATATTAGTTGTGAAAAAGAAAAAGTACATGTAAAACTAGGTATAAACATTTGATAAAATATTCTAAACTAAGATTACAGTAAGGAATCAAAGAAGCGCCTGGGAAGATTTAAATAAGTTCATTGACTTGCATTCAAGCAAATCCTCGGTTAATTTATTCCAAATAAATGCGCCCCTAAAGGAAAACGGTTTTTTGCCATCATTAATTTTGGGAAGAGGCAATTGAAATCTAGAGGAGGAGCCCCTAGTATCATAGGTGGATCTCATTTTCAAAAATTTTTGGCATAGGTATTCAGGAGCCATATTATTGTACACCTTCAACATTTCTATAACGAGAAGCTTAGCTCTACGTATAGAAAGGAAGTCCCATCCTAGCTCTTGCAGCAGGGGGCCGGAGGTAGAATCATAACTGGAAAAGGTTATGATTCTAGCTGCGTGGTTTTGTAGTTTGTGAAGCTGTAGAGCTAGTTTTGAACCCAGACCTCACAAACAACGCTGCAACAGTAAAAGTACGGTTGGATAAAAGATGTTCTTCATTGTTTGGAGGGTCAACGGAGGAACAAATTGTCTCACACGCTTAGCGCTCCGATTGCGCTCGTTTTTTTGTTTTTTGAGGCCTCCTCTAATATGTGCTGCCCATGTCCCATGTAAGCGCCTCGTCAATATTTACACCCAAGGATTTGCCAGATGTTACTTTACGTACATTGGCGTCTCCAATATGGAGTGATGGGCAAGACATTCAAGAAGACCTCTGTCACAAAAGAGGCAAGCCCAGATCCAGAGGCCTTGAATTTTGCACTTTGTCGACGATCAGGCTCTTGTAATTGAAGATGGGAGGTGAGCAGAACACCTGGCAACCTTGGTATCAACGGCATCCAGCTCAAGAAAGTGAAAGAAACAAATATCTAGGCAGCATTTCAAAGAGGATAACGGCGCAACGAAAGAGAGACAATAACAAAGACACAGAAAGCTAATGTAATTAAGTACCAAGTGGACACACTCCAGAAGCAATTACAAGCATCCCCAATGAAACAAAAGCGAAGCATTTGTATTTAAATCGTTCTTCCCGGCCACACAAAACTACCGGAGTCAAACATGGACACTTACAAAAAGATAAGGGTGAAAAATACGAAAAAAAGGCCTGGTGGGAACAACACGAATTCAACACTATATCGATAGACACAGATTTTGTTTTAAATCAAAAATGGATTTGGCCACGGACGATAATTGACACGACCAGCTGCCTTAAGGTGGCTCTACTGGGTTTTTTTTGAGGGGATACCTCCCAAGTTTGAGCATTAACTACGTCGCCATGAGTAAAGATATGGGGAAAAGATTACCACAACTGTATTATATAAAGATGATCTGGGTTTTATTGCAAACGGAGTCGCCATGGCAACGTAACAACGCCATTACGTTTTTTATTTATCTCTGTGTTTCTCTGTACCAAGAGTTTTTTTTAAGAAATCGCTTAAATAAGTTTGTACCTGCCATAATTGCCTCAAATTCTATCTTTTTGCTAAATGGGCACGTGCATATAAGACTTGGAAACAATGCCAGTGAAAAATGAGGACGCTCACTCGTAAACAAAAAATATTGGGGGGAAATTGGTTATATTTGAGGCCCTATTTAAAAGCCTTCTCTGTTTTCAATGTTCTTAAAACTTGCAGGGTATATATATAGACGATTGATCTCGGGATTGCAAAATTTATAAAAAAATTTATCAAGGGGTTTTCTGAAAAATGCGAAATTTGTAGCCATGGACCAAATTATGTGCAAAAACTGTAACAAAAGCAGCCGAATGCAAGTTACTAAAATTCTTCTTACTCGAGATCGTCCAGAGCAATTCTCCTCCTTTTTTGTATGCAATTTTCAATGGAATTAAACCACTCTGAGATGAAGCCACGTTTCCAAAGCTTATCATTTTCTTATAAATTTAGCTAATTGTGTGGATAGCATGCTATTTCACTGTTTTTATGATGCTTAAAACTTCGTTTCAAAATATCGCGATAACGCTCACATAGAATTTGTTCAAACTTTGCCATAATTGAGGCAATTATGGCTGGTACAAACTCCCTTAAGCGATTTCTTAAAAAACTCTTGGTACAGAGAAACACAAAGATAAATAAAAAACGTAATGGCGTCGTTACGTTGCCATGGCGACTCTGATTGCAATAAAACCCAGATCATAAGAAATTATCACTTTTATAGCGAAGCTCCGGCGCGCGAAGCGCGCCAGCGGAGCTTCATGGATAAGAAAATTTGGTTATGACGTAGCGTACGCCCGTACACTCTTTGCAGGGGAGGGAAGGGAATCAGGTGTCAGCCCGTCCGGGGGAGAGTATGTTATTTTGTGTGCAACCCACCTTTTTCTTGGCGGGAAATCGCGCAAGAAATGGCGTGGCTGTCGTCGCGTTCAAAAACATGTTTACGTCAACTACTTCAGTGCATAAGGATTTTGTGACCGTAGCGTTCAGTTTCTAGTACACTGTTTCAAAAAAATTGTTATTGCAACAAACAATACGGATTGAATTCAAACTATTTGCTTGTAAGTGAAGAGCGACGGGAAAGAGAAAGAAGAGAAAGGCATAAAGTAAGAATTAACAGGCGCGCTAGCGAAGAGGATTCAAGTGGAAAATTTATGCAGCATCTGCGACTTGTTCACTGATGGCTGAAGCTGACAGAGTTTTGAGTCATCTTTTGATGTTTTAACCTGTCTTTTTGCACTGGATCTACAAAATGAAATACAGCAGCTATCAACATTCTTTTGTTATTCTTGGCTGGCTTGTTTACTGGGTTGTGGTTGAGAATGCGCCGCACGACAAAAAGAAATCCGAAATCATCGTTTTCAAAAATAGGCTACTCTTAGTAAGCTTACTTCGCCTTGCTGGACTATGTGAAAAGTCTTAAGTGATTCTGGTCTTACTTGATGGGTTTCCGTGCTGCATCTCGACCGGTAAGCTTGAGTAATTTTATTGCATTTTATGTGTTTTCTTTTTTCATGTTTTTCCGTCATTTTACGCACATTTGTAGGTTTGAATCAATTTATCTGACCTAGTAAAAAACTTAAAAAGTCTTTAGACATTTTCTGACCGCGACTAGAAGAAAAAGTTCTGAAAAATAGTTTAGTTATCCTATTGTTTGTAAAAAGAAAACTTTGAGCGATATTCTTGCCTGGACTTCATCTTGCAAAATAGCAAACACGGCGAAGGCGGCTTAAAACTTAAGGCTTAATTTGAATCTATTCGTTACTCAGGATTTTCAGAGACACTTTACTCTCAAAACACGTCTTCGGGAATAGAAATTGTCGACCTTTAAATGGTTCTTTGTATTATATTTCTTGTCTTGATTGTTTGTCAAGATCTCGTTCTTACATGATTGCTTTGCCAGTTGTTGTTTTCAGTCGTCCGTGAACGTGTTGGTCACGCTCTACGTCCAATTTTTATGCTCTGATTGGTCAAAATTTGACAGGTGATTTTATGCGGAAAATTTATGCAGCATCTTGAAACTTGTTTACTGCGACAGCTGAAGCTGACAGAGTTTTGTGTCAACTTGTGATCTTTTTAACTGTCTTTTTCTACTGGATGTACGAAATGAAATTCAGCTGCTATCAAGAGTCTTCTGTTATTCGTGGCTAGTGTGTTTATTGGGTTTTTGGTTGAGAAATACGTCGCTTGTCAAAGTCGGAAATCCGATTTCGGATGGCATCGATTCGTTTTCGTTTTTCACCTTGCTTGATTGAAACGTCTGAAGCGATTCTGGCCATACTTGATAGCTTCCAGGAGCTGCGTCTCGAATGGTAAGCCTGAGTAATTATTGTATTTGTGTTTGTTGTTTTAAATATCTAATTTCATGAAGCCGAGCGCAGTTTATGAGGCTAGTTTATGCATGTTTGAATTAAGATTTGGAGATAATGATCTGACCTATAGTATGAGGTTTGATTTAAGCTTGCAGACCTATAGTATGAGGTTTGATTTAAGCTTGCAGAACTTTAAAAAGTCTTAAGTCGATATTTTCTCACCGCAAATAGAAAGAAAGCGTTTTTATTTTGGCTTGACAAAGAAGGCTTTGAGCAATTTTCTCGCCTCGAGTTCATCTTTGAAAACAGCAAACACCGGGAAGCCGGTTTAAAAGCTTTAAGCATAAAGACTCAGGATTCTTAGAGACACTTTAATACTTAATTGTCTTCGTGAATGAAAATTGTTGTCTCTGTTAATGTTTCACCGAATTGTATTTCTTTTATTGATTGTTAGTAGTCTCTCTTGCAATTTGCCGTTAATGTTTTCAGTCGTTCATGAACATCGCTTGCAGGAGTACTCAAAACGTCGCGCGTATCTAACGCTTTTTAAGTTTACACATCGTTATAAAACCATTAAATAAAAAAAATAAACACAATAAATTCCGTATTATTTTGAACTGTAACTCTATTAATGTTCATTCAAACACTCCACAGCCTGCAACTGGCTGACCGTTATATAGGTGATTTTGGAAATTTTTTTAGCGGTTTCGCTAAAAGCCCACGCGTGCTTCGATCGTCCTGAATATTGAATGAGTGCAATTTTTATTTCAAAATTGTGAAATACTGCATTCTGTCTGAGGTCTGTATGATCAAGACAGCGCCTCAAAGTACCGTTTCACCTCAGACTGTCAGATGTGATGTATAAAAAGTATAAAAGGTTGGTTTACACGCCCCCAGATTTGTTAGCAAGATTTTGTAAAGCAAACTTGTCAAAGGGGAAAAATTCTGCTGGATTTGCTTTCCAAGTATTTGTTTTCCAGGCCTAATCTACTGTGATCAAGAGCCATTATGGCCGTTAAATGTGATCGAAGATGATTGCTATTTTTTGGGTGTACATATAAAGACCATAAACTCGATGTAAGATTTGGTGCACTCTTAGTCTGCTACACAGCCGTTTTTAGTGTCGTCACTAAAAACGACTGTGTAGCAGACTAGTGCACTCTTAGAATGTTAGCAAATTATTTTTCTCTCCAATCACTTAGCGTTAATCCCTCTAAACAAAAGTCACATGAATGTGCTCTAAAGTGAACTGATTTGTGGAATACAAGTTTATTGTTTGATTTAAATTACAAATTTATTAATGGAAGCTTCGCTTTTAGCCCTGGCTAAATCTATATATTATAATACAGTTGTGGTAATCTTTTTCCCATATGTTTGCTCATGGCGACGTAGTTAATGCTCAAACTTGGGAGGTATGCCCCCAAAAAAATCCAGTCGAGCCACCTTAATAAAAACATGCTGATTATTGACTCAAACTACTAGTGTGTCAGGAAGTAAAAAAAAAAGTCTTCCTCAAAAGAACTGGATTAAGGGCTTCAATGACAGTAACTTGAAGCCGATCGATAGATCGATAGCTTCACCTTCGCGCGATGACACCGCCGTTGGTATAAGCAGACGATTAAAGTAAAGTAAACAAGAAAGTAAGCAAGTAAGTTAAATTTCAAGGTTGCAAAACTTTTTTTTCTACTTATAGACTGACCCCTATCCCCCCGGAAGGGCGTCGACAAGGAGCGCTTTGCGTTACTGACCGTCATCTTGATTTCAAATGCACCGAGGGGACGAACGTCGGGGGGTTATAGCCAGCAGGGAGGGCGGGGGAGAGAAGGGGGAAAATGTTTTCTCGCATTCCCCCGCCCCCTAAGTAGATTCTACACTCATTCCCAGGCTAGACTCGGAAGATTTGAAACCAAGATGGCCGCCCGTAACCACAGGGTGTCCACACAGTCTGTTTGTGTACCTGATTGCATTGTAATTTTATAGTAAATGTAGTATATTGACCGTTTGTGTAATGGATCAATGCTAAATAAACGTTATAGTACCTTACCTAAGGTAAATTGTCGTCCTTTTGCCTCACAAGTGGTATTTTGAGCCATTTTGAAGTATTTTTGAGTTCTCTGTTTACTGTTCCTCTTAATAGAAGGACAAGGGTGGAATCAAATTTTTTGAACGGCTCCAGGGCCGGAGCGATTTTCCCTAGAAAATTGCAATGTTCTACTTTTAAAACTCGCAGCAGAAAGGCTGAAAGACTCACGCTTCTTCTCATACCTTCCGACCAGAAATCCATCCAAAAGGCCCGGAGCTAGCCCCCGAGGAAAATCAAAATCTCGCAGTTTTCGAACTGTCAAAATGCGTAGCGAGATTTATACGTGCCAGCCAGAAAACCGTCTTGCTGATTGCATCTTTTTGATTGGGTATCGTTAACCAAATGGTTAAACAATAACTGATTTAAGGCAGACTTGGTAAGCGTTTATTGTTTAACTGCATCCAATAAAAAAGATCAGGCAATCAGCAGGACGGTTTCTGGCTGGCAGACGTAAATCTTGCTACGCATTTTGACCGTTCGGAAACTGTGAGATTTTAATTGCTCCGGGCCTTTTGGATAGATTTTCGATCGGAAGGCACGAGAAGAAGCGTGAATCGTTCGGTCAAACCACTACGAGTTTTAAAACCGGAGCAATGCGATTTTCTGGGGCAAAATCGCTACGGCGCGGGAGCCGTTCAAACAATTGATTCCACCCTTGTCCTTCTATTAAGAGGAACAGTAAACAGCGCACTCAAAATCCTTCAAAATGGCTCAAAATACCATTTCGGAGGCAAAAGGACGACAAATTACCATAAGAAAGACAACACAAAGTTTATTTAGCATTGATCCATGCACATATTTAACGATATGCCGCTACAGATGAAGCAAACGGTAAATCTAGTACATTTGCAGCCTCGTTTGCTTGGAGATTAGATCGAGAAATGAGGAGGCGATTAATTCTACACGAAACAGGATTTACTCACTAAAGGTTTTTTTCTTCCTACTTTATCGACGCCTGCAAACCGCAGACGTTTTTCCGGTCGTCGCTTCTCTCCCTCCGAAAAATAACGTCTGCGAACCCGAGCGGCAAAATGATTTCAGTGACGCAAAACGTTTTGTTTTGATGTTGGCCAATCAGATCAAAGGATAGAATACAGCTCGAGTGACTCCACCCGACGTCGCTGCTAGGGTGTCTTGGATTTTAGCAGAACGTGCATTTCACGCCTTTTAACAAGTAGGTTTCCTGCGACGTTGAATGCTGACTTCTTTGTGAAGCAACGGCTTCTTAAGCTATGTATGTTATGTGGGCCTTTGGTTTCGTTTTATAAAATACGGTAGTACGTGACATAAACAAAACCTGGACAAAATAATCGCGCTGAGACTCGTGATTTATTTCAGTTTAACCAGCGCTGACAAAAGGTGCTGAATCGAATGTACAGACACATCCTTGACTGATTCAGAAATCTCTGACAATCGATCGTGAATAATTCAAAATCTTACAAGTATCGCCACAAAACAATGATCTCAAATATTATAAACCTGGACCGGACCCAACGTGAAAATTATATATTCAGCAGTAAATCAGATCACAGTCAAGATGACATTTGAGATACGACGCTTAGACTCATCTTATAAAAACACAAGGAAATGAAAACCCTGAAAAAAACATATATTTAAAGCTTTCGATCTGATCAAAGCTTTGTCTAAACCAACAAACAAACTCGCATGGGAAATCAATTACCATAATTATGTCCTAGCTTTCAAAGATAAAGTGTACTAAAAAAATGTCTAAAGCGACACACGACAAACTATCGAAGAGTTCTCCAGAACATACTTCCCTGCGAGGAACCAGAAAGGAACAGAAGCCACAAACGGCATGATGCGTCTACTGTCATTAGTCCTGACATTTATCGTTTCGAATATGATCAAAACAACAAGGTGTGATAAATCATTGATTCCGTAGGCAAATAGATTAAATACGTCCTCTAATCTTTTCTTCAATATGAATCCTCTTGGTGCTTATTTCCCACAATCCGGGCAAATTAACTTTCGTAAACGCGTCGTTCTGAGGAAAAAGGGCGGCTGTACACAGGCTACGTCGTCCTTTCAAATTTCGACTAGTAAACGAATCCATCGCGCACGACCTCGCGAGAAGTCTGGAGAGTTAGTTCCTTGATTTTAAGAGCTAAACTGTCATTGATTTAAAAGGCTCTAGGCCACGAAAATCGTTTTGCCGCTCGGGTTCACAGACGTTATTTTTCGGAGGGACAGACGCGACGACCGCAAATACGTCTGCGGTTCGCAGGCTAAGGCTATACTCGTGTATAAATACACGAAAATTCAAGGGCTTCGATTCCAGAGAAATTACATCATTGGCAGAGATCATTTCAATCATCGCCGAAAATAAACCGCATGGTCATCACAAGACCATTTGCATACAATGAATGTTTACAACACCTGGCCATCGCAGTTTTGCTAAATAACATTCTTACTTTTTTTTCGACTACTCACTACTTAGTAGTGTTCACTTGTTCCAAAGCAATCAACGCTTTCAAGCGATAGAATTCGTGGCCCGCAAGTTTCGGAAAAGTTCTGAATTTAATCTTTCCTAAACATGTTTGGCTTCGATCACCCAACGATTCTTAGTCCCAGTTTCCACGGTCTGCGCAAGGAAAGCCTGGCACAATGAACCCCCATTTGTGAATACAATACGACAAAAAACAAAGGGAGATACTTCCAGAAAAATTGGGTCCCGACTATTTCAGACCAAAATCTGTGATTTTCTCTACCCTATTTCAGACCTGAAGCCCTGGAGCCCGACGGGTGTCCGGAGCTCGTGACAAGCTGTTACGACACGTACACAGTTGGCGTAAACATTAAAAGGGAAATGGTCTTATCTCCAAATGGTGAAGAAGTAGCTTCTTCTAAAAAAAACATACCCAATTCAAGACTAGAACCGCAGAAAGCATATAAGCACCAAGCGCCGCACATACCTATACAGCCTTTATAAGGGTGGACCCCCACCCCCCACATCCCGGGCGAAAAATACGTTGCCGATTATGAGTCTCGCTGCTTACGCAAGAGACAATACAATCGTTTACACAAACAGAATGTGGTTCTTCTGTGCCGTTTAAACGCAAAGCGCTCGATCCCTACAATCTCACGACAAAATAGGGGACCTTGAACAGTACACTCTACCTACCAATAAGTCTTTTCCTCCAACATGGTGCGAATACTGTGGCCAATAGCTTTTTCCGTGGGTCTCAAATGTGAATCGACATCCACATGAAATTCTTTCTGAAGAAACCGAATACAGAAATTGGAATCAGCGATCTCTTTCTGGTTGAACTCGATCCATGGGACTTGCCCTTCTTGGAGGTCTTAACGCTGTAAATATTTTGGTAGCGGATCTTTGTCATTCGAAGGAAAGTTTCCAATTTTAGACATGGCGGAGAACCGCTTAAGGTTGTAAACAAATCTCAAGGAATCTGATGTAGAATGACTGTTCCAGGATTGAAGGGTCTTTCGCCCGTTTTCAGTCGTGCAAAGAAGTACATGAAAGCAATTGAAGTCCCAGCAATGCAAATATAAATTGCTATTTCCATGTGCGTTACATCAAGAGAGAATGAGCTAAGAGAGCGAATCCCTGTGCTCCATCATAATTTTTTTAAATCTATTTAAAGTTCGCGCGCGTGCGGCGAAAGTTATTTTTGTCTGTTGTTTCCGTGACCCGTGCGGTCTACTTTCACGAGAACGTGACATGTTTCGCCGCCAAACATTTGAAGTTTGACAGCCATTATAGTAATTAGCGCCAGGAGCCGACACTAATCGGCTCCTGTTGTTGACATGTTTTTCCATCAGCGCTTTCGGCTCATAATTCAGGAATGAATTTCATTTACAAAGGGATTGCAGTATTGGAGTCAAAATTTCACTTGGAGATTAAAGATTGAGATTTTCTAACTGCTGGTAGCCTCATTTAGACTAACGAATATTGAATCCTGACACACTGTGAAAGCCAGAGACAAGGTTATCACGCGCGAAACACGAAACCTTTAATAAGTGGCTGGCTTCAATTGTTTATACAAAGGTGCAAGATATTTTTTCTCTTTTTCCAGGAATATTTTTCGTTCAGAAACAGTACATTTGCTTTTAAGAATTATTCTTGGGAGTTTCTTCTTAACGTCTGATACTTGCGATAAATATTTCGTTGTGCAAACACAAATCAGGTCAGATACTTCAAGCTGTTAAACAGTCGTTAACCTGGATGCCAGAGAGTTTTGATACGCGGTTTCCGGTTTCGGTCAATTCTTTTATAGTGAGCGGTGTGCCCACATTTGTCTAGCGTCCTCATAAAATTCAAATGTTTGGCGGCCAAACATTCATGTTTGAACCCACTTTGAACCTATTTTCTCGTTACGTGTCCACGGTTTGATCCAAACGACGGTATCACAGCTCGCGGGTGTGCGTGGATGTCACCGGAAGAGACAGTTGTCGTTTTTTGCAATAGGATGTTGGTTATTTAGATATTGATGTAGCGAAGACCTCAATAAGCAGTTTTCGCCAAATCGGAACCGCTTTCTCCGGCGAACTCCCACAAGCCTGGACCGCTTTGCTCTTCGTCAGCTACTCTGGCCAGATTATTCCACGTATAAATCTTTTGACTCGTCTACGAAAGTAATACCAAGTTTGCACGTCATATCGCTTGCTGTGCGTGATCGGCAATGAAATGAATTACCCGCCAAGTTTAAAATTACATAACGCCACTCTAACCGACCAATAAGGTGGCGTCCTTAAAATAACCACGCAGTATGACACGGAACCAAGAATAGATTGAAAATAATCTTCATGGGAAGAGGGTCATGTATGGGGGATTCGCTCTCTTAGATCATTCTCTCTTGGTTACATGCAATAAAACGGCTCTAATTTGCTTCACAGAGGAAACCTAACATTAACGGCTGTACAATTTATCACTAGAAATAGGAATTTTTATGATAGTAAGATATTAGAATTCAAAGTAGACAGGCTGCAAATCATCTTAGTTGCTAAAAAATATATACCTACGCGTCGCAACTGTTCATCAGTAGGATGCCTAAAATACGTGCAATTCCACAATTGGTTTCGGCTCCATTAAATCCATTAACTTATCTGGGCTTCGACAGGATCATATTAACAGGATCATATTAACAAACTTCAGCTTGTGCAAAATTATGCCGTACGTCTTTTGACTGGTACTAGGAAACATGGACATATTTCACCCGTCTTAGGTCTCTTCTTTGGTTGCCTATTCCGGAAAGAATTGATTTTAAACTTTTACTTCTTACATTTAAATGACTTAATGATATAGCACCGCCTTATATAGAAGAACTGTTAGTTCGCTATAGACCAACAAAAACTCTGCGTTCAGCTGCAGATAAAGGACTCCTGGTACAAACTATAAAATACAACCTTAAAACCTATGGTTACAGAGCTTTTTAACACGCAGCTCCTAAGGTATGGAATTCCATGCCAGTCAATATACGCACATGTTGTGAGCTGGACGCTTTCAAATCAAAAATCAAAACATTTCTTTTTAAGCGTGCTTTTCAGCTGTAATTTTATTTTATTTTTTTTATTATTTATTTATTATTCTTTATTTTTTTGATTTTTAACAAATAAGTCATTGTAATATTTTATTAGGTTTATTACTATCAGTACTGATTGTAAAGCGCTTTGGATTTATTATTATTATCATGTATTATTATTATTATTGTTATTGTTATTGTTATTGTTATTATTGGGACATTGAACAGAGCGGACACATTTTGTGCCTGTCCTCGTTTTAAACGTCCTTTTGTGCTTGGATTGAAATCTTTTTTGGATTAATCAGTGGGGAGCTGCTTTTGGTTGTCGGAGGGCATGGTTTGTTCGCGGTTTTTGTTCGTTTTGCTTGCTGGTGTTGTCTGTTCGTTCTGCGGTAAGGATTTTGTCTCGCTGGGCCGCCATGCGTGACGCTGTATTAAAACATAGAATTACTCGAGCGGAGCGTACTTCTGCTGGAGTGGATGAGGATGCGAATGAGTCAGTCGCTGCAGATGCTTCTTCTATACGATTGAAGATGCATCAAAGGAGTTGTAGAGTTGTTTTGGGTTTGAATGATCAACTTCGTGCTGACCTCAATGATGCCGTACTCACTGACCAAGAATCCGGCGATGTAAGTGATCCTTTGACGGCCTCCGGTGTCCCTTCCCCTCAACCTGAAGACCACTGCTTTCCCGACGAATATTTTAAATCCATATTATCTCTGAATCCTCCAATCACTGTTCAGAATCTCAGCTCACGTTTTAAACTTCTGAACGACACTGTTTATGACTATTTCTCTGCTAATTTTGGTCAAGTTGCACGAGCTCCTGATGAAAGCCTGATAAGGAAATACGAAGGCAAATCTAAAAATGATCTGAAGAAATCTCTCAAAGTCTTGAAGCAGTTCGCTAACGCTGACATCACCGAAATCAAATACGTATCTGGCTTATTGCGTGACATACTACGAGACAACACGTCGTGTCAAGTCAACGCTGACCTCATGAATCATGATTATTCCATCTCTAAAAACTAAAAATTTCAGGGGATATGTCAGAAAGATCTTCAACAAAAAAGATGAAATCCTCCCTTCGTTTTCCATGAATGAGTGTTTTGATTACTTTGCAAGAACTCTTTCGTCAGTAAATCCGACTAAAGTTTTAGCCTTCCATGCTGGATACCAACTTTATCAGATCCTGTAATTCCGTTTAACCTTGAACCTCCAACACACCAACAGATCTCAAAGGTGATAAGAAAAATGAAGGCGTCTGATTCTCCTTGTCCCCTAGATCATCTGTCAATAATTGGTTTCAAACGATGTCCTTTTCTTCGCACCTATATTTATCTGAAATTATACGCACAGCTTAGTCAACTGGATCCGTCCCAAGCGAATGGAAGCGAGCCTCCTCATCCATAAAAAGGAAAACGCTAATGACCCTGCTAACTTGCGTCCTATTACTTTACAATCTGTGCCTTTAAAGGTTTTTAACTTGTGTCTTCGTAATGCCATTCTCAACTTCCTCTCCGCTAAGAACTACATTGAACATGAAATTCAAAAAGGCTTTACACCAGGTCTTTCTGGAACTTTTGAGCACACTGCTCAAATGGCTGATATCATTAACAAAGCTTGTACCAAACAGCCGTTCACTCGTCATTACTCTTTTGGACCTTAAAAACGCCTTTGGTGAAGTTCATCACAACTTGATTCAAACCGCTCTTGATTACCACCACAGTCCCGATAATATCAAATCAATGGTGAAAAGTCTTTACACTGACTTCAAAACCTCTATTCTTACAAATGAATTTCGCACTCCGTTTATATCTGTTGGTCGTGGTGTACTCCAAGGTGATTGCCTTAGCTCACTTCTACAGCATATTAAATCTGATTTTCCCTCAAGTTCTTAAATCCCATCCACTAGTTGCAGTTCGCTGACGATGCCGGTGTTATAAGCGGTCAGGAATCGGAAAATCAATATCTAATGAACCGCTTTATAATCTGGTGTAATTGGTCGAACGTGATAATAAGAGTTGATAAATGTTCTACTTTTGGAATACGGAAACTGTGCTCTAAATCTGTCCAATATTTACCCAAACCGTTGATCAATGGAGTTCTAATTCCCTGTGTGGAAATGGGTGAATCATTTCGTTACCTATGTCGATCCTTTGACTTTAACATGTCTAACAACCCACACATGTCTGACTTGTCCTCTCTTGTACAAAACTTGATGAATGACACTGATATAAAGCCACTGCATCGTAAACACAAACTTCTGTACAGCCGCTATGTCCTATCGAAACTGCCCTGGCATTTCACTATAGCTAATATATCCAAAACCTGGATAACGAAACATCTCGACTCCGTAGTGAATGGCTATATTCGAAAATGGCTTGATATTCCGATATCTGGAACACTGAGCAATATTTTCCTAGAACGCAATATTAAAAAATATATATTTGTCCTCCCTGTATTAAATTTACTCAGTGCCAAACAGTTCTCCGAAATTCATTAAAAGAGTCACCAAATGATTTCTTAAAAGATCTCTGGAAATCGTCAAACTGTCACACTAATATTGAATATGATGAGTACAAATCCACTAATCAAGAGGATAAACTGCAACACCACCTAACATCTCTCTGTAAATTCTATTTGGTCAGAGGCCCCGTCTCATCTATCCGAGAAAATGTACAATTTTACCATCCGCTACATCAACAACTCCCTCACTACACGTAAGAATATGGCAAGATGAGGATTATCACAAAGTCCTGATTGCTCCTTTTGCCTTAATCCTGAGTCACTCCCTCATGTTGTCGCTGGTTGTCAACAGTACCTTGATCGCTTTACCCGGAGACACGACTCAATCCTTAACTTCACTGCCAAGTCACTTCAGCCGGTAATTATTGTTCACTCTTCACTCTATGCAGATGTTAATGAAGGGGAGATGGGGGTTTACGGTATTGCGGTACTGGGCTTTTTTTCATGCGGTATTTCGGTAATTTTAATTTTAACGTGTAGTATTGCGGTATCATCTAGCGCTGCGGTATGCGGTTTTTCATCATTTTGGCTGACGGTATTTGGTAAAATAAGATTGTTCACGGTATTATGGTACCGTTTATTTGCGCTTTCCTTTCGATACAATACGCAAAACAAAACACAGTTGGACAAGAAGGTCAATAAAAGTTAATATTTAGAAGTCTTGAGACATAACGATAAATGATTATAGGAGGACCTCGCTGGGGTTAACCGATAGGCGTAAAACGGCCTAAGATTTAGTCGTTAGCCGTAAAAATTGAAAATTTAAACCGTTAGCCGTAACTAGGATAAAAAGAGTTAACCGTAAAAGAAATTGTTCCCTAGCTACGTTTGTCAATTTAAGGAAGGTGTTAAACTCACTTTTTTTATGGTTACGTTTTTTACTTCCCGGCTACTTTGACTCCGTATGCACGTTAGGCCAAGCGCCTAGCTTTTAGGTGTTGACCTAGACCTAAACTCCATTTTCGTCGTTCTCTCGGAGAACTAATTTTTTCCATAGCGAAAATCTGGCTTCTTGCTGGGGATTAATATTTGCGATTTTCAAGAGGTCGAGTCCTCGAAATACTAGTGAAACAACAAGCGGAGATATGTCACTGTTTGTAAAACACGCGACCGATAAACAACAATTCCCTGTTTATCTCTAACGCCACGGTAGACATTGCCATGTCTAGTTCTTGTATTAAAGGCGTCTTCCCACGCAGTCTCGTTCAAGGCATTTGGGTGGCGTATCTGAGAAAAAAACTCGCTCGGCCCACGTGACCCGAAACTCATTAGCCGCGCTGAACGATGAGGCCTACGGACAAGGCAACAGGAGACTTAGTCGTTCTGTACAGTCTTTCGCTATCATTAAAAACACTGGACACGGGAATTTTGTTATTGGCTGTTTTCACATCAGAGGTAGAAATGGATCATCCGTCTGTAGACTAGCCTGTGTGCAGACGCCTCTCCCCCACAGACACCCCTTCTCCGATTTTTTCAGAGGAGGCGGCTGAACACAGGCTATCAGAAACGGATAATCTATATCCAAACTGTCCGTCAAAATTGACGAATAAAGTCAGGTGGATTGTTCATTCAAAATTAAAACCATTCCGTTTTGAAACTAAGACGTATTGCTTATCTGACGCGAATTATCAAACGGATAACCCGTCTCACGCGAATCACCCGTCTCTAGTGTGAAAACGGCCGTTTCTGTTATAAATGAATGTCACGCCCCCGGTCTTGAGTTTGGCGTTCGCGTTTTAAATTAACTATTGGCATTTCTTTGCGTAAATAATACTAGAAGTGGAATACTTTGTAATATATAGATTTAGCCAGGGCTAAAAGCGAGGCTCCCATTAATAAATTTATAATTTAAATTAAACAATAAACTTGTATTCGAATTCCACAATTCAGTTAACTTTAGAGCACATTTATGTGACTTTTGAGGGAAAGGCTACCTGATTTTAGAGAAAAATAATTTGCAAACAGCCCAAGAGTGAACCAAATCTTACATTGAGTTGATAGCTTCATATGTACACTTAAAAACTGGTAATCATCTTCGATCACATTTAAGAGCCATAATGGCTCTTGATCACCGTAGATTAATTAGTGGAAAAAAAAATCAGGCCAACTTTTTGCGTTCGACAAGTTTACTTTGCAAAATCTTGTCAACAAATCTGGGTGCGTGTAAACCAAGTCCTTTTATACCATTTATACATCACATCTGAGGTGAAACGGTAGTATGAGGCACTGTTTTTATCATACCGGCAGACCTCGGACAGAAAGCAGTATTTCACAATACAAATTGCACTCATTCAATATTCATAAACTGTTAAAAAAATTTCCAAAATCACCTATACGGCCATCCGGTTCTCACTTTTGTAGTGTGAGCTGTGGCGAGTGTTTGAATAAACATTAACAGAGTTACGGGCTTTTACTTCGGGTAGAAGAGCACAGAACGCGTCATCAGAATGGAATGGGCAAAAGAGAAACATTATCGTTAATTTATGACAAATGTATGCAACCGGGTAGTCTTAATAGAGACAAACTTATGCATTGACATGAACGCATTACAATGTCTTGTCACGGTAGAATCGAGTACTTTTAGTTGCTAACTTTGGAAGTGTGGAAATGTGGAAATGTGGAAATGTGGAAGTATGTCCTCATTGTCTTAATTTATCTAATAACTCTGGAAGTGTGGAAGTGTGGAAATGTGGAAATGTGGAAATATGTCTTCCTTAATTGTGTTTGTCTAATAACTCTGGAAGTGTGGAAGTGTGGAAATGTGGAAATGTGGAAATGTCTTCCTTAATTGTCTTTGTGTAATAAGTGTGGAAGTGTGGAAGTGCGGAAATGTGGAAATATGTCTTCCTTGTCTTAATTTATCTAATAACTCTGGAAGTGTGGAAATGTGGAAATATGTCCTCATTGTCTTAATTTATCTAATAACTCTGGAAGTGTGGAAGTGTGGAAATGTGGAAATGTGGAAATATGTCTTCCTTGTCTTTGTCTAATAACTCTGGAAGAGTGGAAATGTGGAAATGTGGAAATGTGGAAATATGTCTTCAATGTCTTTATCTAATAACTCTGGTCGGAAGTGTGGAAATGTGGAAATGTGGAAATGTGGAAATATGTCTTCCTTAATTGTGTTTGTGTAATAACTCTGGAAGTGTGGAAATGTGGAAATGTGGAAATGTCTTCCTTAATTGTCTTAATTTATCTAATAACTCTGGAAGTGTGGAAGTGTGGAAATGTGGAAATGTGGAAATATGTCTTCCTTGTCTTTGTCTAATAACTCTGGAAGTGTGGAAATGTGGAAATGTGGAAATATGTCTTCCTTGTCTTTGTCTAATAACTCTGGAAGTGTGGAAGTGTGGAAGTGTGGAAATGTGGAAATGTGGAAATATGTCTTCATTGTCTTTGTCTAATAACTCTGGAAGTGTGGAAGTGTGGAAATGTGGAAATGTGGAAATATGTCCTCATTGTCTTTGTGTAATAACTCTGGAAGTGTGGAAGTGTGGAAGTGTGGAAGTGTGGAAATGTGGAAATGTGGAAATATGTCTTCATTGTCTTTGTCTAATAACTCTGGAAGTGTGGAAGTGTGGAAATGTGGAAATATGTCTTCATTGTCTTTGTCTAATAACTCTGGAAGTGTGGAAATGTGGAAATGTGGAAATATGTCTTCATTGTCTTTGTGTAATAACTCTGGAAGTGTGGAAGTGTGGAAGTGTGGAAGTGTGGAAGTGTGGAAATGTGGAAATGTGGAAATATGTCTTCATTGTCTTTGTCTAATAACTCTGGAAGTGTGGAAGTGTGGAAATGTGGAAATGTGGAAATGTGGAAATATGTCTTCATTGTCTTTGTCTAATAACTCTGGAAGTAAGGAAATGTGGAAATGTGGAAATATGTCTTCAATGTCTTTATCTAATAACTCTGAAGTGTGGAAATGTTGAAATATGCCTCCATTGTCTTTATCTATTAACACTGGAAGTGTGGACGTGTGGAGAAATGTGTCTTCATCACTAACTCTGGAAGTGTGGAAACCTGTAAATGTGTCTTGTTTGTTTTAATCTAATAACTCTGAGAGTGTGGAAATCTGGAAATGTGTCTGGGATGATTTGGGAATTAAAAATAGGACTGGCGCACGACGAAATGACTGGCGTTACTTCCGATTGCTGTCAATCGCAAGAAGGTGACATTGCTTGTTTCAGCTCACCGCCCGGACGCATATTTTTGTAGTTGTTTGTTCTGGAGGAAAATGGACGGCCTTTTTGTACAGAATGTGACTGTTGCGGGTTTGGCTTTCAAGAAACACGATTGGCGACCAAGTAAGCTCGAGGATTTGCTTCACTAAGGATTTTGAAGCTCTTTGCACTATCAACTTTTAAAAAAACGCATGAAAAAGAGGTACGAAAAAAACATTATGGTAGTTTGCATTTCACTATGAACCTTGGTCCGATAAAATGCGTCTCAGTTAAAATTTTTTTCATCTGTTTTTCGAGACTAAAATGTCTGAATTTGTTTTTTTCTGTGAAACACACAAGACGGATTTTTGATGTACGTAAGGATTACTGAGTAAGGTCACGCCGAATGCATTTACAACCCAATGTGACTTTCGTTTAGGTAATGTTCTTTGAAATGTATTTCAAGTTATCCATGTACATGCATATCCTTTTTCGCAGGTTGTAGTCTGTACCTCTAAGATCAAACGATTTAAAACTTAGTCATTACTACATATATTTACGTCAGTTCGCAGACAAATATCACAAAATAATTTTATATCTTCCAAATGACCATGAACTATCAAAATACTAAAAGAGGTAAAATGTCGACACCCCGCGCTGTGACCATATCTCGTCGTCGCTTTCTTTATGGCTTTAACTGATCTCTTTTCACTATCGTTCACATTATTTGGCCTGGCATTTAATGACAAATTGTGTTTGTAGTAATGACAGAGTTTTAAATTGTCGCCTGTTTCCCGAAAACGGTTTTATATAGCAATTTAACGGACAATCAATTACTGACACTGTTGGATTTTTATGGTTATAAAAACCCATGGCCCCCATGGCCTGTTGTATTTCGAGATGTCTATGAAATTAAAGTAATGACAAGACTTGTAAATAATGATTCTTAAACCTCTGCGTGAACTTAAGGTCACCTTATCATGGCAATATTACACACATTGATTAATATCAGGGATTTATAATAACAATAACAATAATAAAAATAATAGTAAAATACATATTTTAAGAGGAGGCCTCCATCACTAAACACACAAACATAAATTCGAACATGAAGTCCCCAAAAAGATATACATTAAAGGGCAGTTGATGGTAAAAAGCCAGACAGGAACTGAGATGCATTTCATCGGTTCAGTTGCATGAGAGCGTTTGTCAGAGCAAACTACGATTGCGCTTTTTTATGCGTTTATTTAAAAGTTGATAGTGCAAAGAGCTTCAAAATCCTTAGTGAAGCAAATCCTCGAGCTTACTTGGTTGCCAATCGTATTTCTTAAAAGCCAAACCCGCAACAGTCAGGGGCGTCCATTTTCCTCCGGAACAAACAACTACAAAAATATGCGGCCGGGCGGTGAGCTGAAACTAGCAATGTGACTGTCTTGCGATTGACGGCAACCGGAAGTAACGCAAGTAATTTCGCCGCACGCGAGTCCTATTTTTAATTCCCAAATCATCCCAGACGCCTTTCCAGATTTTCACACTTTCAGATTTATTAGATTAAAACAAACAAGACACATTTCCAGGTTTCCACACTTCCAGAGTTAGTGATGAAGACACATTTCTCCACACGTCCACACTTCCGGTGTTAATAGATAAAGACAATGGAGGCACATTTCAACATTTCCACACTTCAGAGTTATTAGATAAAGACATTGAAGACATATTTCCACATTTCCACATTTCCTTACTTCCAGAGTTATTAGACAAAGACAATGAAGACATATTTCCACATTTCCACATTTCCACATTTCCACACTTCCACACTTCCACACTTCCAGAGTTATTAGACAAAGACAATGAAGACATATTTCCACATTTCCACCTTTCCACACTTCCACACTTCCAGAGTTATTACACAAAGACAATGAAGACATATTTCCACATTTCCACATTTCCACATTTCCACACTTCCACACTTCCACACTTCCAGAGTTACTAGACAAAGACAAGGAAGACATATTTCCACATTTCCACATTTCCACACTTCCGACCAGAGTTATTAGATAAAGACATTGAAGACATATTTCCACATTTCCACATTTCCACATTTCCACACTTCCAGAGTTATTAGACAAAGACAAGGAAGACATATTTCCACATTTCCACATTTCCACACTTCCACACTTCCAGAGTTATTAGATAAATTAAGACAATGAGGACATATTTCCACATTTCCACACTTCCAGAGTTATTAGATAAATTAAGACAAGGAAGACATATTTCCACATTTCCGCACTTCCACACTTCCACACTTATTACACAAAGACAATTAAGGAAGACATTTCCACATTTCCACATTTCCACATTTCCACACTTCCACACTTCCAGAGTTATTAGACAAACACAATTAAGGAAGACATATTTCCACATTTCCACATTTCCACACTTCCAGAGTTATTAGACAAACACAATTAAGGAAGACATATTTCCACATTTCCACATTTCCACACTTCCACACTTCCAGAGTTACTAGATAAATTAAGACAATGAGGACATACTTCCACATTTCCACATTTCCACATTTCCACACTTCCAAAGTTAGCAACTAAAAGTACTCGATTCTACCGTGACAAGACATTGTAATGCGTTCATGTCAATGCATAAGTTTGTCTCTATTAAGACTACCCGGTTGCATACATTTGTCATAAATTAACGATAATGTTTCTCTTTTGTCCATTCCATTCTGATGACGCGTTCTATGCTCTTCTACCCGAAGTAAAAGCCGAGTTACGCGCGGCATTTTGAGTTAAATAACTCCTGCAAGCGATGTTCACTGAACGACTGAAAACAATCGGCACAGCGATTAAATTACAAGAGAGACTACAAACAATCAATAAAAGAAATATAATTCGGTGAAGCATATACAGAGACAACAATTTTCATTCAGGAAGACAAGTATTTAAGTGTCCCTAAAAATCCTGAGTCTTCAAGCTTCAAGCTTTAGTTCATGTTTTAAGCCGGCTTCCCGGTGTTTGCTTTTTTCAAAGACGAACTCGAGGCAAGAAAATCGCTCAAAGCTTTCTTTTCCGGCCAGAATTATAACTAAATATTCTTTGGAACGTTTTCTTTCTATTTGCGGTGAGAAACTGTCTAAAGGCTTTTTAAAGTTCTGTAAGCTTATATCAAACCTGATACTCGGTCAGATCATTGTCTCAAATCTTACAAACGTGCATAAACTAAATGCCCGCATAAACTACGCTCGACTTCATTAAATTAGATACAAAAAACAAACATCAAATACAATAATTTCTCTGGCTTACCATTCGAGATGCAGCTCCAGAAAGGTATCAAGAAAAGCCAGTATCGCTTCAGACTTTGCAATCCTCTTACGCATCAAGCAAGGTGAAAACGAAAACGATGCCATCCGAAATCCGATTTCCGACTTTGACACGCGACGTATTCCTCAACCAAAAACCCAATAAACAAACTAGCCATGAATAACAGAAGACTCCTGATAGCAGCTGAATTTCATTTTGCACATCCAGTGGAAAAAGACAGTTAAAAACATCACAAGTTGACACAAAACTCTGTTAGCTTCAGCGGTCAAAGTACACAAGATTTAAGATGCTGCATAAATTTTCCGCATGAACTCACCTGTCAAATTTTGACCAATCAGAGCATAAAAATTGGACGTAGAGCGTGACCAACGCGTGACCATGGTGAGAAAAGTCAAAACCAACTGTCTTCCCTGCCTGTAACAGCTGGCTGAATTTTCGCGTCCGAGGTCAGTTTGCAATCAAAATTTTAATTGTGTAGCACATAAGCACAACATAATTATTTCATATGAATTTAGAAAAAAAATGAACTTGAGCCTGCGATCACTTTAAAACTAGTAACTTGTCAGCGGATAGCTTCAAAAAAATACTTGACCTCGATGGGTCGACACCTGAGCCCGCGATACGGTCAAGTGATACTGGTCAGCGGGTACCCTGTTTTGACAGCTGTCAATTGATCAAAATATTGATGTCAAATATGTGTGCATTATAAGTTTAACTAGTTAGAGATTGAACATTGTTCGCGATCTAGTAAAACAATTAACTGGTCAGCGGACAGCTTCCAAATAAATCACGTCACCTCGATGAGTTGACACATGAGCCCACGATATGCTCATGGGATACTGGTCAGTGGCAATCCTGTTTTGACAGCTGTCAATTGACCATATTGTGAATGTCCTATACTAAAATCCTATATTAAAGATGTGGACTTGCCAACACACCCCTGAGACACCCCTCCCTTCCTTTTGATAGTCTTCCCTACCCCACCCGTACAATCTGTAGACGCGTACGTACGTATGTACGTACGTACGTACGCTCGGTCAATCACGTGACAACCAAACGAAAAGAGGTTGACCATATTCAATGAGTATGGGGCTCTGTCCCACGCGCGCTTCGCGCGCGCGGGAGCCCCGCTAAAAAGTATGATCTATCAAATGCTAAAATTTTTCAGAAGGATAGCATTTCATTCCGAGATGATCTTAAGACCTTTATTTTGCTTTAAAGATACAAAAAATACAGGTTCATTAACATTGAACTCTTTGAAACAAAAGAAATTAATCTTCAACTTTTCTTGTTAACCGTAACTGAAAAAAAATTAACCGATAGCCGTAAAAGAGCCAAAATTTCAGCCGATAACCGTAAAAGCCACCACCCCATCGTTTAGGGACGGACTATTAGAAAACTTATGGGGGCGGGGGCGCGAAGTACTAAAAAAATATTCGCGCAAGGGAAAATTAATCCAAAAAAATATTCATGCTATGGCCCAAAAAGAAATCATACAAGGAATTTGATAACGAAAAGTTGGTAAGTTTGCCTCTTACCGGCGCGGCGTGTGAGTCAGTCGAGATAGTTGACCCCTGAGGACTGACGTGCTAGACTGGACTCACTTATGTAAACTCGCACTACACGTGCGTGGAGAGGGTTTTGGTTGGTTTGTTTTTCGCGCTTTCAAGAGTTATTTTTATTGGAGTTAATTAGCTGTTGGGTCGACCTACCAAAAGGTTGAACGAAAGTAGTTTACTTTGCAGTAAAAATTTGCGAAAAGTTTGCGAACTACCAAAATATATATTAAAAAAACGTGAACGTCTGGTGCATAAATGTCTGAGATCATTAAACGCGCTAAATGGAAGCAACCATAAGTATGCGGAACCGATTATAAATGTGATTAAAATATTCGGTATCGGCATTTAGACGATTTTCGACGCGGTATTTCGGTATTTGCCATTTTGTCTTACGGTATTGCGGTATTGGGTACCCCCCAATGTCCCCTTCGTTAATAGTTTTCTGATCATGAATCCCTCAATAATAACTGGTGAAAATTATCGTTCAGATCTTCTTTTACTAATTCAGTCCAAGTGCCTATATGTTCTAGAATTACGGTTGGTTTCGAGTCTAACTTTAACAACAATGCAGTGCGTAAAAAAGAAAAAAATCTGAACTTGATCAACGAAATGAGTAGAAATTACAGACGTGTGAGATTTGTAAATCTCTCCATGAGCTCCCTTAACGTTTTCTCCGATGAATGCTCCACGTTCTTAGACATGATGAATGACATTGGCATTGACAAAAAGCAGCAACTTTATATAATCAAGAAAATGATAAACATAACCATTAGAGCAACATATTACATCTTTTGTTGAAGAAATAGGAATTGGGATAGCCCAGACAATTTTGATTTCTTTTCTTTTCTTTTTTTCTTTTTTTTTGCTTTTGTTTTGTTTTGTTTTGTTTTTTAATCATCCAATGTCAAGCAGCATTTGTAAATTGCCTATACGTAGCGAGATTTACAATTGTACATTCAAAAACACAAATACAGTTTCCATTATTATTATAATTATCATTATTACAACGAAATTAATGATTTATCCCATAATTCATGTTATTGTATAACTATCTCCAGGGGTTTCCAGCATAAAAGTTGCGGGGGTGGTCCATCTGCGGAAAATTAAAAAGTGACTATCTGTGCGTCTCCCGCTCAACCCTAGGCTACCTAGGCGATGTTTTTATCGACAAAAATGTTTCCTTGGTAACTTTTATTGGGGAATCCTCTCCCGGATAAATATTAGCGAAACGTTCCTAGCGGCGAAGAGCGAGGAGAAACGGATGTTTTCGCAGTCTAGGTAAATATATTCTAAATTTAAATTTGAACATGTCTCCTAAGCAGCTGTTCTTTTTGTAGTTACGTGACGACAATACGAAGGGCTCTCTTAGGAAACCAGAGCTGTCCATGCTCTTACGAATGCTCACCATGTTTTTTATTTCCATGCCCCAGATCACTTATGCCTTTGCTAACAATTCAGAGCAACTTGTGAATGAAAAAGTGTTGGGACATGTTCTACTTGAAGGTATTTCCAACTTCCACCAGTTCTTTGTTGTTTTTTAGCCAGCCATTGGGTTACTATTCGTTACTCTTGAAAATACGGCGATAAAATGATCATTCTAACTGTTCTAACAACTGTCTAAGAGAGACAAAAAAAAAAAAAAAAAGACAAATTAAGATCTTACATGAGACAGTGTAAGCACATTTGGCAGGGAGCTGGTCTCAGACAGATAGCGATATCGCCGGTCATAGGCTCGGTCCGGACCATTACTCAGGATTGTAAAATAATTGGCAGAATAATCGTAAAATCGTTCTTGTCTAAACCAAAAAAAAACTAACCAGTGACTATTTAGAGAGAATGACGCTTGACAAATCCAAGAAATGTTTGCACACACGCGGTCCAGATGGAATTGGGCACTAGAGTTAACATTAGGATGGTGTCTTCATTTGTTATATTAGCCTCGTTTTCATGACTTAGGAATCTTGATGATAATGTCCCTGATGGCAGAAAGCCCCCTCTCCCCCAACTGATGTTGGAGAACTGCATTAGATCAGTAATATTAAGCATATTAGACAAAAAAAACCATAATAGAGAGCAGCAAATTGTTTAAAAAGTCACAAAATTTAAAAATTGAACTTGACTTTTAATCCGAAGTTTGTTTCTCTGTCAGCGGTGGTGGTGAACAAATGCTCTTTCCAATCCGGCTTTTGTGACTGGAAGAATATTGCAGACATGGATCACAAGTGGAAACTGTCAACCGATTTATATACCTTAATGAACTATACAGGTGTGTTTGTCAAACATTTAAAATCTTAGTCTTTTTTAACACCATTTATACCAGAAGAGAGACTAAAAACGACCAGGAAGCGGACAAGGAAGGAAACAAAGAATAGAAAGCCAGAGCGGCGCCACTTGGGCTCTGCGAAGGCAGCGGTAAAAGATAAAGAAGCTCGGAAGGAGAAGTTCATGGCTTTATGTGTCTGCTGACACAATGAGTCATAATGATGATGATATTAATTTTATCGAGGAAAGTATTTACCAAGAAAATGTTCTTACAGCGCGAAAATATTTACTCTTTCCAGGTTATTTTGCATACGTTGATGGTGCATACAAAGCTCAGTTAAAAAGTCCATTGTTGCCGTGGAAACCATTTCACCGAATCGTCGGTTTGTGTCTCAGGTTTAAGTACCTTATGAAAACTCATTCCAAGTCATTTTTAAGAATATTTCTCAAAGAAGCTAAACAAGAAAAACCAGTTTTGGCCTGGCAGCTAAGCGGCTACCAAGGTGAAGACTGGTCATTAGCTCAAGTGGCTTGGTCAGGCGCAGATACCACTCAGGTAGGTGAAAGTGCGGACACTTTCAATTTTGCCCTTTCTATTCCAAAAAGGTCAAGACAGATCTCGTCTGGAACGGTTACTTATTCCTACCCGAGCCGTTTCGTATCTCTTTTAACATGTAAACGGGTTTCAACTATCCGGCTTGGAGAAGCGTCCGCGTTTTTGATAACGTCGCTCACACACACTATACTTTATTTTCATACACATCATTTTGCCATCTCCGCCCGCAAATAGCAAAAGCTAGACGAGGCGGGTGGAGAGGAAAGGTTACAGCAGTCATAACAGATAATATTGTAAAGTAAATAAATAAACTATGTGGATAAATAAGCTTTAACAACGACAACGGCGAAAGCGAAAATAGCACTTTTATTAAGAATTTACTCGTTGTCAAATTTTGTTGCGATCATCACACTAGCTTTATATGTAAAATGTAATTTAATTTCCCTGGAATTAAATTCTTGGGGACCTAACCCCAGTGTTAAGTATATCACGCTACATGAAATGTCGCATAAGGGAATTTGGCGTCTTACTCTTGCAGGAATAGAGAATTGCTGATTGAGTATTAAGACATTTTGTTTGTTTGTTTGTTTTTGACGCTCGCGTTGCCGTCAACGTCGTCGTTGATTGAGCTTCCTAATGTCCGAAGGAGGGTAGGTACCAACTGCAGTGTTCGTTTCCGGGAGTGTCAGGTTTATGGGGGCTTCTGCATGTTAAAAACCGTTGCAACTCTCACTTTAACTCAAAATGGCTCCGTACATTTTTCAGACAATTTCCAATTTGCTCTTCTTTTGGTTTTGGATTAATTAAAACGGTGTTGTTATCTACTCTTCATTTTAGATCATTTTTGAGGGAGAAGGTTTTCTTGCTCAAAAGCTCAACATAGCAATCGACAACATTACTGTCACGACAGAGAATTGCTCCTTGAGGCCTTATTATGCAAAACCAGGTGACCTTTTCTGTCCGATTCTATTCTTACTTTAAGGTCCGAATAAAATGACACGTTCAAAGGTTAATTAGCCCCTCGTCGAAGTGGTTCACCACGCTCTCTGATTCAACGTCTCTCAGAACGGCGTCGCTTATAAAGCTAACTACTTTTTATAATTTCAATGTTGTTACTGTTGCTCTAATTCTAAAGATTGTTTAGTAAACGCTTTTTCCCACTTAATGTAGTTATCCACTAGAGGACAAGTATTGGTCCCACGCGTTAGATTGCTTCACGGCTGGGTGCACTGATTGTAAGTTAAAACCTTTCGGGACTTAGGGCCTGTTTACATGGAGTGGGGGACCCCGTTCTAGTGGGGTTGGTTTCTTTTGTTTTCACGCTCTGCAGGACACAAAACAAAAGAAACCTACCCCACTAGACCGGGGTCTCTCACTCCATGTAAACAGGGTCTTAATTCGCGCGTAATTACGCCTCGAAAATTTAACGGACACGTCATCGATAAAGCACTTAAACAATACCCATCCAGTGGTCCTAGCCGTTAGGGTGGAGAATCAGGCGATACCGACGGCTGGAGACCACACCTACTGAAGGTCGAGCTTCCTTAAGTATAAGTGGTCTGTCAGGCTTTATCAAATTGACATTTTTCAACATTTTCACTCTTTTTCGATTAGGTATGTTTCATTGTAAAGGAGGAGGCATCTTGCCAGCAACTGCCTTGTGTTATGATACTAAACAGGACGGCTGTGACCGAGAAGATGAAATCAACTGCCGTAAGTCGCCTTATTTTATCACTTGCATTGTGCTTTATTTCCAATTGCCTCGCGCAAAAAAATTAAAAGTAAATCAATAAATAATAGTAACAACAACTAATAATATTTTAAAAAATGTGTTAGTAGAGAGCTGTCTACTGCTAGTTTTAGTTAAAGAAACTAAGAAGGATCTCGGTGATGACAGGCGAACAGAAGAAAAAGGAAGGCAAAAGAGGAAAAGTGAATTTATTTAGAGTTCCTTTGGAGGAACTATATTGCTTAAAGGGTTAAAGGCTTGGATTTAAAATCTAGCGAAATTCAATCGCAGTCATTTGAATGGAAAAGGGCCAAAAGGCAGGTTGTTTCCACATAATCACACTTAACGAATGGAAAGGAAATGAAAGGAAAAATAAAGCAAGATCGAGGAGAACTAAAAGAGGGGGAAGAGAGGAAAAGCAATGGTTGTACACTTAGCTTTTACGTTAGCTTCTCTGGGGATTAGTTTTTGTGCGACTGAAAAAAACTGCTTGACGGAGGCGGTCTATTATTTTGGCGGTGACGTCAAAAATCCGGCTTTATATAAAAGTGCGTTAATGTAGCCTTATTTCAAACCCAAATGCTCTATCGTATGTGTGAAAAATAAGCCATTTTAAGCCAATTAATTAAAAAGAAATTTTACTATTTTTTTTCCTATTTCAAAGCAATTTCCTAAACACTAACCATGATGATCTTGCTATTCCTTTGGGCTTAAAAACTCTCAACCACCATGTCTCAGGTAACAACCAGTATTGCTAAAACCTCTCTCGTTGCTTTCATAAGGAAATCAATGTTCTGATTATCAATGTCTGGACGGGTCATGCATTCCCTGGGAAAGAACATGTAGGAAAACCTCATTTTGCAGGGATAAAACTAACATGCCCTCTATTTGTGGTAAGTTACCATAATCAAGGACCTGTAAAGCTGCTATTCTCATAGACTGTCTTTAATAAGTGTTGGTTGATTTATTTGAACTTGCTAAGCTTTCTGATCGGCTGTCAGTCAGCAGGTAGTGAAATGGTGTTAAAATCAAGGCTGCGTCTGCGTTAGTCAAGTTTTCCGTTTTCAAGTCATTCTATCGTTGTCAGTTTTACTCAGGTCCGTCATGAATAATTCATCTGTATGGTGCCGGTAACTGCTGACCTCAATTAAGCGGGGTATATTCTAACTTAGTGAACCAGCTTTCGAAAGTGAGTCCTTGATCTTAACCTGTTTTCAAGCTTTGGCGCTGGCCATACTTGCCGCCTTTTACTTAACATAAGTTCTTTCCAGGATCTGGAAAGTGCCGTCTTAATGACCTAGCTTGCTCATCGAAAACATCAAGTGGAATCTTATCGTTCAGAGGTAAGCAAACAGCAGAACTTAAAATCCTTTACTCACTTAATTGCACTGCTATCTTAGAGCGCATTTAAAGCCCCTGTGTACCTTATCACACCTTCGGGCAGACACGTGGCATCGAAGCGAAAACAGGTTCTCCATTTCCCATGACAATGGAGCTCTCATGGCGATGTTCTTCGCAACTATGGCAGCTTATTGTCACTGAATTTTGTCAAATAAGTCTAAGGAAGAAACGGCAACATTTTGATGGGAAGAAGATCTGACAAAGACTTATTTACAAAACAAATTGAATACGTCACTTGCACATCTCCCTTAATGCACCTTATTTGCCCCAAAAAAAAATTTTGCCAACCTTTGTTTTTCATTTCTCCTGGGTACTTACAGCTGTCCCAAGAGAAATTGAAAACAATGCTTGTGCAAACTTTTTGGGGGGCAAATAAGGTGCATTATGGGAGATGTGCAAGTGGCGTATGCAAATTTCCTCCGGGGATGGTATTCATCTCCCACAAGGGACAATCCCCACCAACAAGTCTAACACTGACTGCAAGGTAAGAAGTAACTATTTCTTGGCTAATCTTCAAATTCGACCATTCTTTCTTGATTAAAGGACATTGCAACTTTCAAAATGGTCTCTGTGGCCTAAGAACCGATAAAAATGATACAATCCAGTGGACTGTGGGATCAGGACAAACACCTACGGAAAGCACTGGACCGAGCCATGACCATACTTCTTTTAACAAGAATGGTAAGGTTATCTGAATGAGAACCTTGAACCCTTGCCTCGGTACATGTAACTATGATATCTAAGAGCATTAAAAATATGCCTTTTGTTGTGAAGGGATATAGAAACCTTCCAAGAGGCATTTACGGAATGTAATGTTTCATGTCGTTTCCATGACAACTATGTAACAGTCAAAGTCATGTCCAGATAATTATAGGATACCCTTTGATTCTAACCTCACAAAAATAAGTGACATTTTATCACACCGAGTTTGCACTAGAGGCGATACTATCGGATTCATAAGTGTTTCCAGGTATTCGGATTCGAATGCTGCAACTGATTAAAGTCACGCGACAGGCTTTAAGACCGCATAACTTGATCTTCCTGTTATCTTTTGTTCTTCTATTGTCTCCAAAACAATAACGATGTTTCACCAATTTCCACCTACAAATAATAGGAGCGACATTTGATTGACAAAAATTTGCATTTACTCGCGACGCGTTTCTACAGGCGCGATTCCGTAATGGTTATAGTAAACCTAGCTTAAGATTGACGTTTCAGTAAGAAAAGAAAATTCTAGTGATTCGCCAAGAGAATTCAGCACAAAATTGCTGAAGCCTTCCCAATTGATATTCCAGTGATACTTCGACTGCTCTTTCATGATGTTATTGACGATATTGACGCATAACATGAACCACCAAAATAGCGCTAGAACACTCCTTGTTCGTTTATCCAAATAGCCTACAGAAAGTGAACGAATGCCAATCCTGAAGAGGGGCAACGATAAACAAGATGTTCATCATAGTTAAATATTACAGGTGTATTTGTTTTAGTTAATTTTTTATTTCAGTTAATTTTTATTTTTCATTGTTTTTGGGTATGGTAATGTATGCCAATGAATTTAAAACAAAGGAAAAACAAAAATTAACTGCAACATGTACGTTTCAGGCTCTTATATTTACATCGAAGCGTCTCAAAGGAAGCCTGGGGAGAGGGCGAGGCTACTAAGCAGCTGGATGGAACCCAATGAGACAATCTGTCTGCAGTTTTGGTATCATATGCACGGATTGGACATTGGAAACTTGAGTTTGTATTTAAAAACTGACCAATCAGAGAGTCTTGTCTGGAGACTTTCAGGAGAAAAGGGGAATCGCTGGAGATTTGGACAGGCAGCCCTTAACAGCCAAAATTATTATAAAGTGAGTTATAGCAAGCTGCATATTCAGTCACCTCTCGTCGCCCACCGCCAAGAGGGGTATATTCCTATATCTCCCCTCCAGAAGGTGAGCGACGTGACTCGGTGAGGTAGCTTTATTCGCATGCTAAGTAAGTAAAATAGTTTTAGTAACCACCAGTTTGAAACGCTTTGCTGTAACAAAATTCCCAAAAACATACACCCTTGGGAAATGCATCTCTCTGGCCGTAGGACTAGAGCTCGAGGTCTGACCTTGTTTGCTTAGCTGAGCCTCAATGAAACAAGGCTGAATGTGTTTTCGGTATCCATTTCAGTTTGTTTTAGAGGGAACAGTTGGTGGTGGAAGTAAGGGTGACATTGCAGTGGATGACTTGATGGTGTTGGATGGAAATTGTGAAACCATTCTGAAACAAGGTAGGTTAACTAATGATATGCGGCCAATTTAAAACAGTTGTGAAAAAAGGATTGAATCGTGGTCATTGTAATACTCACTGTTTGTAGCCACTCCATCGCAACGCATCAGATGAACAACCAATGCCGTGCACCACATGCCTTTGCATAGCCTCAAATCTGTGTCCTGGTTTTTCCTTTTTCTGTTTTGAGCGTGCTTTTCGTGCTTGGGGCAGGTTCCTTCAGAAACAACGAATACTGGGTTCATTGAGTTATTTAGATCTCATGCCTTAAAGGAGATAAAAACTATCGATATCTTTATGGAGTATGACTTTTAGCAACGGCTCTTTGGCGGGAAATATCAAGGATAACATTATTCCAATGGAAGCTTTTCAAACGTGGTCAGTCATGATCGGTTAAGAAAAAACACTTGTATGGTGCCCATTTTCGGCCTTTGACTCTTAATTCATGGAGTGATTCAAAATCCTACGTTGTGACTGAAAACGGCGTTACCAATCAATTTGAAGAGAGGAAAAATCATCAAGTCTCAAGGCCAGCAAGCCATATTGTGCTTTACTTCTAACTGGTAGAAAAAGCAGTGTTAACTCTCTTTGGGCTGTCAATCAAGGAAAATCATTTTGATGGAAATAATTCCAGTCAGAGCCACTAAAAATCTAAAAAGTGCTAATCATAATTATTTTTCCTTTACTCTGACAAGGGAGTCCAGACTGCCATTTTGAAGAAAGTATGTGTGAGTGGGAAGCCCAGGAGGGATGGGTCCTGGATGCAATCTTGGTGGGATTGGAGAAGTGGGGTAAGTTGACCAATTTTAGTAACACGGTCTATCAAAAGGTGCGCCACCAAGCCGCAGGCAAGTTGGTCACTGATGTTCCTTGCGAATTTTACAAACTTGCTGTTCGTGTTAACAGACCGAACGAAAACTCGAACTTAAACGAAACAATCGAAGCTGTTGTGCTGCTCGGTGGGAATAGGGAAGTGCAAAATTAGTTTTATCAACTGATTTATTGGGGTAAACTTTCCACCATAAGGATATTCAAAGATTACTTCTGAAAATCGAATTGGCTTAAACTGCATGTGCTCATATTGGCTTCTTCCAGCTTTTCGTGTTTTCTCTCCCTTTATCTCATGGGATGGCGGGTATTCCCATATCTTACCTGGGACACGTTCGTTATAGTATCGTGGCTTTCCCATCTTTATATGCTATAAGAGAATACAAGCTCACACCAGCACTTTTGACCAAATTTACCTGCAAATGAATATTCCGTTATTTCCTGTTCCAGGAAATACAGCTCGCCCACAGTAACACTACTATCAGCATGGACAAATTTTAATAAACGATGGAATCTGAAGGATACATTCTCGTTATTAGCTCAACGGCGTTTATAAAACGTAATTAATATCAAATCATCGCATTTAATCTAAGGCTCTCTATCTGGCATTTGCCCGTGCAGTCTTTTGTTGCCCTTCAAAAATTCCATTCTATTTTTTTCCCTCTCCATTTCGACTAGCACTGATAAACTAGAAAATATTTCCTTCCTTAAACAGATGAGATGTACCACTTCTTGTCCTGCTGGTTGTTACATAAGAATACATTATACCGAACCTCTTGTTCTTTGTTGATTACGTCGTTCTCGTGAGAACGGTGCATCCCTCTCTTTGTTTTTCCAGTATTAACTGACTGTTTCTAATCCATCTCATCTTGTCTAATCTTCCTTCTCTCAACTCTATGGCTGGTTGGTAGAGCGCCAGTTAGAGGAACAGAAGGTCGGGAGTTCTACTCCAGGCCGAACCAACATTCAGGGTACGTCTGACAATATCAGTTCTACAAAATAATATCCTGTCTTGATATGGCTCAAGTGACTTTAGTGAATCTAGTTCCCAAGAACTAGTTTGCTCTTAGAGTCTGATCTGAAATGGAATGTACATATCTACATCCAGTGTTCTTTCATCTTTGGATTTTACAGCACTTGCTGATAATTGCCTTGCCTGAAAAACCTGATTAAGCCCTGGTGAACTTTGGTGCAAGACTGGATCAACCTACCAATGTGTCGGGGTTATCAGACCAAGCTTTACCTAATGCGCAAACACCTACCGTAGATTTCAACTAATCCTACTTGGATAGCCTGGTAAAACCAGACGAAACCAGGCTTTTTTGCTCAATGCGTTAATTAAGACCTGGACTGTCAGATTGTTAGGTAAATTTCAACCAGACTTAACTCGAAGGCATTGCATAACCCTTACTTTAGGTTCAACCTGAATGGATTTGGCACTATATTCTCAATGGTCTAGTAGGCCAGCTTGAACTAGGCTTCGCCAGGCTTCAAACCAGATTTAAGAATGGTCTTAAGTTTGAGCCAAAACCAAAGACAATGTTATTACCGCTACGTAATGACAACAAACGACTTTTTTATGTTTATGTTCTTTATAGGCGGATATATCTCGCTTGCTGGCGTAACTGCAACGCTCTCATCTCCGATCATCAACACACATGATTACGAATGGAAGTGCTTCCGTTTTCGGTATATCATTGGCAGTATACATGTTCATCACTTTGACATACATTTTTTAACGGTGATCATAAGAAGTGTGACATCAAATCAGACTATGCAGCTTTTCTTTGACGATAAAGTAACGAATGAGTTGCATTACGTACAGATACCCATACCCAGCAATTACTTCAATGCGCAGGTAGGTTATCTCTCATTGTCTGTGCCAAACTTTGATAGCGATGTGTGATGTGTAATGAGTTTATTTTAATTTTCCGGTAGAAATAACACATAAACTGACGAGTTAAGAAATTATTGTACTACTTGAAATTCGTAATTGTAATCATGAATTTCATGAGCATTCTTTATCTACTGGTTCAAGAAAATTCAAAGCTATATCAATCATCTTTCGTTTGACTTCATGGACTGTTACCAAACCGATAGACGTGCTCAGAATTCGCTGGGCTAACACCTAGAGATCGAAGAAAGCAAGGTACGGGGGACGATTCTCCCTGCTTGGCTTGTGGATTGGGAATATTGCATTTGTACCATACAATACCATGAGAGATATAACCAGGCAAACGTAGACAACCTCTCTCTCACGAAAGTGAACGTTAAATTTCTCCCACTCAAGAAGAAAAATATCGGGCTTAGTAGTTTATATTTTTACTACGTTAAATCATTATGATATTTTATTAATTAAGGCGCCCGATCGACCATTCTTATTCTTAGATTGAACGAGCATGCAAGCATGACAGCTGAGTGAAGTGGTTTTGATTGGCTAGTACGTTGGTACATTTCTTAGGGCCCAGTGGCTATCAATCAAAAGTAGATATTACAGCTGCATTTCTTCCAAGATAAAATTTGGTGTTTTTTTCTACGGCTTACAGATTGATTTTGTGGCCGGCAAGGACAGCCTCTTATCTTTCGACCTGGTCATCGCTATCGATGGCGTGTCCTTTTCCAAGGAGCCTTGTGAACGCATCCCTTGGAAGCCGGAGAATGGTAAAAACTGAACAAAAGTGACATTTCAGCTATTTTTTTTGTTTACTAGATTACTGTTGTCTTTTTTTCGCCGTTGTACGGTCAGCGTCAAAGTCAAGTCCTATTCAGATTGGAACAATGTTTGGGTGCGTCCGATTGATCGTATTCAGGAATAAGAATACGTAAGCGCTTTGTTACAAATCTCTTGTACCGGAATTCAGTCAGTCGAACATGCCCTTGGTAAAAAATTGGAAACTGATGTTTAGAATAATTTTTCTTAATTATTTCACTGAAGAAAACATGAATTCTGCATGAATTTCACTACTTAACGATTGCACATTTAACCCCAAAATTTGAAGCGCAACATAAGAGACGTAGCAGGATACAGAGTAACAAATTGGCTAAGACGATGTTTCCCTGGATTTGTAGACCATTCCTGTGGAAACTTTGACTTTGAAAAGGGGACATTGGAGGGATGGATAGCACATGGAGCTGCCTTCAGCCACCAGCCTACCTTAGGAGATAACATCCGCGCTCGAACGTCTGGGTATAACAAAACTTCATCGGGACACCAGGGCAGTTGGTGGATTGGCACGTATGAAAACCGATCAAAAGCTGACATTCCAGCTGGAGAAGTGCAGGGAAACACGCCAACCGGAGGTCTTGTGTCATCACTCATACGCATTACAGGCCCAGACGCCAACTTTTTGCTCGGTGGAGGCTGCGGTTCAAAGACAGTAGTCTATTTAATGCTCGATGGCATTGCCCGTCAATTTAACGACAAGATCAAGTGCAAAGAACAAATGGTCCGAGTCACATCTCGTGTCTTCAACGATTTCATAGGAAGGGTTGGACGAATAGTCCTTTTAGACTACGACGAAGGAGGACATTTAAATTTTGATGACTTCAGGGGTGATTTTGTTTGCCTTGGTAAGATTGCAAATAAAATGTAGCCTATTTTCTGATAAAATCATTCAAGCAGTGGCACCTAACCTTGGATCAATAAAAGTTTGGTCCAGAAATGAAATAATATGGAAATTAATACTAATTGCGTCCGATATGAACTGCCCAAGGTTCGAGTTATATGCGATTCTGGAATTAACTCTTCAACAGTTTTTTTTTCCTATGGTCTGTCTTTAAATTCCTTGCATAGCAGCTATGAACGAAATTTAGCCTGCGTAGCCGGCGGGATCGTTCGCGCGAGGAAGGTTTTAGCAGAGGAACTGCGAATCCGTGAGGAGAATGGGGAGGAGGTGCTTCTCGCGGCAAAGCCTCTAAAAGTCTCACACGCACAACAATAATTCCGCCTGCAACACAGGCTACACGAAATTTGAAGTTGACCATAGAAAAGCATCAAGACAATCTAGATTCACGTGGTTTGTCAAACAGCTTTCTCTTATGGATAAGAAAAATCCTTTTTTTTAATTGATTGACTCAAACGTTCTCAAAACATTTTTTTAACACAATTTAGACGAACCTCCTTGTGACATAACAAAAAACTGGTGTGGATGGAGAAGTTTACGTGGTTGGAAAAGAATCAGTCACAGAGATCTTGAGCAGCAAGGCAGTCAGGAATCACGTGCTGATGATAACGCAGATAGCACAAACGAAAGAGGTACGTTATGTTGGTTTTTTAAAAATCAAAAGTCGCTTTGTGCTGTGTTCAACCATTTAAAGTTTGGCGGTCTCCTTTTATTTGTTGAACGGGACTTCAACCTTTCAACCGTTTTTGGAGGAGAAAAGGTTGTCAATGGACACCAAATCAGTAACGCTAAAAGTAAACATTCATGCCTGGCAACAGATTAGCGGACTCTGTAACGAAAATGTTTGATATTAATTTTGCTTGGAGTTTACTAGCCATATTTTTCTCGAAAATTCGTTTCCAACTTAGAGTGCGACTACTCGAACCGGGGCACTTGGAAGAAGATTGTTCAATCAAAACGATTTCTGAAAACAAAAATTTCAAATGTTTTTGCACAGACCAATAAAATTAAAGATTAAACTATGGAACCGTTGAAAACTTTAAAACGGTTCGAACCTACCTGACCTCTCAGGAAACAGTCCTCAAATTAATGAATGTCATTGGTCCGTTTGCAAAAGAACAAATCGTTGTGATTAGACAGTCTTCTTCCAATAGCCCCGGTTCGAGTAGTCGTACTTTAAAAGAGCAAGACCAATTGCCCCCGTTCGTTCTCTCAATTTAGTTGGAAAGCTATCGAGGTGTATGGTTTGTGAAAAAAGGTGGTTTATTCGCTTAGTCTACTTGGTTTTAATTTCTTCTATTATCTGGGTGAATCCATGAGCGGGAAAGACGAAGCGAATCCTGTGTTGTTATTGGCTCCCCGAGCGAGCAAGATGGACCTATCTTACACGCTTGGGATTTTCCGTCTTGGTCCCGCAAGAAAAGGGTCTCATTTGGCCATGTACTAAATCCTCTATTGACCCAGCTTGTTTTGTTACGATGAAATGATATTGGCCTCGTCCTTTTGCGCTTTTTAAGTGACCTCGACTTCGCCTCTGTCCATGAAAACTCCAAAAAAGAAACAGGGCCCGGTTCCTGAAATATGGATTAGCGTCAATCCAGGATTAAAATTTTGTTCCGTTTTTGTATTTTACATTCCTATGCTTAGGGTAACATTTTGTGTTATTATTACTGTATCTCGTAGTAAATACTAAACAGTATATTGTAACCTCGAGTTGCATGTTCTTAGACGAGAAAACCATGCTTAAAATTTGCCTTAATACTGAGTAAAACTTAACCATCTTTCGAGGAACCGGGCCCTGACCAATATCCGGCCAATTTTTCCTCATGCTTGGACAATAAAGTGTATAAATACAAGACCGATAAGAGACGTTAATAAGGTACATTTGGAGTTGATAGTAAAAGGGAATTTAGATAGTACTAGACCACAAATATATGAGTCCCTGTTAGCAACGTGACCAGAATGGGTCGTTCCCAGTGGATGGATCAGAGTACTTACAACATTACCCTATTACATGGTCGACGTAATCGGCTCCCTCACTGGACGGTTACAGGACCATCCCAAATAACTACTAGGTACATTTGTGTCAATAATCCAAATGCTTGCAAGTTAATGATTGCCAATTTTTCAGTTATAGAAGTCATTGATCTCGACAACTACGAACTCCATCTTCCTGACGAAAGTCTTGGATACGTGTCTTTGCCGGATATTCCTCCACTCTACGTTGGCCTTACTTCGTGCTTCTGGTTGAACACGGTGCATAGTGGTTTTGTTATTGAGTACAAAGTTGCATCAGAACAAAACGAATCAACTGTTCTTGGATTCTACTATGACAAAAGCACCTTTAGAATTCATCTTTACAAGATAATAAGGTAAATCGATGCTTATGGTTAATTAAAGTTAATTCAGGCAAAATCGAAAGGCAAAGGTCTGGAGAAACGGGGTAAGCTGCTCATATGTTTTTCCCTACTTCTCTTTGTTCTGTTGTTACTTTCTGTGCCATGCAAGGCGGCAAGATCATTATACAGAAGGATTGTCTTTCATTATAACAGAAGCTTCCGGTTTCAATTCTTTTCCATGAACTCATTAGCACTGCAAAAAATTGAAAGCTATTAGGTGGCCAGCAATATAATTTTTAAGTATTTCTGTCGAGTTGAAAGGACTTTCCGAGTCTGTTGTCACTAAAATTAGAAATCCTTACTTAAAAAAAAAACCTTTAAGAAATTATTCTACAAGACCTACATTAAAATTTATAATCAATAAACTGTACAATGTTTGATATTGCCCCGTGCACAGAGAAATCGAACTGGATGTGGCTGATGGATCGTGGCACCACTTGTGTGTGACATGGGAACGAAAAAATAGGCTGCTAAGTGTTTATAAGAATGGTCAAAGAAAATACCTTTCCAACGAATATAGAGCAGGCGCACGGAACCGGGGGATTGAAGGTAATCTGCTATTACTTGACTGGTATACTATTTATTCATTATACAGTAGAACCGCTACCAACACCCAGCTCTCCTCAATGGTCACTTTTCGGTGTCCCAGAGGATACGTTCAATCTTGTTCTCTTGTTTTAAACTCTATATGACGTACCTCTCACATCTTTTAAGATTTAACTCTATTAGAAACTTACAGCTTCTAAGCTTGGGATTTCCTTGAGTTAAATTTTTCGGGGTCTTCTTGCCACCCCCGATAACTTTAATGTTATTTTACTCCACCCTAATGTTTGCTTTATATCAATGGTCAATAGTATTTACTTTGTTAATCTTTTCTAGGCGGAGGAACCATGACAATCAGTTTTAGATCGCCCTACCAAAACATATCAGCCGTGCTGGGCAAACTGAGCGGATTCAATCTATGGAGCTATCAGATCAAAGCAGAAGAAATACTGCGCATGTCACAAGGGTGTGGCAACGAGGCAGGAGATGTGAAGGCATGGGAAACAGTCAGCAAAGGATTGAGAAAAGAAGTGGGAGTAAAGCGACATAGATCATGCAGAGATAGAAAAGGTAAGTTTTATCTCACAAGTTTAATACCACCTGACAGGCAGCAAGATAAGCTACAACCAGTTGCAAAAGTACTTGAGACACAGTACCGTATTTTGGCATAAATGGCCTGTCCATGATCTTGTGCTTGTGATACCCCAGTAGTGGATAAGGCACCGAATTAACCTTTTCTTTACGGGGGAATTCCATTAACTTTCGGGGGAATAACGCCGGTGACGTCATACATATCATTAAGATAGGATAATGTCATAGTTTAAATTAATGCCGATGACGTCATGCATGCTATTAAGATAGGATGATGTCATAGTTTATTTTTAGCTGGCTGACGTCATGCATGTCATATAGATAGGATGATATCATAGTTTATTTGTAGCTGACAAGGAGCAAGTGACGTCAGAATTTCCTAGAGTTGACGTCATCAAAAAATGTTGAGATCATAATCTATAAACAGAAAAGTATATCGGGCAAATTTTGAACGTGTTATCCTTGCAGATTATACTAAATGAAAAATCTTTAATCATTAAATTTTTTTCACTAAAAATCGGTTATAAACAAAACTAAGACACGGAGGTTAACTGAAAAATCTTTACTTCAAAAGAAGGGAAAAGGAGGTTAAGCGAATGCGAAATCGTACTAATTTTTCAGGCAAAACTTGAAAATGAGGTCGAGGCTCAGCGAAGCGAAAAACTGCCTATCAAGCAAAAATGTCAATCTTTGTTTACTTGACTCTCTAGAAAGTGTTGCACAGGGTATGAAAATTCTATAGAAAACAACAGGTGGTTCTAAAGTAAACCCTAACTCTTTTGGTTCTTAAATAAACCCCATTCTTGTTCCTAACGAGTGGAAAGTCAATTTATAGAAATAGGAATGAGAGGTGCGATCGCCTAGCAACACATGTCTTCTTGTTTAGCGCTAAAAATCGGATATATAAGCAAAACACACACACATACACAGAGTGGAGCTGAAAACTCTCTATTTCAATTTTGACTCACCATTACGAAAGCGTTTTCTCCGTTCTATCTCGAGGAAACGACTAACTTTTTTGAAATCTCAGCGCTTGATGAGCTTATGGTCGCCGTTAGTCAGTTAATTATGCGGGTTAACAAGCCCAAAACTTGAATACAAATTAGTTCATCTCTACAGCTAGACCCAAGGGAGCACCTTGACTAATTATTGTAAAAACACAAACAATTAATAACTTAACAAGGATCAATTTAAACACGCGACAAATAAATTGACAAGACACGAGATACAGTGTTAAAAACTTTATTAAAAACCAGTGACAAAAAGAGTCGAATACACAGCGATTTGAAAGAGATGGAAATTAATCATCTTCTTCGCCCATGGAGTACTTGTAAGGTTTGAATTTCTTATGCCGACGTTTCTTCAGCTGTTTGCCATGAGATTTATGATCATCCAAATATTTTAGAAATTGAATCCGACGCCTCTTGCGCTTCGGGCCTTGTGGTGATGGGGTTGCTACTGTGGGAGGAGAGGTCAGGAAAGCAGGATTTAAGGGTGGTGGAGGGGTGAGGCTTTCTTTGTCAGGTTTTTGAGAGATAGCCGCTTGTTTTAATTCAGGTGTTACATTAAAGGGGTTGAGGGGAGTCGATAATGCTGTCGTTGCTGTCGAAGAATCTTGTGTCGTTGATGTTAAGTCTGGAACAGTGTTGATTATTTCTTCGGGTCGTGTTCTTGTATTTAATTGTTCTTTAAAAGCCAGGTATCTGTTTTGCAACTGAAGGTATCGTTTAGCTTTTTCAGCGTCCCGAAGATCGTTTCGAGGAAGCACATCATCCATGTTGTCTTGTATTTCTTGCATAGCTGGAAGAAGTGGGACAGGCGAAAGAGTTTGCTGCTTCCGATATTTTAGAAGCTCTTGAAGAATATTTTCTTGAAACCCTGCTTGGCTAAAGCCTTCTTCACTGGGCAGGACGTTTGTTCGCAACCGACAATTATCTTGGGTAGTAGTTTTCAGATCAATCAGAAAATGACCAAAAGGTCTTTTTACAGCCTCTTCGTACTGATTTAAAAAGAAATCCGTCTGCCCGGGATACATTTGCTTCGCCAGAGTCAAGATTTGCAATTTGTCTCGTGGATTCTTGAATAACATCAGATAATGGCTGTTTAGGCTTATGCTGCGGCTACCTTTCCCTTGATGAAATAGATTCTGCACGATATAAATCACGCTCAGATTGCGATGATGAGAACCACGAGTAAAGAGGTTCACAATTCGCTTGTCTTTACTAGCGTCAATCAACTGAGCATCAAACACAATCAAATTCCGTTTGTTCGCATCAAAATAGGAATCCTGCTCCAAAGCCGTAGGAATTCCCTTGACGAATTCAATGTTTGGCATGGCGACTAACATTTGTGTATACGCTGACATTTCTGTGAAAATATTGGAACTGTTTGAAATGGGGTGAGACCAGCATTGTGGTGTTTAGACATCACGTGCCTTTGCATATTATCTTTTCTACTAAAGGACTTTTCGCAGACAGAACAGAGCCAACTCATGTTAACTCCTCAGGAGCAAAATGTACACTGAGAAAGAGGTAGAATGTTGCGCATTTATATAGGTTTTCAGGCCTTAAAATTCTATTTTTTCCACCCCCAAAACCACCACTACCACCACCACCACATTTCTAGCTCTGTTTTTCAATCCCATAAATACAATTTACCAATTAATATCAGATAATTTAACAAGGGGCATTTTGATATCGTTATTCCAATTATAACCTCTCGTAACACAACCCGCGAAATTCCTTTGTTATTGTTAAATAATACTGTTCAACATTTTTCCACAACATATTTGAGTGCTGACAGTAAAAGAGAAAGTGACATAATGTTTCCTGTTCAGTCTTGGAAAGAGTACATTTGTCATGCTGGAGATATCCAATTTTAAAAAGTTTTGCATTAGTGTAAAGTATTGAATTTAAAACTTTATATTGAAAGGATTTGACGTAAGGCTCCTGTGCTGTCAGATGGGGAAGGTTGTAAGCAATTTTTAAGTCTTCGTCAGATAAGCCAAAATCATGTTTTAAACTCTTTGCATTACTAGGTAATTGTGCTTTATTTGATAATATTAAAGAGTAGTAGTCTTTCGTTTTCTTTTCCGCTATGTCAAAAATCTCATTCCCCTTTGTAAAATAAGTATTTTCTGTAAAGGTAGTGTACTCTATTGTTTTCAGAATAGAAGGAATTGCGTGCCTGAGACCTGTCCATGTAAGAAAATTAGCTTTCTCAACTATGTTATTGATTGCATTAAAGGATTCTATATTGTCGAGATTAAACAAGATATCTTTAATAATACATATCCCCGAGTCATGATAAGATTTATAAAAGACTGGTATTCCATCTATTCTTATGTCTTTGTTATTCCAAATTATACAGAGCCGTTCTTTGTTAGCTAAAAAGAGATTTCGAAATTCTAACCAACATTCTAAGAGTTCTCTGTAGAAAACCGAGTTGATTGAAAGATCGTTCATTGCATAGTTGCATTTAAAAAGTAAAAGACCACCAACATTACGTAGGAGATGAAACAGGTAGAATTTCCACGTACTTTCGTTATCGCTGAAAACACGTTTTAGCCAAGCTAGTCGTACAGCTTTCAATATCTGTCATTTTTATGCCACCGTCTTCATAACTGTTTATTGAAGAGAGCCTCGTTACTTTATCCTTTCCATTCCATAAAAAGGAGAAAAATATACTATTCACTTGTTTGATGATTTTACTTGGAGGTGAAAGAACCGACGATACAAAAACTAGTTTTGGAATAAGTAATGATTTGATTATACTTTACCATAAATGGACAGTCCTCTAGATGACCATATATTTGTCAGCTTCTTTATGCTGTCAACCTTCTCTTGAAAGTTTTTTTCGTAAAGTAATGATTGGTCATATGTAAAAAAGGTTCCTAAAGCTTTTATGGGTTCACTGGGCCATTTAATTCCAAACGGTTTATCATCTTTTCCTTTAAGCGAACCAATCCACATTCCTTCTGTTTTAGAGCTATTTATCTCCAACCCACTGAAGTTCTTAAATACTTCTAGTTCTTGAAATAACGTTTTTGCAGAATTTTCATCAGACAGGATTGCTGTGGTATCGTCTGCGTATTGCAATAGCTTGGCTTCGTGATTTTCTATTTTAATTCCTTTGATATCAACATTTTGACGAATGGAGATTGCCAAGCTTTCAACAGCTAAGATAAAGAGGTAAGGGGACAAAGGATCACCCTGCCTCACACCACGTTCTAAGGTAAAATAGTCTGATGCCATTCCATTATTTATTACACAGCTTTGAATATTTGTATAAAACATTTTGACCCAATTTATAAAATTGGGGCCAAAATTAAAAGCCTCAAGGCAACTGAAAAAACTGCCATTCTAAAGAGTCGAAAGCCTTTTTAAAGTCAATGAAAATCAAGATACCTGGAATATTCTTACTGTCTGTAAATTCCATTATATCGAAAATTGATCGGATAGTCTCACCAATATAGCGATCTTCAACATAGCCTGTTTGATTGTGATGTATGATATTCGGTAGAACTTTCTTTAATCTTAAAGCAATCACTTTTGAGATGATTTTTGCATCCACGTTAATAAGAAAGATTGGCCTCCAATTTTCAATGAGAGTTCGATCTTTATGTTGCTTTTCTATAAGAGTTATGATTGCTTTTCTTTGAGAGGTTGACATTTCACCGTGGTTGAAACACTCTCTCACACACTCCATAAATGGATCACTAATTAATTCCCAGCAACTCCTCCTCCACCTTCTCATTTCTATTGTTTTTCCTCCTCCTCCTCCTCATTTCTATTGTTTTTCCTCCTCCTCCTCTTCATTTTATTGTTTTCTATCCTTCGCGCACTCGTTTCATTTTTTTTCTCCCCGAGATTCTATAAAAGACTGCCAACTGCCATCTTTAGTGCACTTTGAAGCAATGTCTCAAGTTGTCCAGAACAATCGTGCTTTTCTTCAATTCTTAGCCGTTTGTCCAGCTCATCAGCGACAGTTTCCTTTACGGACAGCCAGTCCACAACAACTACATGCAATAGTCCAAGTCTTATACAATATACTTAAGGAATACATTCTTATCCCCGAAGAAAATAAGCGGAACGTGTTGCCATATAAGGTTGCTCTAGTAAACCTAGCAGAAACAAATGTCCCTTACAAAACAAAGAAGCGAATCCTTGTACAAGAGGGCGATGGTTTTATTCAAGACCTATTGGTACCTGCTGTTACTAGACTAGGATTTTTGATGCTATAAAAGAGGAAACGAAACTATAAGTTACTCATTTGAAGCTACGGTCTGTCACGGGTACTCATCAAAATGAAGAGAAAGATAGATTTGGTTGAAGAAGAACACGAGAGTGAACATGAAGAAAGCGAAAGTTCTGGTGATGAAAGCGGGGATGAAGAACCAAGAATAAAAGATGTTTTGAGTCGTCTTTTCTGGACTCCCAGCGGACAATTACTTCGAAATAAACGCACTATTCCCGTCACAAACATCGCCGAGCTAGTTGAGTATGTGTTACTCCCTCATAACAATGAGGTTACCAAGCCTCGTGCGCTGAATACGTTTCTAGATGGACTTGTAGAGTTAGGAATCGATAAAGGTTTAATCAAGAACAAAAAGTTGTTAAGTGATTTAATAGAAAAGGAAAAAGGCTACCAAAATGTAGAAAATACTTCCGATAATGAGAGTAATAGTGAGGAGAGTTCATCGGATATTGAAAATCAGGAGAAGGAGGAGGAGGAAGTGGCTTCTGAGAATGGCGTTGAAACTGAAGGCACCCAAGAGAGCGACAACGACACTGAAAATGATAGTGAGGAAACAGAAAGTAGTAGCCCTGAAACGTCCACCACCTTTCACTCTAAAAGTCCCTGTGAACATTGCGAAAACTCTAATGTGTACTCCACATTGATCATGAAATGTCCTAAATGCGTTTAGCACGATAACTACAAGATTTGTCCTATATGCGATCACCAGATCCCCGAGGAGACAAAATACATCAAAGAGGGCTTTCTTCGATGTCACGACTGTGGATTAATTACACACAAAAACGCCAAGACGTTGGAAACCAATTTTTATTCACCTTCTAAAGAGGAGAACGAAGAGGAGGTCTAATTTCCATCCCTTCGAAATCGCTGTGTATTCGACTCTTTTTGTCACTGGTTTTCAATAAAGTATTTAAAACTGTATCTCGTGTTTTGTCAATTTATTTCTCGCGTGTTTAAATTGATCCTTGTTAAGTTATTAATTGTTTGTATTTTTACAATAATAAGTTAACGCGCTCCCTTGGGTCTAGCTGTAGAGATGAACTAATTTGTATTCAAGTTTGGGCTTGTTAACCCGCATAATTAACTGACTAACGGCGCTTGAATTGACAAGACCATATCCCTAGGGTATTCTGTCGTCACTTGCTCCTAGCCAGCTGAAAATAGACTATGACATCATCCTATCTTAATGATATGTATGACGTCACCGGCGTTAATGTATTCCGCCGAAAGTTAATGGAATTCCCCCGCAAAGAAAAGGTTAATTCGGTGCCTTATCCACTACTTACCCCCTCCGCCCCTAATCAAAGTTGCAAGCAATAGAAGACTATTCTCAAAACTTGGACGAACAACTTTGAATGGGAGTGAGGAGGGAGGTCAGTATTATATCTCACAGACCTGTGACCAGGAACGATTTACAGCAAGAAAGGTCGTTTTTTCGTGGGAGTGTTTCAACATTTTGCAACTGGTTGTATGATCAGGAAAAAGAAAGTTCGCACTTACTGGAGTTTTTAAGCGCGTCGTATGTAAGCTTTGAACAAAGAACGTGGGACTCGGTGACACAATACATGTGTGCCTCCACTGATGTTAGAGAAGTGCTTTCCGATAACAACTCACATGGGATGGCTAAGTTTGTTCACTAATCCCAATTCTCCTTGATACGACTTCTCCATTTACGATTGTGATGGTGAAACAACCGCAAACGTTAGCTATTTCAGGCAGGCGCAGAAACAACTTCATTACAAGTTTAGTGTCTTTTGTCAGTAGGTTCCTGCTTTTGTTCAATTTAGTATATAACTATTTTGAGAGAAGCAGGTTAGTTTGAATTGACCTCAACTCAAGTTAAACGAGCGACTTAATGAGAAAAATAGGTGTCTAGAGTAATCGGTCCCTGGTGCCTCTTACTATTCGTTAACGGACCTATGTCGCCATTGTTTTTCCTCATGTTCAACAGCTGATCGAATTGTGTTAGACAGCAACACTACACTCCTTAACCAAACAGCTATCCTTGTGAGCCAGAAGTACAACAGGTCGCGTGATTGGCATACAAAGTGCTTAAAATTTCGTTACATGCTGAGAGGGCCTGGAAGGAAGAGTTTAACAATTTACCAACAGACTAGTAACTATCGAGGAGTCCCCATTTGGATTTGGAAAACTAGGACTGGAAACAACTGGGTATACGGCCAAGTCCCTTTAAGCGCTGTATCAACGTTTCAGGTAAAAAAGTGAGAGATATAATCCCCAATACTCAATTACGCATTGCTACTTCGCATAAGTTGATGTCCCGCCCGCCAGACTCTAGAGTAGCTTATTGAGACTGGACACTAACGAGCGAAATCGTTGGTGTAGTTTATAGTAAATTTCTTTTTGACCATAAATTGTAAATACCTTATTATCCAGTTCCCTCATGAGCTTTTCAGGGACGCTGATTTTGGGACTTCTGCCAGATTGCTTGTGTCGCAGTTTACAATTAATAAAAATATGACTTATTAATGCTCCCTACCACAACAGGGACTACGTACCCTACACTCTTAAAAAAAATGACTGTGGGCAGTGGTTTGAACCAGTGGCCTCTTGCTAAGAAAATCTGCGCTTATTCAACTGAGTTACTTAACCTAGTGGCGGTGGCTTTTATACGTCATGAGGAAAAATTTGAAAAAAAAAGAGGCACTGGGCAATTACTCTAACCAATGCAGTCTCAGAAACATTTGAATTCCCTGCTTCGGATTGGCTAGAAGTAAAGAGAATTGGACTTTAACAAAATTGGGTGGCGGTGTTGGGTAACCAGTGGATATGACTACGCACTGTTTAATAACCAAACTTGTGTAATTGGTGAGAGAAAGTGCTACCTGTACTAAAGCAATGTTTTTAATAGGTCTTTATAAAAGGTAAAGTTGCGAAGAAGGAAGCCTTCGTGGCATTGTCAGGACTGTACGTTGAGGAGGACCCGAGCATCCATTGCCAACACCTACCGCAGTCATCAAAACAAGGTATACTGTCATACGTCACATATTAAAGAAAACAGTTTTTTACCCTACAACATCATAAATCAGGGGGATAGAAGTATCACTTAGCGTGACATTCTGAACAAGGAGAGGACCTTATCAGCTTTCGCTGAGACAGCTGTTCTAATACGGAAGCAAAGTTACGGTGGAAAAAGTCCAAATAGCGTATAGTTTTTGGCGTTTCAGGCTAATTCGACATCCTTTTAATTCTAAGTCTTTACATATTTTTATGCTCGCTGTGCGTCTGTCGTTTCCGCATTTTCAGATGTACATTTAACTTTTTACTTATAAACATGGTAAGTTAACCCTCTGAGGGGTTAGGGCAAGTCTCTGTTGCTACTATAAATAGTAAGACTGTAACCTAGTTACTACAAAGTGCCACATTGACGGAAAGCACCAAAACAGCCCCTTTACCATAACCACAACCAACAGCTCTGTTTTGGTGAGCAATGCAAGACCTGCCAGACGTCGGATGAGGTTCTCTTGTGCCAGCGGTTGGCATGTAATCTTAGGTAGTAGTGGCGACACAACTAACGCATACCCCTGGCTACCAAAAGGATGTGTAATTAAGCAAGGAAACTTCTGCCATAACCTAAGGCCTTGCAAGGCATTTTTCGTCACGAGTAAAAGCATTTTTAAATATTAAAAAATCAGTTTCGTTTCTTTTGCAGCCTGCAGCGAAACCCTATTCAATACCTCAGGAAATTTCTTCTCCCCGTTCTTTCCTGGATTTTACTTTGATGACAGCTACTGCACTTGGCACATAACTGTTCCAGAACAAAACACAATTCGCCTGACCTTTCATGAATTTCGTCTCAATGATCATCCTACGTGTGAGGACTGCTTTGTTGAGATTTTTGACGGAAGTGGCAACACTGCAGCCTCTATTGGCAGGTTCTGCGGTTATAGCTATCCTCCGATACTTTCCTCGTCGTCCAATCACTTCTCTGTTGTTCTTCGGTGTCAAGGGAAACCCTTCATAGCAAGATTCAAGGCCTCTTATTTCTCAGTTGCTGGTACGTTTCAGTTTGATTAATTGCTTTGTAACCACAACTTTTGCGGCACTACTTGTTATTTACTTCTCATGAAATATAAGTTTGAATTAGCTATGACATTATAAGGCGAATATAAAAACCAGTCACAATTATGACTTTAGCGTTAATAAATCTCTGTAAGTGTCCGTGTGATTTGAAAAGAGACTTTCTAAAGTAATCCTATGATTTTTTTGTGGTCTTCGCAGATTGGCCTGGTAACACTGTGTAAAGAAAACAACACAGACTAAGAATACTCTTTCTTCTTCTTAAGTTCGTTTGAATGGCCATCGTCCATAGTAGTAAAGGACGATAATGATGTCAAGTAGAGTCGAAGTTCTAATAAAGATTTACCTGCTTTGATTTTTGTCTCAGCTTATGACGATAATGGACTTTCGTATTTACGTCAGCAAGGTAAATTCATCATCATTATCATTCCTTGACTGTCGTTGGGATCGATACCACTGTCTTGTACTTAATGCTAATCCAGAAAGGGGCTATCGTATTTTGCAATAGCCTGCAATGATTTCTGTATTTCCTTATTTCCTTAATTCTAGTAATAAATTATAAACTGTCATAGTGTCATTCATATTTTTCGAAAAAAATAACTTCGAATGCAGTTTTAAGGCAGGCGAGGATATACCTCTTATGTTTGCAAAGCAATATTTCACTGCGAAACAGTATTTCATCGCATATCGACTCTGACAGGAATGATATTGTAATAAAGCACAAACCTGAAGTCTTAAATTACTTTAAAAGGCGACATTAGTGGTATTATCCTTTTTTGTACAGGAATCTTATCAACGTGCGGGGATATACATTAGTAGCATCATTTTTCGCGGGGAAATACATTAACGCCGATGACGTCATAGCCTCTTCTCTCTATCTCATGAAAGTAATGCGGGGGAATCGTCTTACGATATGGTCATGTGCTATTTTGAAGTGGCTTAACTTGTTTGACAAGTTTAAGATGGGCGACGTCATAGTCTCTTGTCTTATATCGCTCTTTTACTACGCCAATAGAAACAATAGACCCACCTAAGTAATAAGAGCTAACTCGCCCGACTCAAAACCACTGAGTCTTGACGTAATCAAGCAATTTCAATTTCCTGCCCATTTCATTGTCCAAAAAATTGTTCCACTTCCGGATCAGTGATTCTCAGGTGCCCGTATTTATGAGTTTGAGAATTTGTGGGTGTTCGTGTTTTCAGGGTGCCCATCGAGTTGCAAATGTGACGTTTTTGGTGAAGGTCAAAGTAGAGGCAAGAGAATAATAGTGACAGGAGAAGATTTGCTGACTGTGCCGACTGATCTTCCCTCCAGTACTGGAGCTGTGTAAGTTTACAACAATTGAGAATAAAGACTGTAAAGGACAGTGTCTGATATCGAGCATTTAAGTAACGGCCAAGTAGAAACCTATGACTTAAATGATAATTTTACTATATTTTGGCGTTCTGCAATGAGAGAATGCGCACCAGTCTCACCTTCCCTGCATATTTTAAGGCAGCGCAAATCAAGACATTTGTTGAATCGCTTTCTTTTCAACTCTTGCTATTTGGAAGGATTCAGTTTTTTCACGAGTAACTGAAACTTGTAATACTGACTGACACAGCCTTCAAAAAGGCTATCGTCGGTTAAAAGCACCTACCTAGTTTTTCTAAGCCCTATTTTGGGCAAAAGCTTGTTTGTTTTCGTCTAACGAAAGTCAAGCTCTGTTTTTAATGGTCGCCATGGTACTAAAATAGAGCCAAAAGGCCACGTACATTTGAGGAAAAGACGTGACAAGACGAGCGACAGTGAGATTAAAATATTTCTTTTGCACGTATTTTCTATCTTCCAATTTATTGAAGTACGTATTATTGAAAAAGGATGAACAGCTTCCTTCCTTTCCTATCAATGCCGTATATCATCCTCGAATATTAATCTTAACATTTGCGCTGCAGATTTTTCCAGAAGAACCGAATATCTCAATTAAGAGAAAAAGATTTTACAAATCTCCATCATCTAGAATACATGTAAGTATGAAAAGTATCTTTTAAAATGTATCTGTTTTTGCAATGATATGTGCGTGCTTTTAGAAACCAAACATTATTATAACTGTACTTTTTCTAATCTCGGTTTAAGCGACCTGAGCCACAACATTCTTCTTCGCCTTGATGGGGACTCGTTCCAAAACGTCACCTCAATCAAAACACTGTAAGAATTGAATTTCGAATATGGCATTTTCTCACTTGCAAAAACTGGTCATAATTTATAACTACAGCCTGGATGGGCAAAATCGTTAAAGAATTCAAAAAAACTCGTATTTAGATGAACAGGAACAACGTCAGCCTGACGTCAATGGGTCATTTCAAGAGTTTAGAGGTTCTTAGAGTGAAAAAAAAAACATGTACAAAACAAGGAAAGTACTGCGATCTATATAATACACCTTTTTGCCTTAAACTACAAGTCCAAAGACTACTGCAAAGCTGATTCAGAACAACGTGTATTGTTTTTTAAACATAACAATATTTCGGCTGGCCATACCAGCCTTCTTCAGGGTTACAGATGTTACTGAACTTATGTAGGAATCACAATATTATATAGATGGAGAATGTCGCAATAAAAATTGTTTGAAAGGGAGAGGCGGAAATGACGTACAGCACAAAAACTGGAAAGGAAAAATACTAAGGATATGGATTACAATAATTCGTGACGGCGGTTTAGGCCATGAGGTTCAAGAGTCATAGACTTATCTGTCGAATGCAACTCCGTGGCCTTACGAAGTGAGTCACGTGAAGAATGTATGATCTGTTTTCCCAAGTCAGACCACGTGATGTTCTCCAGGGAATTTGCCTTTTGTCTTTTCATTAATTATGCATACATAGGCACGTGAATGCGCGTGTATTAGATGACATTTGAAAAAAAAAACAGTTCTCTGGGGTACAAGCTAAAAACGTCTATTCGTATAAGTAACAGGATAATCATCTGTATTGGGCTTAACGAATTTATCGTTTGATCATGTATCATGTCCTACACTAACACGTTGCGGTGTCGAAATTAAAACACTTTGTGGTGCTAGGCATAAGCTCAACATATATCTCAAAATGTCATTACATCACTTTTTTCAGAAGACTGAATTCCAACTTTTTACGATCTCTTCCTGCCAAAGGATTCGCTAGAATTCCTAGTATACGCGTTCTGTAAGTATAGAACGAGTTTTGTCAGTCTTATCTTTCGTTTGTTCTTACCTTGCTGCGGTTACAGATCAGTGACGTGAACAACAACGGTATTGAAAAAGGCCGGTCAACACTGGTTGAAGAACAAAATAGGACAGGATGACAGGATATCTAAAAGTCTATTATTACTACTCTAAGATCGCGCTCAGTTTGCTTTACCTTGTCGAATACTATAAAGGGCTGATGAGGGTGTTTTTTCTGGCATGAGTATGATAATCACATCCGTCTCAAAATAATATTTTTATCCCTTTTTTTAGTGACTTAGGAAAGAATCTCCTTCACAAAACAATGAAAGAAACATTTTATGGTTTGTCAAGCTTAGAAATTCTGTAAGTAAAAATATAATTGAGTAATGATCATTTCTTAATCATAGGCTTGATTCTACCAACTTTGTTCGTATTGTAGAAGCTTGCGTGCGAACCAAATAGAGAAGATGGAATATGGTGTATTTACCAACAAGAGTAGCTTGACACATTTGTAAGTATATCAACAAATATTGATTTTCAACTCCTGGGTACAGCTCCCAATATTTAAGCTATATCAGTATGTGCTGCGGGATGAGGCATACAGTTTTCGAGGAGCTCAGCCCTTATTTCGGGTTCCTTGGTGGTATTGCGCTCCTTTAATGGTTATTTGATTATTGACATTTATCTCGTGCAACTAGGTATCTTCAGGAAAACAAGATAACAACATTGCCTCACGGACTATTTGAGTCCCTTTCTAAGCTCAAGTTGTTGTGAGTATATGAATTTGCATATAGTGTATAACTGTGTTATGTCAAGAACTTGATGACTCTTCCCTAGCGAAACAGTAGGTTTTGTTTCCAGAGAATCTCTATGTTACCTGCGACTAGCTAAGCTGTTAGATAATGGCATTAAAGTGACGAGATGAAAATACTTTTGCCTAATAGGTATAGCGATGCTGAATCTATTATTTAAATGTGCAATGCTTAAAACTGAGAGTTTTCTAACTGCAAAGAAAGCACCACCTGCATCTTAACGAAGTTCTTCACATGAAAAACATCGATCTGGAAACAGGGCTACCTTACCTCCAAATTATGTAATCAATTCATTGTTTACTTATTTGACTTTTTACTAGGGATCTTACTAACAACCAGCTGACTACAGTCTCAAGGAAAACCTTCCGCGGATTAATATCGTTGGAATACCTGTAAGTATAGCAGAGGTTTTACTTATTGCCGAAAGACATTTCCGACATTCGCTTTGGCTTTGCATTCCAATGTCTTCGAAAAACCTGCGCCTCTAATTTTAGTAAATTGGTGTAAAATTATCTGAATACAGTTACTGAACAAAAGTAGTATCTTGCCGTCGTTATCACTGTAGACACGTAACATTTATGTGGCATATTTAATACTGTTTTTGTGTTGAATTGACCGTTCTGAACACGCTTTTTTGTAAAATTCCGATGTTTCCTTTGCAGTTACCTGGACAAAAATAAACTGACAAAAGTATCACCTGAGGCGTTTAGTGAACTACGTAACATAAAATATTTGTAAGTAATTTAAGTAGTTATCCAATCCTTACTTTTTGTTGAACGCGTTCATCAAGATACCCAGGAAGACTTGATTTACCTTTTCACGCAGGAAACTGGACCGTTTTATCCTTTGCTGCTATGCTAAAAAATCCATCAGTGGAGTGGAATGCGACTCCCCAGTGGATGAAGTTTCCAGCTGCGATGACCTCATGAAGAACTACACGCTTCAGATTTGTATCTGGATTCTCGGTATTCTGGCCTTTGTCGGCAACCTTCTTGTGATAATATGGCGTGCCATTGATAAAGAGGAAAACAGAACACATTCCTTCTTGCTGACAAATCTAGCATTCGCGGATCTTTTTATGGGTGTATATCTGTTGACAATAGCCGTGATGGACTTAAGGTGGCGGGGAGAGTATTTCAAGCATGATGTCAAATGGAGATCTGGATTAGGTTGCCAATTCACTGGAGCTCTTTCCATGCTTTCAAGCGAAGTGTCCGTTCTAATGCTAACCATCATTACTCTTGACAGACTCGTTTGCATCGTCTTCCCTTTTAAATTCAAGCGTCTCACTTATAAGACAGCTGTTTTAACTTGCATTGGCATCTGGGTGTTCGGTGTCGTTATCTCGCTGATTCCAATCAGCGGTATAAACTACTTCATCGACGAGAACGGAAACTTCGGTTTCTATAGCCGATCAGCCGTTTGCCTTCCATTGCAGCTATCCACAGCAAGACCAGCTGGCTGGGAATACTCAGTTGTTTTCTTCATTGGTTTAAACTCTATATCTTTCATTTTCATCCTGATTGCATACATCTCAATGTTCTGGACCGTTAAACGCTCTTCTCGTGCAGTGCGATCCTCGAATCTGAAGAGGGAATCAGCCATGGCCAAGCGACTCGTCTTCATAATAATGACCGACTTCTGTTGTTGGATGCCAATTATTATTATCAATATCCTATCTCTAACTGGGAACTTTTATGATCCCAATAAGATTGCTTATGTGTGGATTGCCGTGTTTGTGCTTCCACTCAACTCTTCTCTTAATCCAATCCTGTACACATTTTCCACCGAAAGGGCAAAGAGGAGCCTTAACCAACGGCGAAAAAACGTGACTAATTTGGTTCTTAAATCAGTGCAAAACAGGCGTTTACAAGGTATGTGGAACACGGTTTAGCTTATGAATTTAAACTTTGAAGTGCCGTCTCTTCGGTGCAAAGTTTCTAAGAGGTACTAAGTCCGACTCGTACGCATTGGCTATTTAAGTGTTTTGGGGTGAGAGAAGATTGGGGTTAGGTTGAGGTGCGCGGAGACTCATTGGACCCCGTGGGCCTCAACCTAACAACAACCTTCTCTTACCCCCACTCCCCACCCCCACGCTTAAACAGCCACTGGCTACGAGCTACGAGCCACGAGTCTGGTACTAAGTTGTACTCACTGTTTTGAACAGCAACCGTTTTCCCATCTCTCCTTTCGTCCCTTTTTATCCGTGTCAGGCCAAAGAGATTCCTGCAAAGCCGGAAGCTACCTACGTAACGTGTTTTTGATGAGATTGTAATTGGGGCTGCTAGAGGCAATGGGTGTGTAGCGGCACCGATGCAATGACTCCTACGTAAGAAAAAACCTTTGTCGGCGATTTATACCGCAGAGAACGGTGAAATAGATAGGAAGTACGTTCATGATAATATTGGACGAATTAAATACAAATGTTCGTGTTAGTAATATCCAACTATGCTTAAGGGTTTAGCCTTGTTACCAGAGTAGTTCCGGCAACAAATTTTCATATTGTGAAAGGTTTTTCGTACAATTTTGTTTTTAGGCAGGAAACAAACAACTGATTGGTTGAAAACATATGATGATCTCACTCTATTCTCACTCTAGTTTCCAACGTCGTCATTGGTTCCAGTCCCCTTTCGTTACCAAGGGCAACGGAAATCTCGGAACGAAACTGTAAGCAAGTACACGCAAAATTGAGGGTGATTGAAGAAGTTGATATCCTGCAAGACGACAGGACGAGAAAAAGCTCAACAGTAAGTTTGTAGAGAAGAAAGTTTCTACGGATAACGCATAGTTTTGTCCAAATTTCCCTTATACCCGAGTTAATTTTTTCACCATGCTGGGACGTAACAAGGTTATGGCCCGATAGCCTGCTAAATAATGGAGCTTCACTGATATTAAAAATTACTATGTTTAAGTTTTTTGGTGTTTTGGCCTTTAACCGTATCTACTTACATCCGTCCATTCGTCCGAATAGCCATTCACATCTAAGTTCTCTTCTTCTTCATCTCTTCATCATCTCTTCTCCCTCATGTTTGGAACTTCCAATTTTAATGAAATACACGTAAAGAGGGTTTTCACTCACGTGGTCAGCAGCTATACAAATTAATTGGAACAAAAGAAAAGTTTTTACGTAAGCAAAAGGTTCAACTCCCAGAGGATTGGTTTGGAACACCAACATGGCCGCCGTTTTATTGTTTTGGAACACCAATACGGCGGTTATGTGAAATGACTCTATAAATTAATCATTTCGCTGAAAGATAATCGTAAGCCTGCAGGAGACTAGTAATTGATAACTGATTGAAATTCAGAATGGAACTCAGCTCCATAAAAATTTACCCATATTTAACCCTGGCTGTCGCCGCCATTATTGCTTAAGTTTCCCATAAAATTAAAGAAATAATACCGTAGTCTTGCTTCCAACGTCTTCTGTTATTTCAGGGCTTTGCTCTCGCTTGGAGTGAAGAGCACAGTACGTTAAGTATGGTGTTGTTGAAGTACTTTGCTGAAGAATCTAAAGAAGACTGGTCTCACGAGGTTGATATTGCTAAGAGCCTGTCTTTTTGCGACCAACCGCATGCCAGTCTACTTCGATACCGTTGGCACTCCAAAGGTGAAAAAAAAACTGTAGTTTTCTGTTTATCTGCCATCGCTCGCATTTAATTATACTTCTGAATATGACGTTTCATGCTTTGTGAAAAGTCCGAGAAACTCCGGCCCCCCGACCCCTGGAACTCAGCGCGGAGTCTAAAATTGACCTGGTGTTAAAACACTTCTAATTTCCCCGCTTTTTGGGGCAAGAAGTTAGTTAAAAGTCACGTATAGCGGGGCATTAGTAGATTAGTCATAGGCTCGGTGAACCGCTCTCTTGGGTGGGGTCTTGTTCCTCTCCGACAATGGGCTCTTTTCCCGAAAACCGGCTGGTAATCGAGCTTATATCAGTTCAGAACCGGTCACAGCAAAAATCGATTCTAAAGTCCAGCATATACTTTTTACTATACTCAACTGCAGGGAAATTTGACTTCTACTTTCCAATTCGATCACAGCGTACGTACATCAGACGACTCAAGATCTATATCGACTCAATTCTGTATTTATTTCCGTCAAAAGAAACTCTCTACTGCGTTCCTTCAAATTCAAAAATAATATTACTTTATGGGTACCAAAGGATTTTTTTCTACTTTATCCTTGAAAACGGACCTCTAGAGCCAAAGTAGAAACATCCAGTTATCGCTTAACATCTGTATGGTATATTTGTATATACTGCATTTATCGTCGCGTTTCCACTTTTCGAACAAGTTCCATTTGCCATATATAAAAAAAGGGTACAAATAGTCTCAACTGTTGTGACCATTTGCCTTGTTTTGCGCCATAGGCATATAAGAACTGTTTATTTTAGATGTAGGACTGAAATCATGGCTGTGTATTTTTCTCGTTGAAGTTTTTCTCTCCTCATTTTACCTTTTCCCCGCGGGCCAGAGATCCAAAGCGAAACAGATGTCTTCCTCTTTGCGATTATTTCAACTAAGCTTGAAAGAAATGGGACAGGAATCGGGAAACTAAGAAAGCGCTTTTGGTATTAATCTGTCGTCGTTTACGAAAGAGGTGAACAAACGAGAATTATGAAGTCCCTGTGAGGCAATGCTCGACAAAAGCAGGACGCTCCATGCACCTTTTATGTGTGTCAGTTATCAGACACTCATTAAGCGAAACTGGTCAGGGAGTGATTGTCACTGGTGAAACATGCATTCCACGGTCTCTAGTGTTAAGGCTCAAACCACTTAGACCTGATCATGAAAACTGCGAATATACTGGCATGATAAACTTTCCCCAGCAACATTTCATGTTTTCTATTCACTTGCAAATCACTGGTCTTAGCTAAAAATCGTCTCCTAAACTTTCTGAGTGTACTTTTAGGTTTTGGGAGTGCCTTGGTTTCTCTGCAAATTGTCTAGTCCTGAGGATCGACTTTATCCTTGGCTGCGTTTTTTCTGGTGTTTAGTAACGGCAACTCCTTGCTTTGATACTGATGTTGCTCCACCCCTTTTCTGTGTCTGAGACTAGGGTGCCCTGTATGTGCAGGGAGCCGGGGTTTCAATTGACTGATGAAACAAAGAACAAAATTTTGTTGAGGTCCAGGAATGCATAGTACAATTCTTTTATTTCATTCCTCTAAGCCTCGCCTGGAGGTAAGTATGAACTTTAATATATCAAATTACTGGATGAAGGAACAATAAATCTTTGAAACCGTATTATATCTCCTTTGAAATAACAGCCATAAAGTTATTTTGCAACTGATAAAAACGATCTTTTCGCTTTAACTAATTTATGTAAATGTTGCAAGCAAAAAAAGTTATTCATTCATAGTTCAATATCCTTCCTGCATACTCATTAGCATTTAGTTATGTGAAAGTCACCCCAGACGAGCGAACCCGCTGGGGAAGACACGTAGGTGCTAATAGAGTACACAGGAGGGTGGGCGGGCGGGGCGAATCCAACCAAAGTTAGACAAACTGACAACTATGAATAATCAACACATGCTTATATACTATGCACGAAGTCTAATGAATATTAATAAGGTATAAATAGTTCAATATCCTTCCTGCATACTCATTAGCATTTAGTTATGGGAAAGTCACCCAAGACTGCGCCTACCACTGTGAAATTACCCTAATAGGTCATCCAAGCAAATAAACCCTCCTAAACGCGCTAACACCCCCAACCCTAACTTAAGTTCAAGTCCCATCAACTAATGACCCGCAAGAGGGGAAAACCCTCTAAGTGAAGGCTTTAGTAAAACCCTGCAAATCATTATATTCCTTATAAGCGTCAGCTAAGTCTAAAGTCAACGAAGATAGGGCGTCAGCAGCGCCACCAGAGCTAAGTACTTGATTTAGTTTCATATAGTGCAGTGCTGTGGACGATGATTTCCAGCCCACGTGGTCCGTGATCTGATCAAGTTTCGTTGCGGCAAGCGCAAGAGAAATCGCACAACCACTTCTTAAACCGTGCAGAGTGACGTTCCAATTAGCCAAGTCCGGGAGCTGGCTATCGTACAGGGATAATCGGGACTGGGTTGCAGCAAACCCAAAAGGAGCAGGCAGAACCTCCCCCGATGGGTTCAAAGGTCGAAACAAAAATCCCCGGCGAACAGGAACCTTTAATAAGTCGCAAAGATTAACGTAAACCTCCACGGCGGTAACCGGGCACACTGTCGGATCCACATGACGCTTAAGGCCAAAGAGATTCGAAGCACCATCCCGCAGGGACTTCATCAAGGTGTGGTTGAACAACAAGCCCTGGTTGTTTGGGAAGTGCTGCATCTCCTGCGTTCGTACCCGACCCAAGTCGCCCGCCCTGTCACCGCCAAAGAGCTGTATATTAAAAAACGCTTGATCCCGCGCTAAAATAAAAAACTGTGATGGAGAACGAAGGTGAGTGTTCATGTGCCTAAGTATCTCAGACGACAAGATCACCAAATCCCTGAAAAAGAATGGCTCAGCTTGCTTGGGGACGACCCGTGCAACCAACTGCTCCTCTCTGATGGCCGATAAGTAGGACTTGACCTCAGGGGAAGCTGCAGGATTAGCGAGCCCGAGAATGGGGCCATCAATGGCAGTTCTACCATATTTGTTGAAAATGGCTCTCAGTTTCCCAATGGTAGAGTCAACCGAACCATACGCCAAGCGTTTAGGGCACGAACAGGACGAATTACTTCTCTCTCCAAAGAACGGACACGTATCACAATGTACCACCGTTTTACCAAAACTGTCCTTCCAAATCAAGAAATCGACAATATCATCAGGAATGGCCGTGCACATGTCCTGTTGTGAAGTAAATCTGAGGAAATCCATAAACTCAACCTCCAAGGCACTCTTCTGTTTCTGGTATGGCGTAGAGCGTTGCCTAGCAACCGAACACTGTTTACGCGCACTTATAACGGACAAATTGACAGGAGCTTTAAGGTGAGGAGAAGCCTGGGAAACTCTCTTCTGACGTTGATAACCACACCTCTGACAGAAGCGGAAATCACAGTCATTGGGTTTGGCGCAAACTGGACAAGACACACACGGTTGAAACAGTTTGGGAACAATCGGCAAAGACTGAAAGGAAAACATCACCCGTTAGGTCGTCCGCGAGGAGGAGCGTGCAATTCGAAACGCCCAGAGGTCATAGGGGCATAAACGGGATACAAAACCATGTCGAGAAGGCAAAAGGAGCGCATCGGCCGACCCCTTCTTAGCAACTAAAACTCTGCGGGTAGCGAACACATTAGCAATGGCCACCAACCAGGCAAAGGGGACAACTTCGGAACCACAATTGTAACAGCTGCATTTGCAGACGCAAAAAGGCGCAGCAAAGGGCCAATCAACGAAAAAGGAGGAAAAACATAAGCGTTTACATGGTTGCCATTGCACACGGACAGGTCTTGATTAAAAACATTAACCCCAGACGAGCTAGGAGTAGGATAAGGGGTAAAATGCCTCAACGGGTTCCCTTTCCCATCACATTGAACATTAGAGTCCAGCGACATGAGATCAAGATTATGGCCGTTAACGCCCCCAAAATGGCGCTGGACAAGATCCCAAGATGTTGGCAAAAGCATAGCATCTGAGGGGGACAACCTCCTACAAAACCAATCCGCCTGATTCGAGTTGGAGGGAACAAAACTCATGTCAAGAGAAAGATTTCTAGCCACCAGGAACTGGAAGATAAGTTGTGAAATTTGCGTTAAGGCCCTCGAGCACGGTCCCCGGCCCGACCACGAATGGACGGCCACCATATTGTCGACTTGTGCATCGATCCCGCAATCGCGGATATCTTCAGGGAGGGACTATAGACCTTTGATTTCCTTCACGTTTATGTGCTCGCCCCGGATGTCTTCACCCCAGTAATCACCAACGGAAAGCGTTCCGGAGGGAAGACGAATGACCGCTGCCCATCTGAAGGAGGATGCATCCGAGGTAAAGGAAATTGCCACATGACTTTCACTTCTCCATCGAACCACTTTGTCCCAACTGTCCAGGAACCTCCAGAACAAAATCTCCTCTCGCAAAACTGGGGATATCTTTACCTCGCTACCATTAGACGCCCTCGCTATGGACACTGCCATCTCCCGGACATAAAATTTAGCCCCTGGAAAAGCCAGTGAGAAGGAAATGCATTTCCCCATTAGTCTTTGAAGGGACTTCAAGGAAAAAATTGGGAGAAGTATTTGTTCCCGCAATTGAGCAAACTTCAATTTCTTGTCTACGGGTATACAAAAAGCTTGCGCTGCAGAGTCGACAATCATTCCCAAATACTGGATCCGAGTCGCAGGGACCAGGACGCATTTAGCAATACCCAAAAAATAACCCAAACCAACAAGAACTTTGCAAACTATATACCAGGCCACCACCGTTGACCGATAACTGTAATCCGGAGTTCTCCGAGAAATGGGACGCGACCAAAAACCCTCCGAAGAAAACAACTCCCCATTCAAACGATCGTCAATGTAAAGAGAACATGCCACCCCTAAGTTCCTGAAAAAATTCGTTGGACCCAAGCCAACAGTTTGGTAAACAAAGGGGGAATTCTTCCAACCAAACGGGAGCGTAACACCAACTAGCCACCACCCCTGCCACGCGATGCCGAAATATTGCTGAGACTCAGGAGAAAGCAGAATATGATCATAGCCAGACTTGTCGTCGATCTTGCTCATGTAAGAGTTAGGATACACGAAGCGAGAAACTCCAACGAGCGTGTCAAGAGAGAAAGGGGTATCGCTCATCCACAGATTTAGGAACCGGGCGTCAATGCATAATCTGGGCTTCTGCGGTTTGATTGTCATTGGGAGGACCAAGTGGGGCGGACTTACGTCCCCAACCCGACCCCAGACAAGGATTGCCCCAGTCTCGATGCGCTGTAAAAGTGTCTCTGTAACAAACTGCGAAAACTGTTTACAATAGTGGTAGTTTTTTTTTAAAGGCCCTCGGTGGGGGATTGGTGCTATCATAGTTAACGCCCATAAAGGACCCCCGAAACGGCCTCATAAATTCCCTGATATTTACCCCCTTTCCTATCCACTCAAGGACATTTTCTGCATGGTCATAACCCTCCAAAATATCCTTCCAGAGGTCAATGCATGTACCGAGTTCGCCAGACTTAAAAGAATCAGGATCACGAAAAGACAAATCAGACATCGAAACGGGTGTTTCTCCCCGAACAATGCTACAAATATCCGCCAGACACTTTTTACTGTTGGTCATTTTCTCTGAACTCGGGTCTCCATCCAACGATATCCAGCGTATTTCTCTATGTTCAGCCCTCTTCTCCGCTTCCAAGGGGCAAACTCCAATACCTCTCCCCTTAAACGCTTCACCGCAGGCTAAAAGAAATCATCGAAACGAACGATCAGAAGGGAGAAGTAGCCCGCGCCCAGAAAATTGCACCCGAGTTCAGAGAGAATGACCACCGTAGCCCGAGTAATCGGGCCCAAGGGCATGCCTATAGGCAAAACGCTTGTGGGGTCACCTCTCTAACCTCGAGACAACAGATTCGTAGGAAAATACTAACAGAAACATAGAAAACGTGCTAAGTACAAACTCGAACGCTTTATTATCAATGAAACAACATCAAATAACTTCCAGGAAAAGAATATCAGAACAAACGTGAAAATCAGGATCAGCGCCTCTCTGGGCAAGAACGAGAGATGTGGTCCATCTTTCCACACAGCCAACAACGTGGAGCGGTCGGAGGCCTCATGTTGAAAGTCCCACGCCTTGAATACAGGGTTCTCCGCGTCCGTCCCCCGAACGACCCGTGGTAGGCTGAGGTAGGTTCCTTTGTCGCTTTGGCTATAACCTTAGCCACCTCGGCTTCCTACTTCGTTGCCACGAGCTTAATAAGAATCTTCTGTAGGTTTGGACTGCTAACCAACGGGCGGCACTGTCTCAGGACTATCTGAAATCGGGTGGCCCTGTCGTCTTTCTTGTCTCTCGTAACGTTCACTACCTCCTCGAGAGCGGCAATGGCGGCGTAAGGGTCGAACAAGGCCGCCGGCCGCGCGATGACCATTTGTAGCGAGGATAAAGCCGAGTCCACCACAGAAGAATCAACCTTTCTTTTCCATTCGTCCAACTCCTTCTTCAATGTCCCAACTGTTGTAGCCGATTCCTACATACAACAAAAGGGACGCTAATTAAAAACTATTCCCTGATCGAACCCGTCCCCAGCACACGGGAACCCCTACAAGCGGCCAAGCGCCACCACGAGGCACCACTCGACTTCAACGCCTTCGCACGCGCTTTCTTTCTCGTTACTTAAGTAACCCGCGAGGCCAAACGCGCAAGAGTTCGCGACACGGTCCTCCCACGGTCCTCGAGTAACAGGAGTCCGCGACTCACTCTCCCTTCATTTACTCTTTTTCTTTTTCTTTTTTTTTTTAGCTCCACGGTCCACGATCAGGTGCCACGTCCCTCAAGCCACCGGGTGGCATAACAGAAGTCCGGAACTTCTTTTTTCCTCCATTCTTCCTTTTTTTTTTTCATTTCTCGCACCACGGTCCTCGACCGAGTTCCTCTATTCTCATGCCATCCCGAGGCATAACAGGGGTCCGCGACTCCCTTTCTCCTCCATTTTTCCTTTCCTTTTTTTTTTTTTTTTTTTCATTTTTTCGCACCACGGTCCTCGACCGGGTTCATCTATTCTCATGCCATCCCGAGGCATAACAGGAGTCCGCGACTTCCTTTCTCCTACATTCTTCCTTTTCCTTTTTTTTTCATTGTTTCGCACCACGGTCCTCGACCGGGTTCCTCTATTTCGATGCCACCCCGAGGCATAACAGGAGTCCGCGACTCACACTTTCTCAATCATTGTGTTAACTACAATCTATTTCGACCGGTCCTGCAATGCACGGAGAAAACAGCCTCACGTAGATTTAAATGACAAAGATGACAACTATGACGGTGCGTTAAATAAAAAACATAATTAATCCTTTGACTGGCACCTAAGGTGACAGACGAATAAATTACCAAACACGTGTTTCCAAATAACGGAAAACCAGACCGCGTAGAAAATTCGGTGAAAACCAACAATTGGGAAAAAGCACAAAAAGAAAAGGGACCAAAAAACGCGCCATTCGAAACAAAACGACAACTGGAAACCTACAGGAAAGCGGAATTATACGGAAACTGAAAACACTACCTCAAGGCTCTCCGACGACTGCTGTTCCTCCGAGGTCGCGGTATTACTGATATCCTGCGAAGATGCAACACTCCCGGAGGCCTCTGTCTCTGCAGGCAATACAGGCGTAGTTGACGGCGGCATTTCTCGACGAGAAGAAGTTTCCAGTGGCCGCAACACTTCCTGCACTTCAGCGACAGCGTTCGGTTGGGACGGACGCGTACTGGTCATAGCCGGTGCAAATCCAACCAAAGTTAGGCAAACTGACAACTATGAATAATCAACACATGCTTATATACTATGCACGAGGTCTAATGAATATTAATAAGGTATAAATAGTACAACAAATTGTGCGCATTTGCACTATTAAAAACAAACTGGGTTGTAGTTGTCCCTTGCAGTCATGTGGTTTGCGGTTTTTTTTGTTGCTTCAATTGTGACCCTCCACAGCAATTTGATGCTAAAGGTGAAAGCACGCTCACGACACGCTTGCATGACACGCTTAGCGTGCCGGAGATCACGGATATGCGCACATTAAATTGAAAAAACAAAGACGGACACACTTGCCTTTGTTTTGGTAAATTTAACACGCTAGACCTTTTGTCTTTTTGTAGCGTGCAAGATGTCACGGTAAGTGTGCGAATTATAGCACGCTTAGCTTGCAATTTGGGTAAGACACGCTGAACACGCTTGATTACTAAAACTGCGAAGATGATAACTGGTCGAAGTGAATCAAATATACTAATTGAGACTGTTTTGGAATTTGATCGTAACCGTAGCCATTTGAAAATCACCACTTAATGGTCGTCTAGCCTGGAATTAACGCGAGATCAGTGTAAACCAATTCCTCCGGCTGTTCGCTGTTGACCGGAATCACAAAGTGGCCTGCTATCGCATGCGAGGCACTGAAGTTATGTCGCATGAAAATTATTGTTATGCCACCGGAATATTTATTAGCAGTCATGCACAGAGAAATGAAGTTGAAGAAATTAGTTTAATATTCTTCTTTAAGCCATGCTGAGACGAACGAAGGTAATTAAATCAGAGAAACAAAAACTGCCTAGACTTTTCTATAGGTTGAGGAAGGCTAAACATTTCTAGATGACCGTTCCATGCATGTACAATTTTCGAAACTTATCTAATAAATTCCTTACGACTTTCTGAAGTTTAATTTTTTACATTTCACTCCCCAGGTTACGATATTTTTCGTAGAGAAAGGAATCCTAAAATTTTCGGAACCGAAAATACGATAAACATTCTCACTTTCCTAAAACTTTCAATTGGATGCTAAATTTTTCGGGAAAATAATGCTGAAGCCCTTTTAATTTCGAAAAGACTGAAGTTGTCCTAGGATGCTAGGATGCATTTAGGAGGAAATCGCCGTTAGGTGCCCCTGAAGAACAAAGCGCTATCAATCATAATTTATGTGAAGAAATTATCTCGTTACCCTATGCTAAGACGAATCAAGCGCTGTAAACGTGTACGATATCTCGTTCTTCACAGAACGAAAAAAAAAGGAATCTGTGAACAAAAAACACTGTAGAATACTAGACTCCGTTGCGAGAAACACAGAAGCAAACGTGTTTCCGTTTGCGGGTACATCCTGGTAAGCCCGTTTTTCCATGTTTCTGTTTCTGAGAAAATTGTAAATGTGTTTTAAATTAAGGAAAAAGTTAAGATAACCTTTGCACAGCTTCGTCAGTAAACATTTCTGGAAAGAACTTTGATTTTGCAATGCTAATATAGTTCTACCCATAAATCCAGTAGGTCCCACCGTTCACTATTTATACTTTTCAAGCGACAACTTTTCTTCAATCAGATACTATCGCTGCGATCGCTGAGGCAGAACTTTTTCTTTCTCGATAGTTACCAAAAAAGGGTACCGTTCATAATCATTTATGCTTCCTTTTTGTAGAGGAAATTTATTTAGCTTATAAATAACACGCCTTGCGTGCTTTTGCGCACACTGAAAGCGTGTTGTGCTTTTTCGCACGGAGCTTTTGTTTGAAAACTTTAACACGCTCTTTTGTTCGACTTGCTCACGCTTAATTGTCTCAAGCGTGTCCTCTGAAACAAAAGAAATTGCTAATGAGGCAAGATTGCAAGCGTGCTAAAGTGTGTTAAAATAAATTCTTTTGTTTTAAAGTGAAAGCGTGTCGTGCGCGTGCTTTCACCTTTAGCATCAAAATCCTGTGGAGGGTCACAATTAATTTATTTGATAGTTTGTCTTTCTTATTGTCAGCTCGCGATCAAAGCATTGAGCATGGTAAAAAGAAGATAAATGCTTTATGCCCCAGAAGCCTGTAAGTTTCATTTTCATTCCTGTTACTGACTATGACTGCAGCGTGGCCGAGTGGTCAGCGCTTCGGACTTGCAATCCGGTGGTCCCGGGTTCGAGTCACGCTCTGGCCACTTGCTAGCTGGATTTGTTCTCGGTCATCCCGAGTTGAAATCCTTGGCCACACTTGTAAACAGCCAACTGGTTGCCTCCAGCCAGTTTGGGTTTTTAATCCTGTTATGTTGTATTTGAATTATTTTGTTTCCAGGCATTTGAGTGGAGTGCCTGTAAACTAGCTGGATAAGCTAAGTGCACTTTCCACGATAAACAAACCTATAAACCTTTTTTTAATAACTAACGTCTATCTCAACGACTATCGGCGAAAGAGTCAAAACCGATACTTGTGATGTTTCAACTGAACATTAAACACGTGTCTTTCGGTCGAGTGAGTTGAGATACTCGAAGATCTAGGGCGGTTATCATCAGCAGTCACAACTGCCCCGGAAACCAATCCAGTGGTAAAGAGAATTCCACTATGAATCCGGACTATTCAGCCAAATCAGTCAATTCTTAAAATTATAGTGTGCCAGTCATGGTGATTTTTGGGGGAAAGTTTATTTCATTTTCTATATCAACAGCACGGCCAGCCAGATGTCTTTTGATAAACGCCCTTAGTTTCCCCGCCAAAAAATTTTCTTTATTCTTCGAGTTTCCAGTGTCGTTCACCTTGAGTAGATGCTTGACTGGGCGGTTCAAAAACGAGAGTTTGAAGGTCGAGGAATCGCACTCGTTTTAACAATTTTTTTCAAATTTGTCGATGATATCTTAGAAAACGTTTTGCACTGTTTTTGCATGTGCTAAAACACTTTCAGGAGACAATTTTTGTCGAATCTGCTGTAAAAATAATAACAAAAATACTTGGGGAGTATTAGGGAGCTTAAAATAAATCCTACAAGCTAGAAAGCTCTACTGGCCAAAAGCAGGATGGGCTTTTGCCAAAAGGCCATTCCCGAGTCGCCCAAAGCTTTTGTTTTAAAGCGCGACTAAGTGCAAGGCCATTAAACTAAAAATGATTTTCTATGCTCATGCAAATAAAAGCCTTTTTCACAAGGAAGTTTTTGTACTTAGCCTCGGTTTGAAACTCGGAAATGGTTTTTCCCTGGCCATAGTAACAGTCCCAGAAGTCCTTGCGAAAGTTTACTCGGTCCAGTTCCCTTCACGTCTCTTTAGCTTGATGGTTTGTTTTCTCAAAGTAGGTCAAAACTCTTGAGAACTGTTTCTTTCAAATTTCGTCTTATTCCCACGCTTATATACGCACAATTCATGACAAAAGAAAAAAACAAATTCCTTTGAGACCTTCACTGGGCTTCACTTCACAAAAAGAGATAGGTAATTTTGAATAACTTTTAAATAGTTTTTAAGTCTGTAAAATAACTTGTTTTAGATAGTAAATAGTTTTTAGTTAGTTAAAATTTCTAAATAAGACTTTCGATAGTTTTCTAAATACTTTTTTGCTTGTTTTTAAATTGCGTCTTTTAATGCTAATTTTTATCATTTTATAGTGATAGTGTAAAATTATTTTAATATTTATTTTGTTTTTATGTCTTATAGAGGGCCACAAGTTTATCCGTTTTTTTCATAACTGCCTAGTGTTTACTCTCTTTAAATAAAGGCGTTACCTTGCCTTACCTTTCTGGGCAACCAAAACAACAAGCTAACGAGGTCTATTTTTGAATCATTCCTTTGCTGTCACTTCACCAAGACATTTTCGGTAACAACATTTTGCGGACGTAGACGCAAGACATCCAATCATTCTTTCACTTTTTGGGCTTGGATACGGTCTCAACAATTCAAGAATTAACATCTATTTCATCCTTACGGAGATGAGAGGAAGGAAAACTGAAAATATAGATAACGGGTTCCATCAAGGTCGTTAATCTGAAAGAAATACCGAACTGAAGGCGTAATCAGTTAGTCGAGCGACGGAGCGAAGCAAACTAGCGCCAAGTTTTGTACTCAGTTGTGTACTGTTACTCATTGTTGATTATTTATTTTTATTACTTTTTTAAGACTTATTTGCTACGAGTTTGTGTCTAGTTCCACGTTGGAAGATTTTCTTTGCGATAAACGTACAGTTCTCAATTTTGACGGCATCTGCGCGGTAGCGACTGACGTGATCAGCGCGATTGAGCGACTGGAGGATCATGGGATACTTCATAACAACGTCACCACAAGAAACATATTGATTGGTCCTTGCACGAGAGTAAGTAAACCAATGTGCCCCGTCTACAGTTGGTATGTAGTAAAACTTCCGTATATTTCTTACCAGAGGAGCCGAGTAAAACACGGAAATCAACCACTGGGAGGTAAAAAGACATAAGGGACTTGGCACGATCGTTTAATCTCATATAGATGCCTCCGGGTTTTTATTTTGTTGTTGTTTTTGTTTTTTTCTTTTCGATTTTTGAAGAACTCGGTTCACTTGCTCTATATGAAATTGAATTTTGCTATGGTTGTTTTCAGTTTTATTTCCATGCTTGTAAATTTTTCAAAACGATGCGACAAATGAGTTGCATTCAGTATGGGAAATGCTAACCTACGATGCAAAGAAGACGGAAATGATTTATTTCTCTTCTCGGCCGCTTCCTTTCCGCCTACGCCCTCTCGCCGCAGTCTCAAACGTTTTGAGTTAATAAGAAGAAGATCTCCAGACTGGGCGAGCCAAGAGAGCTTGCGCATGCGTTAACTTCAAAGAATCATGTAACCTTATTTAGCTCTTATTTTTTGTAGCTTCCTCCAATAAGAGCTGTGTTGGGAGGTTTTTCTCAAGTATCTAAAGCTAATGAACCTGGGGCATGTACCAACTGGTCGGTTGAAGAACATGGTAGTCATGGTAAAGATCTTGAGCAATTTGGACAATTGCTAGCTACATTGCTAGGACATTGCCACGGTTCTAGTGAATACACCCAGGTTTGTCCACAATAGTTACAACCAAGAGTCCTATTATGGCTCTCGTTATTACTCATTGCAGAGGCTATTAAGGTCTTACACTATTCTGTGCTAGATAATTCTATCTTATCGACTGGGACAGTTTTCACAGTTTTCAGGGTTTTTTTGGACTGTAGATCTGGGAAAGTGCAGGAGTCTGTTTCTCGAAAGTCCTGGTTACTTTTCAGGCCCGAAAAGCTGTTTGTGTTGGCCTTGTTTGGATTCAAGATCAAAGTTTCACTAATAATTTTGAAAATGATACATAGAAACTATCAGTTGACGAAGTAAATTAACCAGTTTGTGAGCTAGGAGCTGTACTACTATTCAGCAGGTTTTGATAAAAAGTTTATTTTCGGGCCTGAAAAGTTACCTGGACTTTCGAGGAACGGGCCTCGGGTTTAAGTGCGGATTTTGGTGCAGGTTTCAATGCAGATTTTGGTAGGTACTGACTTCTTTCACCTTGGTGCAGGTTTTAGTACACGGGTTTTGGTGTAGGTTTCGGTGCAGAATTTGGTGTAGATTTTAATGCAGGTTTCGGCGTAGGTTTTGGTATAGGGTTTGGCACAAGGTTTTAGTGCAGGTTTCGGTGCACAGTTTGGTTCAGTTTTTGGTACAGAGTTTAGTGCAGATGTTGGTTCCGTTTTTGGTGCAGGTTTTGCGGCGGGTTTTGGTGGAAGTTTTGGTAAGGGTTTTGGCGCAGGTTTAGTTGCAGTTGAAGGTACAGGTACAGATACAAGATACATGGGAACTTTGTGATCCACAGAGCGCCTAATGGAACATTCGGATATTGATAATAAAGACTACAAAAGTACTTTCTCAGTCACTAGCTACTCCCGGTGGGGGGGGGGGGGGGGGGGGGGTAACTTGGGTTAATTTTTTGCTGGGTATGTGCCGCTGGTCTCACAAAACCCCTACCCCATTACAGTCAATTCTTTGGCCAATTATACACCCCATATTAGTCACTTTTGAGCACATGTAATTTTCGCGATTCCAACTAAGTCACTTTTTATTTATGTATCTACCTTATCAATCTTTTAAATAGGTTATCCTAAAATGAATTGACCCATTTTCTTAAGTTGAATGAAGAACACTTTACTTTTCACCTACAGCAAAAGCATTCTGGCTCGTTTGCTAATCGTAAATGTGCAGAGCTTTCTTGCCCTAAAAATCCGAAAATGTGCAATCCCATTCTACTAACTCTATTGAAAATGCAACCCCATTATAGTTAATCTACTCGTGAAAATGCGACCCCATCCAGCCGCACATCCCCATTAGCCTCTTACAAGGAGGTACCCCCCAGGTAGCTACTCTATGTTTTAGATAAGAGTGACTGCCTGCCTCAGTTAAATGAAGGTGGCTCGACTGGATTTTTTGGGGGGGATACCTCCCAAATTTGAGCATTAACTACGTCGGCATGAATAAAGATATGGAAAAAAAGTTACCACAAATGTATTATATAAAGATGAAAATTTCTTATGATCTGGGTTTTATTGCAATCGGAGTCGCCATGGCAACGTAATGACGCCATTACGTTTTTCATTTATCGTTGTGTGTCTCTGTACCAGGAGTTTTTTGAAGAAATCGCTTAAGGGAGTATGTACCAGCCATAATTGCCTCCATTATGGCAAAGTTTAAAGAAATTCTATGAGAGCGTTTTCGACATATTTTGAAATGCAGTTTTAAGAATCATCAAAGCCGTGAAATAGCATGCTAGCCGCGCAATTCGCTAATATTTTAATAAGAAAATGATAAGCTTTGGGAACGCCGCTTCATCTCATAGTGGTTTGATTCCACTGAAAACTGCATACAAAAAAAGAGGGGAATTGCTCTGGGCGAACGCGAGAAAGAAGAATTTTATTAACTTGCATTCAGCTGCTTTTGATAGTTTTTGGAGGTAATTTGGTCCATGCCTAAGAATTTCGCATTTTTCCAAAAACCGCTCGATAAATTTTTTTATAAATTCGACAATCCCGAGATCAATTGTCAAGAAATATTGCCTGCAAGTTTCAAGAACATTGAAAACAGGGAAGGCTTTTAAATAGGGCCTCAAACATAACCAATTTCCCCCCTAGATTTTGTGTTTACAAGTGAGCGTCCTGATTATTCACTGGCATTGTTTTCAAGTTTCATATGCACGTGCACAACTAGCAAAAGATATAAAGATTTTCGTTGACGCACCGAACCCTTTCGCACTTGTAAGTAATCCCATTCGTATTTAGCCACCGTTTTTTAGCCATGATCACAAGTGATCATGATTACCTGCAAGTTACCCAACAAAGGCGTGTAGTTTAATATTAACCTTTGGAAGAAAGAAATAAGGTTCCTAACATTGTTTCAACTTTCTTTAACGTTTTTGTTTTTAGCTTCACGAGATCAGGGACCTGTGTTTCCAGGAAAATTTAGACGGGACAATTCGAGCGTCATACATACGTGAAATGCTGGAAGAGGCTTGGCTTAACTTTGGGGTTTGGGATACAGCACTTTGAGTAAAAACCTTTATCCAAAGGGACATGCAATTTGTTTAATGCAAGAGACGATTATTACGCCATTGTGTATTTCTATAACTACAATATGTAACCATATCTAGTCTTATACAGTCATATGCAGTTTGTTGAGTAAGAAATTGATCTAGTTATCTGTGAAAACTATTAAGTACGTCCTAGCTGATGATCGGGGGGGGAGGTGTTACATTATCGCTTTTCATTAATAAGTGTTGTCAAAGCATTCAATTTGTGACAAGTATTATGCAACCAGTTACATAACCCCCATAGTTAATTAGGTCTTTTCATTTTTTTTTTGTTTGGAACAGTTATGTGTAAATTTAGTAGCTTTACTTAAAAAAGCAGTTTAATCTTTCAGGCCAATAAATTGAAATATTTCAGAGTTTATATGCTGGACTCCGTTTTTGCTCCGTTATTTTACAGGGGGGACGTTCTTGCCCCAAAGACTTGCCTCCTCCTGCCTCGTCCCTTTGTGTCCATCCTTGCTCTTGAAACAGCACATGCGGTGTCTTGGTAAAGTTGCACTCCGTCCCACTCAACAGTGGATTCTGGTGACTAGGAAGAGCCTCTGGACGGTTAGACCTCGCTTCAGAGGCTCGCTATCTGGAGCACTGCCAGTAGTTAAGCAGGCTGGGGTTACTAATGCCTTAGCATGATCCTTCGACACTGCCTGTGAACTCCCCCTCTTATTTTTAGTCTGCTTTTCAATCTTGTTGGAAGCGTGATTTTTCTCGCCTCCTCCTAAACCGTTTCGCGCATCCTAAGTAGATTTGACACTCCCTACCCAGGCCAACCTCGTACCCAGGGCTTTTCCCTAAAAAAATGGGAGGGGCCCTGGGAAAGCCCTGGGGACGAGGTTGATCCCTAGCCTCGACTCTGAACATTTGAAACCACGAAGGCAACGCGTAACGTCTCAAGTTGATCTCGGCGATCTCATACTGCTGAGACCCAATCAGACTGCAACAGTCACCAGGGATTTCAAAGTGGATGTAATAAAGGCCTATATGAGAAATGTAAGCGTCAATTTAGATTTGTCTGTGCATTAATATAGCTATTTGTGTAATTCCTCAATTTTCCTGTGAACTTCAGCTATAAACATACAGTACATTTATTTTTTCCAAGCTTGCGAGCGGGCGAAATCCTCCAAATGTTGCAATCTGATTGGTTCCGAGAGCGGGCGGTTTTTTACGATCTTGCCCGCTAACCCGGGCGGAATCGTTGGCAGCTTCATTCACAAGTTTGTTTGTTGTTTTTGAATGAGCAAAAACTGTCATTTTTAAACTATTGATCTTTTAAAACTTGCGCTGTTATTAACATTAGCTAGGGAAAAGTGAATTTCATTGTTCAGACAAAAAATCTGGAGGGAGAATCAAGCAAGTCAGCCAGGAAAACCGTTAAAATAAAGCAAAACAGGTGGCTCGTGAAGTCGCTTCACTAGCTTTATATAACCGCGCTGTAAGTACTGCAATCTTGCTTTTATGCACCGTTTATTGGACATTTTTGCTCTGTTTTTTTCCATTTTTGTTGTATGAAACTAGATTCTGCCGTTTTTCATTGAATTTTGCCTCGCTAGTTTTCTACTTATCAGAAAAGGTTGTTGTCAATGATTGTTATTAGCTTTCAATCTCAAATAAAGAGCACGAGTCACTTTTCCAGCTTTCGGTTATCGCCGTTTTCATTTCTTTGTTTTAACTTGTTACTCGCATCGCCTTCTTTTATTCGAATTCAATTCAAAACTAATTAGCTCTTTTTACAAAGTCTTTGAGTTTGTGCAGTTTTCATCTCGCTCGATTGAACTAATCTTAAAGCAATTTTTGAATTAGCAAGCCGAAGAACATCCTTGCGGCATTTTTTCCCGCGGCTTTTAATATCAAGCTCGTCAATTATTTTATCCTTGTTTAACACTCAGATTATGAATTGTCTAGCAAGACACAAAAACATTTCTTTAATCTAAAAGTGAGCAGTAGAAAGTGCAATAATATAAATTACCAAGCTAAAAATCATGTTGTAATGTTTTGTTTTGGTTTGCAATCGTTCGCGCGCTTCATCAACACGAACACGTGTATGTATGTACCTTATTACATGAAATTTTGGCGTCACGTTAATTTAGCGATTTTGAAAAATCCGTATTTAGCGACACTTTAATTTAGCGATTTTTCGTAAATTTTGCAACATAAGTCACTTAATTTTAGCGATTTCACAAGCTGAAACTTTTTTGCGAATTAAGGTAAGGTATTCAAAACTTTTGCGATGACAATAGAACATGCAAAAAAAAATTATTAATCGTTTGTCTCATGATGTGCGTAGTCACTTGGTGATTCATATCACAAGTGACTACACTGTACTATCTACTTTACCACGATGAACAAACACATTTTTTTTACGAAAATAGAAACTTTATTTGATAAAATCATAAGCGTCAATGGCTTCATTAAAAAAAAATCACACAACGTTATAACAAAACAACTAAAACTGTAACTATAATGTCATATCTTC